AAGATAGGTTGGGGGGAGGGGGGGGTGGTTGAGTGTGACCGTGAGATGACAAGAAACGTTGCCGTCTGCTGCGCACGTGTGAACGAGGCTCCTCGGTCACACCAAGAGCTGATCCGCACTGATCGTGTTGTTCTATTTTCTTCTGATTTCAGATCCCCCATGGACGTCAACCAGACGGAGATGCGCAACCAAACGCCAACAAGCGTGGACCCACAAGATGGCATACACTGGCACGAAGACTCCGAACCAGGAACGATAGTTTAGCTGCCTGTCATTCCATCCTTTTTTGCATGACAAAGCTGTCCCTGTGCCTTCGACTGCACTTACCTGTTTTTCTGAGCAAGGCGAGCCAAAGAATGAAGGAATTTACACACACACACACACACACACACACACACACACACACACACAAGCCAAGCAGACTTTGTGCTCGCTCGCTTGAGCACTGTAACTATACTCGGAGCTGCTGCAGACCGCAGACGTTTAAGTATGCAGTTTTGCTCTGCAAAGATTGAAACTTAGCCGCCTTGTGTCTCGGAAGGCCGCACTGAGCCTCAGTGAACAAATTTGAGCGCATCTTCTCCTGCTGCTTGCCGACACGTGTGAAGATAACCATGAAGGACCAGACAAGGACTGATAGAACCCGATCAAAAAAAAAAAATGAAGGAGCGCGTTAAGAGTGAACCGGACAAAGATGGCTTTCCTGGAACACTTTGCAGCAACGACATAAATGTACTTTTATTTCCGAATACTTTTAAGCACCAACGCTACTTTCTATGTTCATTTTTATTCACTCACTGCGACCTTTTGTGAAGTATACGATCTTACTTTACTGCAAAGCACAACCGAGTCACATATTTGTGTTTTTGTCTAACACCAGTATTACTCCTGAGAATCTTAACAAAGATTACTGCCACGCTACTACACAAATATTGGACTTTGAAGAGAAGAAACTCAGAAAAAATAGAAAAAAAAGAAAGGCTCTTTGACTACATCCATGCTGGAACTCATGGACCGGTGCTCCTGTTTTTTTTTTTTTTTAACTGTTAATACACTGGTTGTTTGTAGAGCATCTTGTGAATTTTGAAAAAAAGCATGTAATATATACAGCAAAAGCTTTTGTTAAGCTGGTTCTTAGGATTTTGTATCATTTCACTTGTTTGAATAAAACAAATCAGAATTGATTATTTGGTTGATAGGACACAACGGGACCTGAAAAACCAATCTCGTCAAAGGGAGCAGGAACGCAGGATTAAATGTAAAGCCATTAAATTAGCTAAGTGAATGTCTGTTCAGTTAATGAAATAGTCTTGCAATCTGTACAATTAGTGCTGCCACAAGCAAAAAGAGGTGCTTGAACCACTTTATATTTGTTTAACCCTGAGAACCTGTGAAGAAAGGAAATTAGTCTCTGACAAACCCCGAGGTTAATGCTTCAATGATTGCAATCCTGCCATAGTGAATGAACAACCCATAACAATGTAGAAAAGCGTTTCCTTTTCTGTTGCAGTCCAAAAGCTGTGTTTTGTTTGTTTGTTTGTTTTTTCTCCTTTTCAAACAACTGTCTTGCCATGCTGGTTTCTTGTGCTCTTCAGCCCTGAACCCACCAAACCAGTCTTTGAAACTCACCACACCCATTTGGCCATGACCCACGTCTCCTGTCCTCAAATGGCCCTTTTCCACACCGCTCTTGTCCTGGTGCTGGTTCCGGGCCAGTGCCCAGGTTAGCACCAGTTTTTTTTTCTTTTTTCTTTTTCCACCACCGGAATTGGCTCTAGCTCTGGTACTTGAAAGCCGTCCACAAGGATTCAAAAAAGATAAGCGTTTACTGATTGCATGTCCCTGAATGTTATATACTACATAAAAGTATAATCGATGCTATGCCAAATTGCCCAGCAGATGCTAACACCGCATGATGATTGTTTTTATTCCTCTTATTATTCGTGCTCTTGGGTAAACATCGCGTAAGCAGCGACGTCGGACGTTTTACGATGACGTCTTGACGTAGCTCCGACTTCGTAGGATGTTCTTCGTAAGAACTTGTTCAGCACCAACGAAGCACAAGACCGGCTTTGGCTCCGAAAGAGCACCAAGTTTTGTTTTTTTTTGGGGGGGGGGGGGGGGAAAAGGGCTAGTGAATGACAAGTGAATGCTGATTGAACCAAAGCCTCTCTAGTCTAGGCAGCAATTTGCTATGCACACACATAGTCCCCTCCCCCCGTTCTCGTGTTAACCTTTCGCCCCATTTCACTCCCAATCACGTTTCGTGTGGCAACAAGTGTGAATTGGTCGACGCAGTTCAGCAGCTTTGACTTGCTCGTCGTGTCCCCGAGTGTCACGCTTCTTGGTGGAGCTCCCTGGCTTCAACCCTAAGCAGTGACAGGGGTAGTGTTTGACGTCCAGCTGTCTCTGGGCGTCCGCCGATTCAGACCAGCTGCAGGCAGGCACTGCCGGGCTGTTCCAGCCGATACTGTGCGACATAAACAAGGCCTTCTTGTGTGCTTCCCCGCATCTATTATTAATCTCCAGGTGGTACGAGCAAAATATGTCCGAAGATGATTTCAACTGGTTCAAAGCTGGAACTCAACACGCGTCCATTTCCTTTACGGCGTACCCCGTTGAGGGTCTGGAGCATCTGTTGACGGTTTGTTTGAAAGCGAGAGTTTCATCGTGCGGTACAATAAGCTCTCGCCAACGTTGCGTGGAAGACACCTGTCGGGCGTGCACACGTGCCGTGAGGAACGTGAGCAGCTGTCAAGAGAACAAGAGCCTCCAGTGTGCTGTCTGAGACACAATTTGACTTGAGCTCTTTGCCGGCAGCGCTTCACAAATTGCACTATGGAAGACAACATACTGAAGAACTACAGCGGCGGGTGGTTGCTGTTAGCGCCACCGCTAAGCTAGACAGATCCGTTCAACTAGCATCCATTTGTTGGTGTATCTCTCAACTCAAAATTCACCATGTTCACTTTTGGCCAAAATCAATCCTCATCCGAGGTAAGGTGTTTTGAATAAGTGTTCACGTCTTTTTGCACAAACACGACCACACGATAGCTGCGTAGTTGTCGTTTGGAACACTCAATAATGACCCCTGGAACACACTTGATTACTTATGTCGACTATTTGTTTTTCCCAAATCGGTTGTCGTAGAATATCCTATTTTTTGCGTACTGTAGGTCCATTAGAAATAAAGACTTGACAGCTATGAATTGATAACACAAAGCATGCGGCGCTTGCTGCGCTGACGCTTTGAGATGGATTATAAGAATTCCCACTCCGATCACTGCTCTGTGCTGTAACGTGGAGCAGCCCATCGATTAACGTCAACCAAGCTAATCAGTCACCCGGAGGACCCCGTCAAGATGAAAGAGTCAAGAGTACAGCAGGAACACTGATGGATTTGGCTTCACACCTCAGAACCGTTTGAAGTCTTCACTTTGAAACATTGGCGCAGTCATGTGACTCGTGGATTCTATTCATCATGGCTCCAAACAAAAGAAGATACTCTCTCTTTTTATTGCAAAGAATGCGAGCTTGGCTACTCTCTATTCACATGAGTACTAAGGTAAACTGAAAGTGGGGTTACAAATACCGTCTTTGGTGTCTCTTGGCAAGGGCTTGTGTCCCGTGTGCATTTTCTGTGCCTTGGAATAAAGTTTGACTTGAGGGAAAGCTGCCAAGGTTGACGTCCGTGAGTGAATAATACAAGACAGATTTGAGATTTAGGGAGTCGTCTAGTAGGAGTGGAATACCCCGTGGGGTTAGCGCACTGTTTGATTTTCTTCACAATACAAGGGAGCTCATTGAGGCCGGTTGGGATAGACACATGCGAGTCAGGATCTTTGGCCAACAGATGAACACGTGTTGCCCTTTCTCAGTCCAGTCACTCCTTAATTTTGGCCTCCAGGAAGTTTTGGATCTTTTGAAAATTCTCCTCTTGCTGACCAAGCGACTCCAGGAAGATGCCCATTGGAGACCTTTTGAGGCCGGCACACTCAATTTTATTCTCCAGTTTATTCTTCATGTTGCGGAGGCGAAAAGAAGAATGGGCCAGTATCACTAAAAAAAAAAAAAAGAATGCATTCATAGCCTTTTATGTGTTTTTCTCCAATCCCATGAATTATCTTCCTTTCGCCATCGATACAGCTAACGCGGTGATTCCCAACCGCTGTGACATGACAAATTTTGAAATTCTACATAATCATAATAAAAGTTTTAATTTTCATTTGGTGGTGTGTAGTGGGATTTTCTCCCTTATTTCCAATTGTGCCTTGCCTCAATAAAGGTTGGGAAACACTTATCTTAAAAAAATGACTGTCTGTAACTTACAGGTGAGCGGTAAAGTGATTGCTATCATGAACACCATGACGCTCCCCAGAATGGATATTAACACGTAGCTGGCCACCATGACAGCAATGACAAAAGCTGTGGGCTTGTGCCTTTTGAAGTTCCTGATGGCGCTTCTGTTATCTGCCGCCCACACCGAGCCCAGAAAGACTCCCGAGACCACTGCCATGGCGGTGAACATTCCCAGAGGGTTCAGCAAACTGCGGGACACACGGACAGGAAGGACACTGCTGCTCAGTTCTGTTGGTTGACGAGCGGATTTGAATTTGGTTGCGAGCACAGCCAAGTGGTGAGGGTGAGTCATTACAACAACAAACCTACAGACGATACACTGCCCGTGGGAATGTTTGATCTTCTGCTAAAATTGCAAAAAGGTTTGAAGAAGATTACAGTTTAAAGGTCACTGTGTCAAAGTTTAAACATGCTGTTCACAAGTAAAGACGGCAACTGTTGACTCACTGACCGAATATCCAATGATGGGCTCTTTGTCCTCGATGCGGTGGTGTCTGAATAAACGTCCCGTGTCTGTCATTCATAGCTCTACTACATGGTTAGTTACATGAACCGCTGACTAGATAAATAACTTCACGAGCACTGTCACCACAGCCTCGATAAGGAGCCTGACAGACCATTGCTATATTGAGCCCGACTTTTTGCCTCACCAGCGGGGATTTCAGCCAAGGTGGCATGAGGATGACTTTATGTCCCGTACATATCTTCCCCCGAACACAATATCAGGCACGCCTACAAAATCCAATTATATTCCAAACAATCTGTGCAAGACGGTGCATAGATATATTAGATTTCAAGAAAATTATGAAAAGTGACAAATTATGTACATTATGGTACTTTAATGTAGCATGGTGCAAAAAGTGGCCATCATGTCTGCCTCATAGTCAAGAGGTCCAGGTTTGAATTCCTGTGCTTCTGTTGGGTTTTTTGGAGATGCTTTGGCTTCCACTCACAATCCAAACGCATGCATGTTATATTCATTGAGGACTCTTCTTAATTGTCCTTAGGTGGGCATATTGTGTGCAGATATGGTTGTTCTTAAAGTGCTCCATAAATAATGTTGAGTTGCTGCTATGTGGATGAAATAAAAGATTTATTTATAATAATGACCACAGCTTGTGTCATGGCATCTGAGAGATATAAATCTAATGATGTTCAATGTTGTTGTTTCTTTTCTTCTTCTTATTATTATATTTCCTATTAGCAACCTTCTGCAAGTAATCCCTGAAAAGGGACTCACCCCCCCCCCCCAAAAAAAAGTATTGGTGTCAATCTGAGCATGATTTTTTTTTCTACATGAACAGCTGACTAAATAAATGACTTCACGAGCACTGTCACCACAGTCTCGATAAGCAGCATGACAGACCATTGCTATATTGAGCTTTTTGCCTCACTAGCGTGGATTTCAGCCAAGGTGGCATGAGGATGACTTTATGTCCCGTACATATCTTCCCCCGAACACAATATCAGGCACGCCTACAAAATCCAATTATATTCCAAACAATCTGTGCAACGTGGTGCTCAGATATTAGATTTCAAGAAAATTAGGAAAAGTTAGAAATTATGTACGTTATGGTACTTTAATGTAGCATGGTGCAAAAAGTGGCCATCATGTCTGCCTCATAGTCAAGAGGTCCAGGTTTGAATTCCTGTGCTTCTGTTGGGTTTTTTGGAGATGCTTTGGCTTCCACTCACAATCCAAACGCATGCATGTTATATTCATTGAGGACTCTTCTTAATTGTCCTTAGGTGGGCATATTGTGTGCAGATATGGTTGTTTTTAAAGTGCTCCATAAATAATGTTGAGTTGCTGCTATGTGGATGAAATAAAAGATTTATTTATAATAATGACCACAGCTTGTGTCATGGCATCTGAGAGATATAAATCTAATGATGTTCAATGTTGTTGTTTCTTTTCTTCTTCTTATTATTATTATTATATTTCCTATTATCAACCTTCTGCAAGTAATCCCTGAAAAGGAACCCCCCCCCAAAAAAAAATGTATTGGTGTCAATCTGAGCATGATTTTTTTTTCTAAATCCGATGGAATGGCGTGGAGCCAGCCCAGCTCAATCGTCAAGGAAGTGACGCCAGTTAAGAAAATAGATGGATGTAGCTGTCATCACAAAACAAACACAAAAAAAAGTTGGCATGACATTTAACGTTCCTTGTTGAGGGTTACACAATTTGATAAACATAGACGCATTAGTGAGACAATCGATTGATTCTACGATCCAGCAGATGGAACGTTACTTACCCGACAATAAGGAAAACAATGACAGACATGGCCAGATAATTAGTTTGATAGTAGAGCAAGTTGCTAACAACTCTGTTATTCCATTTCGCCATATCTTTCATGTCCGGTTTGGCGAACCTGTCCCACCCGGGAAAGAAATCGTCCCATGATCTTAGCGGCGTCAATTCGACTTTTGCCATTTTTCTCTTCAACACTACTAATCTGACAACAGGACAACGGAAACTCGCGTAAAACGCTTATGGTCTTTTCTCGCGAGATTATCGCGCTTGCGTGTCCTTTACGTAACCCCTCCTATTGGTCAGTGATCACGTGATGCAACCAAACTTCCTGTTAATTTCATTCCCGAAATGTGATGCCAAGTACGAACCGCGAGGGACTTTAAGTGCTCTATTCAGGTGACAGGTTTGCTCCAATATGCACACACATATCGACGATTTATGTTTCTTGAGAGTTTTGATGGACAATCGTGTGTTTTGTGCGGGCGGCTCCCGAAAGCCGCTCGCCAGCATGTCACTCCCAACGTGCTGTCACTTCTGCTACTTCCAGTAGCCCGATACAAGCAGATCGATCAAACACGCTCCGTAATTTTCTTCCCACAGATGTGGAGCACAATATTCAGATCTAGTGTGACGGGTAAGACGCGCTGGTATTGGAGGAGTCTTTTCACCATGCAACTAAAGAGCAGCGAGTTTCAGGTTTTGTTCACCGATGGACTGAACGAACTGGCAGGTGAGACGCAGTGAGACATTTGGCTCGTTTGTCATCTTCTAATTGGTTGCATGCTAAAATAAATCATTTACCCCGGGCGAGAAAAAAAAGCATGAAATGGGCTACCAAACGGCTCCAAGATCACTTCCTTAGTAAAAACGGAGGCTAGGATTAATTCTTGAATTTCGTAAATGAGGAACTGGCAGGTGAGACGCAGTGAGGACATGGACCTTTGGCTCTTTTGTCATTTTCGAAGTGTTTGCATGCTAAAATAAATTCTTTACCGTGGGGGGAAAAAAACATGAAATGGGCTTCCAAACGGCTCCAAGATCACTTCCTTAGGCTAAAAGTAAAAACGGAGGCTAGGATTAATTCTTGAATTTCGTAAATGAGGGGCAGTTACCGTCCTTTCTTTTTTTTCAGTAAAACAAAAGCTGTGACCCAAGACGTGATTTTCATCACATAAGATCATTGGACCTTTGGCTCTTTTGTCATTTTCGAAGTGTTTGCATGCTAAAATAAATTCTTTACCGTGGGGGGAAAAAAACATGAAATGGGCTTCCAAACGGCTCCAAGATCACTTCCTTAGGCTAAAAGTAAAAACGGAGGCTAGGATTAATTCTTGAATTTCGTAAATGAGGGGCAATTACCGTCCTTTTTTTTTTCAGTGAAACAAAAGCCGTGACCCAAGACGTGATTTTCATCACATAAGATCATGAAACTTGTTTAACTCTAGCAATATTCCCATGAAACCTTCAGATCATGCGCCCTCGTCTGCCTATTCCAATCGTTATTTCCATGCTACATCATGAATTGCCGATTAACCTTTATTCACAATTCCTCCATTCACCTTCAAAACGTAGAAATAGCACGTTATAGTCGAATAAAATAACTCAATGTACATCATCAGTCTTCTTATGTTGATCTCTAATAAAACACTCGTCCATGATGTGAATGATTGTCTGTATATGCTGTGAGGTGAACTGCTGACTATTTCAGTGTGCTCCACCTCTCGCCCGCAGTCAGCTGGGATCCGCAGATGCTTGCTCTTTACTCTTACAAGCAATATAACAAAAAAATACATGGATGGGGTTGCCTACAAGTACTGTACATCATTCTCAATTTTCTGTGTTTGACCTTGTCAGAAACATTTAAAAAGAACCAATATGAGTTGAGGATAGCCGGCGGTGCTGTACGGGACCTCTTATCTGGAAAGCAGCCTGAAGATGTGGATTTTGCCACCACCGCTACACCTGACGAGATGAAGCGGATGTTCCAAGCTGCGGGCATCAGAATGATCAACAATAAAGGAGAGAAGCATGGGACAATTACCGCAAGAGTAAGCCTTAGCATCTATTCATCGATGAAATTATTCATAGCCTGACAAAACTGGAGGTGGGAGGAGCAGTAGTTGGTCTATGCACCTCCTTCTGAAATCTCCCCTTTCATGCTTTCACGTGTGTCGTCTGCAACACAAACAGAGAGCAGTGTAAATTTAATTTGCCTTGAAGGAGTGAAGGCTCCTGGCTCGAAATCTTGGTCATTCCTCATTGCGAAGGGGACTGGTAACTCCTTTAGAGCGTTTCAATCAATGATACATTTTGATTTACTGGAACAATAAAAGGAACAAGAATCATTTTGGGTCAGGAATACTCATTTACCAAATTCAAATGTCGTTCATGTTAGTGTGTCCTTTCATCATTTTTAATTGCTGATTTAGGACGCCCCCCCCCCCCCAAATGAATCGTCTGCAACACTTGGTATGCCTTCAGTGGACTTCATGTTCTCACGACAACATGTTCGTTTGTGGATCTTGTCTAGCTTCACAATGAGAATTTTGAAGTGACTACACTGCGGGTGGATGTGCAGACAGACGGCCGCCACGCTGAAGTGGAGTTCACCACCGACTGGCAGAAAGATGCTGAGAGAAGAGACCTTACAATCAACTCCATGTTTTTAGGTTGTTGTCGTCTTCATACTTTTGAATGTCAGTTCCACATTACTGTCTTGGTTTTGTTGACTTGTGTTCCCTTTGTAGGTCTAGATGGCACGTTGTACGACTATTTCAAAGGATACGAGGACCTCCAGAACCGAAAGGTCCGGTTTGTTGGCAGTGCAGAACAAAGAATCCAAGAGGACTACTTAAGAATACTGCGTTATTTCAGGTGCGCTGGTTCCCTGTGAATCAGGTGATTGAAACAAAGGAGAGGAGACTGGTTGCGCAAACTCGTGATATGTAAAACAATGACAGGTGATTGAAACTAAGAAGAGGAGACAGGTTGCGCAAACTCCTGATATGTAAAACAATGAGGGGGCGTGGGGGGGACTGAAGTTATTTTGACTTCTCTGTGTTGTCAACAGATTCTATGGCAAGGTGGCTCCGAAGCCCGATGAGCACGAGCTTCAGACGCTGGAGGCTATTCGAGCCAACAGCAGTGGGCTGGCAGCCATTTCAGGGGAACGCATTTGGGTGGAGCTGAAAAAGATTGTCATCGGCCACCATGCCGCTCAACTGCTGGAGATGATGTACAGCTTGGGGTTGGCCCGTTACATTGGTGAGACATACTGTTGACCTGTCGCTTGGGTGATTCTGTCATTTCTGGTTCTTGGTCACGAAGACCCGTTCACACTGCACTTATTTTTTTGGGGTAATCCATCCAGACTTGCAGAGAACATCTTTATTTGTCGATGTCTGGCTTCTTAGTGGACGTCACAGAGAGTCTTTGCCATTTGCGCGCTCTCCGGCATTTTTTCGAAATCACCTCCAGGTGCAATCAAATTTGTTTAGGGCAACGTATAAACGCATTTTCAATGAAAAGGTCAGATGGCATAGCCGCTATGCCATAGCGGTTTATGCCCTTGCTCTTTTTTGAGTTTTGCGTCGGGGCTCGTTCCCAAACCCCATCGCGCATGGTGGAGGTTCACTGTACGATAACGGATGGGCGAGTTCTTCAAGTCAAACAAAAGCAACGGCGGTCTGCTCCCTGTGCATCCTCAGGTTTACCCTCTGAGGGCAACGTGGATGAGATGAAGCGCGTGTGGCAGAACGTCAAAGGTCACTCTCCCAAAGCGATGACCATCTTAGCGGCTCTCTGCCGTCGCTCAGAGGAGATAGAGAGGATGGACCTGCGACTGAAGGTGTCCAAGGAAGAGAAGACCCTTGCTCTCTTTCTGGTCAAATACAGACAAGATCTCTGCAAGAACGGCGACCAGCAAGACGGGCTCAAAACCTTCACCGACTTCATCTTAGATGTAAGTTTTATCGTCTTTATCTGTTGTGGCACAAAGAAACGAAAAGACTTGGCGACGTGCTCCTGACTCAGTGTCAAATGGCTGTGCGCCTGTGTCATATAGTATTGCTCAATTTTGCCACTATTCAGCCGTACACGTTTTACTTTGACTCCTTCTTCAAAAAAGCTTCAGCTAGCGCTGTAATTAAAGCACAGTCTGTACAAGTAACAAAGTGTGATTTTTCGGGTGTCCTGCTTTTGATTGTGGTGGAAAGGCGCATCCTTCACGCGGCTGAAATCTCATTCTGTCTCGTATATCCCCGCATTGAGTGCATTTCACTGACGGAATCCTGCCACTGTCTTGACAGAGTCGCGAACTGGATACTCGCATGAAAGTGAGCGAGCTGCTCAAGTATCAGGGTGAGCACGCGCTGCTGGCCGAACTTGGCCAGTGGACTGTCCCTCGCTTCCCCATCAGCGGACACGATCTCCGGAAAATGGGCATCACCACGGGCAAGGAGATCGGGGCTACTTTACAGAAGCTGCGCAACATCTGGAAGAAAAGTCATTATCAGATGGACAAAGAAGAGCTTCTCAGTTACGTGCAGTCCTGAGGTGCCGATGCACGTCTCCGAATCGAGGTGCGTGTCCGTGACCAGTTTGGACTCTGGCAAATCAAGTCCCCACGTTGGCACTGCTTGCAGTGCTTATATATTGAGTGGACTCACGCATATAGTCAACATGACCAGAGACAAGCACCCCCACTGATGAATTCACTTTCATTCGAAATGACACCACAGAGCAGCTTTTTACATCTGCTTAAAATGGAGGAGAATGCGGCCATCGACATTATAGTGCGGGGAGTATGTTAGTGCTGTGGCATTTAATTTGCATATTTCTCCTTTTCCTCCAATTTGTGGAATAAGTGGTAAGCACGGGTTATTTTCAATGTTCGAGCATCATTGTCAAGATTTTTTTTTTCAGGCCGAGCAAATTTTCCAGTATAGGCTTTACATTCAACACAAGCCAGTATTTAATTGTGCTGGATGTTGTCTGGCATTTATAAAGAGTATGTTCTATCAAGTGATGGAAATATTTTTGTTTCACCGCTGCATTTTATGTCTTTATTTAAACGTGTAACGTTGTAAGATTTGTCCAAAATGAGCAGCCTCTTTACCGATTTAGTCCCGAAACCCTCAAGTAAAGTAAGTCAGGACTCTGCAGTGAGACATCTTATTCTTATCATTTTGCAAAATAGTTATTTCACCAAAACAATTCACACTTTTCTGTGAGTGGCTCGACAGAGATTGGGAGCCAGATCGGGTGGATCTGAAATCTGATTGGTTGAGTAATATTAAAAAAAGAAAAGCAGTTATTGCTCATCGTGCTTCTCAGTCATACAATGGCATTCGGGGTTGTTCTTCTCTTCTAGTTTAGGCCAGCAGAGAAGGTCTTGCAGGCATGACTGCACAACTCTGCTTTAACTACGAAACACTTTGACTTAACTGTGCCGACATTTAAAGCGTTGTTATATTGTCTGCAACGACTGCGATAGCTTGCTCTTGTGGTACACTGAGATCCACGCTGCCATGACAAAAGGTGTGCTTCACAGAAGTAGCCACAAGGTGTCAGTGTTGTCTGATCGAGTTCTCAAGTTTCACTCTCGTTGCAATTTTTGTTCTCTCGATGCCACTTGCCAGCCGTCGCGCTTGGGCCCACTCTTCACGATCCATGTTTAGCACTGTGTCAAACTCAAGGCCCGGGGGCCAGATCTGGCCCGCCACATAATTTTCTGTGGCCCGCGAAAGCAAATCAAAGATGTCAACGTTCATGATGCTTGCTAAAATCTCAACCAAAATTTCAAAATTATTTTCTTGTTACCAAACCGCTCATTACAGTAACTTAAACGATAGGGGAATGAACCGTTATTCTTGACTTTTTCATATGGTTTCAGTCATAACGGCCCTACAAGGGAAACTGTAACTAAAATCAGCCCCGCGACAAAAATGAGTTTGACAACCCTGATGTAAACAGTATGGCCAAAGTGTTTAAAGTTGATGGCGGGGCAGCGGGCCGCACTGAAGGTGGGAGTGTGGGGGGGTGGTGTGTTGAGTTTACTCTATTTTAATTTTTTTCAAGTGGTTGCACAAAATAAAATCTGTCTCCAGATATATATTTTTAAGCAGACTATACATCTACTCCAAAAAATAATCTAAATCCTGACCATTGCTTTGTGTCCATCTGATTGACAAAACAAAAAGGAGTAAATTCAACGCACCATTTTTCTCACTGTGGATGACCGGAGTCCGATCATGCAAGCTCAAGAATATGGACAGATAGACCAATAATGGACATTGTGGCACATCCTCACAACACCTTTCTCATGTATATTTCTCCCCTGAAATTATACTTCTGCTTCATTTGTTGATAAAAAGTGATGTGCAGTGAGCAGAGCTAACTTAAAACGGCAGCTTCTCTATGTGATGTCGTCATCACGATGATGGCCATGAAGAATGCTGATCGCTTTGTCTCCAATCTGACAACCCCTCTTGTGTGGTGAGGATCACCCCCGCTAAATAATTTTCACTCTTAGTTCACATTTTCAGAGCATAGCCAAATCAATAAGAAGGCAACCATGCACTTGACAAGAGGACTCCTGCGCGTGTATACACACACACAAAATTTTAAATACAATTCTTGTATTGGATCTCACTCATTTGTGCAGAGTCAAAACAAGTTTTGCTTGTTCACGCCGAGTGAACAAAGGGAAACAATGTTACAATGAAAATGTTCCATCTCGCCAACTCCGGCACGCAGCACAAATAGCAACGTAAATAGCAACGTAAATAATTGATCGCCAACTGCATTTGCTGTCAATTTTTTTCCCATACTGAATAATTGAAAAGGATATTGTTTTCTTCTGGAATATGCCGAGTTTCCTGTTGACCTTCATTCACCATTGCATATTTCTTTGGCTTCCACGTGTCATGGGACATTTCTTAGGATTTTGCCTGTATTCACCTCCACAATGGATCTGAAATAAACCCGTGGATTTAAACGCTGCACTTGTCAGAGCAAGCCGATCCATCGTTGGGAATCATTGGTCTGCCATATTCATGCGGTAATTATCCACGGAGCACAGACTAATAGTCCACAGAGCCAGGTGAAAATCAATCCTGTTCCGCTTTGACAGTACAGTTGACACAGTTGCACAAAAATTAATGCAGACAGCCCATGAAATCAACTTGATTTAGGAGATGTCAGAAATGAGTTTTCAAAATCATGTTTATTGTTTGATTTATTGGGAATGGTAAGGCATGCTGTATATCATGAATTTTGTTTCATGGAAAATGCTGAAGCCTAAAGTAATTTAAATGCAAATGGAGGAATAATATATTCCACAAGGCTGTGGGGTGAAAAGCAGTGAGGTCATCATTCTCTACTTCTGAACTCACACGAGGTCATTTCCCAGTTTGAATAAAATCCGGATTTAGATTTTTTTTTTTTTTCCGTAAAGACATTGCAGAACGAGGATCAATGGAGATAAACCTTTTGTGAATCAAAGTTGTTTTTTCATTGTCACTACTTAATTTTTAAAAATTTCAATTTGATTCAGTTGAGCGGTCGAGTGCCGCTGATCCATAAGACACATTTTAAGAACACAGCCGCCACTTACAAGGCTTGTCTCTGAGCTATTAATATTTTAACGAGACATTGTTACTCTCATATGTCACTTCAAAAATAAAAAATGCGTGTCTGCAAGAAAGAAGGTCTTGGACATGACAGATATCGGAGCAAAAATAGTCCTGCTCATCTATTTCAGTAACAAAAATGTCAAATGCTATTTTGCCAAATAGCTCGATGATGACGTGTTGGCATCTTTTGGGCTGAGCGCTGTCATCTATTTTGGCTGGGAAACGGCAGCGTGTCTTTTTGTTCTCGTTGAGCGCATGTCGCCGGTCGCATCTCCGCTGCCTTGCTTTTATGGAGAACGTTCAAAGACGTCAGCGAGCCCTAAAAGTGAAAGATATCATTTGAATTTCAAAGGCCCGACGGCACACGTTGCTTCTATCAGCAAGACTAAAGGTCTTGCTGACAAGCGGTGCCTTCAGAATTAATCATCCGTGCAGAGAAGCCTCCCGGATGTTGCTTCCTCTGCCTGGGAGGCGCTCAGAGACGGCATCCTGCTGGGTGCCGTTCGGGGCAAACGCGTCTGATATGGTCAAAGCTGCGTGCTCGTTCACATTTGTCCTCTTCAGTAAATACAGGCCTCCGATTTGGAATTGCAACATTTACGTGTAAGCCTTGAGAGAAATCTCCTCCAAAATAAATAAGACGTGATCCTGCTCTGTCCACACCGGAGAGCAGCCGCCATTGCGATCGCCTAATTCGGCATCACTAATGCCACTCTGTTCCACTTTTACTCCCTTTGATTGATGGGGTCCATGCCCACCGCATCTCCATAGCGATGAGCTCGACGGTCTGTTGTGTGCCGCAAATCGGTGAAGCCATGAAAGAGATTTTATATCGACTTGGCATCATCAGTCCATTTCGGTGGGGAGACTTGCACGTCAACTGTTGGGGCGACGTGTGCTGACGTGGCTTCGGTGGCCATGACTGCCATCATACACTCGAGTCAAATGTGATTGATCCAACACTTTTAAAAACAAACGCGGCTGAAGCAAAGCGTTGGAAAGAAATACAAATCGAACATAAAACAAAACCACAATTGAACCTAAAAATGATTTCAAGAAGAATAAAACAGTAAGACCGTTCAAAACGATGCAAGCTAATAAGAAAAATAAGAGCTGTGTTGAAAATCCCAAAAAATAAAAATAGGTTTAAAGTCGGGTTTAGATTAAAAAAAAAAAAAAAAAAGTACAGCTAAGGGGCTTGTCTAATGTGCATGATGACGGCGATGACGGACTGTGTCTTTTGGAGTTGATGGTGGATCGTGACGTTCCCTCCTTAAAAATGTCAACTCATATACAACTTTGATACTCTGCAAACGATATGTCTGTGATATTTGCAGCATTTGAAGCCCCATGCGTCGCCCCGCAGAGAACACAATAAATATGCTTGGATTACCGGTGCACGCCTGAAACGAGTTGACAGCGGGGTGCGCGTGGAATTAATAAAACCTTGAAATCACGGTTGGAAAAATAAGATGAAGGAAAATTTTATTTCGTTTGTTTTTCAGTCAACATGTCGCGTGTAAACAACAATAAACAAGTGATCGTAGACATCTTCTAGCAAGATAAAAAGTATTCAAGAAATGTAGAAAGCCTTACGCTGCTTCACCTAGTTCATAACATTCACGTTTCTATTGCTGGTTTTACGGGAGTCGCGCCGCAAAACAAAGTCGAAATCAAAGGCGATGATCGCTTGTAGAAAAAGTCCATGAAATCGTTGATACATCATCACATCGAAAGAGCTAACGTGAGCCAATCGACAGCAGATCAAGTCGAAATGTACTTGGTCAGCTTACATTGGAGTTCATCGATACATTTCGGTGCACAACAATCAAGAGCGAAGCGGATTAACATGACGGCGTCTTTCCACTCCCGCTCGAGAAACAAGTTGAAAGGTGTGGATTGAGCACATCGACGGATTCTGTGACAATTACTCATGCCGTGTTCTCAAAACGTGTACTACAAATCAAACAAAGTGTCTCCTTTATTCACCAAGACAAAGAAAGATACACTCGTTTCCTTCTTACGTGCACATATACGTTATACGCTTCTCTAAGGCTCGTTCCTCGCTCACTCTCACCACATGTAGTAGCTTCGTGTTGTGTCTACCTGGCTAGGTTTGCTCTCGGAGGAACCTTCCTTCTCTTTTTCACTATCCGCCTCCCACAGGTTGATCAGAGGCGGGTAGAGCTCATTCAAGGGGATGGACGAGGTTTTCTGCATGTACTTTTTCAGCGAATGGTGATAGTTTTTCCGCTTCCAGCGCTTCGCGACGTATGCGCCAAGGGAGGCCAGGCCGACCACGGCAAACACGGTGCCCATAACTGCCGCCAGAGCCACGTTGGTCGCTTGTTCGGACACTTCCACGGCGAAGGTCGCCCGTTTTGTCGTGACGTTCACGCACGACCGCTGCGTTTGTTGGTGGACGTTGGAGACGGTGAGGCAAACCTCGTACTCTGTTGCGGGGAGTAAATATGTCAGGTTGTACTCGTGAACGTCCACGGGAACCTTGACGGTGTAGGTAATGTCCGGGTTGTCTATTTTCACGGTGGCCGATGACCACTTGAGGTCGGAGGTCATTACGTTGGCGTTTACCTTCCAGGAGACCAGAATCGAGTGGGAATCTGTCTGCTTGACGTCCATTTTAATCAGCTGCGCGCCATCCAGCAGCGTGCCGTTCACCCGTACGGCCGTCACTCTTGTGTCAACTCCTTGGGAGTTCTGCGCCACGCACGTGTACCGGCCAGAATCTTCGACCTGAATGTGGGAAATCCTCAAGGTACCTTCACTGCCGAGTGCGTACTTCTCAGACTGGCTGTCGACCATGACCTTGGTCCCCGTCGGCGTCACCCAATAGATTTCCGGCCCGGGCTGGGACACGGCTCTGCAGTCCAAGTCGATGCTCGCGCCAACGTCTACGTTGAGCTGACTGGGGAAGGCGTCGTGGCTAATGGTGGGCAAGCAGCGGTTTTCTGGCTTCTGCCGCAGAACTTCCTGCACACGCATACCCCTGACCTCTGTCGGCGTGGCGCAAAACATGGACAGAGGTTCCATGAAGCGAACGGTGGTCTCGTTGGCGGCCATCCACTGGATAAGGCAGTCGCAACGGAAGGGGTTGCTGTGGATGCTGATTTCACGCAGGTTGGGAAGAGAATCCACGGTCCTCTGATCGAGGGCGCTCAGGGCGTTGTTGTTCAGCATTAAACTCTCCAAGGCTGGCACGTCACGGAAGGCCCGACTGTTGACGTAAGACAACTTGTGATTGTTTGTCGCCTCCAGCTTAGTGAGCTCGGGAAGATTATCCAGAGCGTAGCGGTCAATCGAAACCATCTCGTCCATGTTGTTTATACCCAGCTCCTTCAGCCTCAGCATGTTCTTGAAATCTCCCTCCTCAATCTTGTGCACTGGATTTTTGTTTAGATCCAAGAACTTGAGGTTCGGTAGTTTTTGAAGGGCTTTTTGAGGAACTCTCAGCAACTCGTTGTCATAGAAAGAGAGACTTTCGAGGTTGTCGAGGCCCACAAAGGCATTCCCGGGGACATCCGTCAAATCCATGCCTGCCAAGACCAGGCTTCTCAGGTTTGCCAGCGGTTTGAAGTTAAAATCCGTAATCCCACCAACAGGATTTTCCCCAATCATAAGGATCTCCAGATTGGGCGTCGATTCAAACCACTGGCTGCTGATGGTCTTCAGCTTATTGGAGTTAAGGTGAAGCCTGAGCAAACTGTGGAGTCCAGAGAAAGCTTGGGCCGAAATCGCACTGATCTGATTGTGGTTAATGTAGAGCTCCTGCAGATTGCTGAGGTCCCGCAGACAGTCATCGGGCATTTCTGCGATCTGGTTCTCTTCCAAATGAAGCGTGGTGAGCTGTGACATATTGGTGAGGCCGACGTCCCGAATGTTACTGAAGTTGTTTTGGGATAGGTCCAGCTCCGTCAGGTTGAACAGCTGCTCCAGCTCCTCGCTGGTCCTGGCAATGTAGTTGCTTTGCAGCAAGAGAACCTGAGTATCACTCGAGAGGTTCCCGGGGATGCGTGTCAGGTGCAGGTCATTGCAGTCCACAGTGGTAGCGTATCTGTATGTCGACTGCGGTGTGAACCAGGGTCGGGTCTCGCACACACACAGCTGGGGGCAGTCAGTACTTTGGACAAGGGATAGACTCGTTGAGACCGCAATCGCCACAGCAAAGATCTGGCCTGGACCAAAGCACCCCAACCTCCATCTAGCCATGCTATGGGAGGACAGGAAGAGGGGCAGGTGACTTTTGAAGACCGTGACTAACAGTCATCCACCAGATTCGGACTGGAATAGGTCTCAGGGTCAAGGGAGCGCGCCGGGGGGAGGGGGAGCCGAGTGATGTCTCGAATAGGACGATTATGGAGCAGAATAACCTGCAAAGAAAGACAAATGCAAGACGTTAAATACGATTTGTCAAAGAGTCAAGCATGTCATGAGTGAAACCATTGTATCACTTGCCACCCCGGTGTCCTGTAAGGCAATAAATTATCTGCAGGATCAACAGTTTTGAGACTGCAAGTCAGCTCATTATGATGCAAGCGCAAAGCGCTGCTGTGGACTACTTGGAAACAAGCTCCAAATCCTCGGAGAGCTTTCATCTATCCGGCTGCCCCATAAGGACTTGATCATTAAACCTCTGAGCTGAGCATCACCACCGCGCTGGAACATCATTAAGACAGTCGTGTGAAGCATGCTGAAAAGATGCTCAACTAAAATGCTAATGCAACAACTCCGGTACAGAATTGAGGGCGGTATGGAAAGAGAGAGAGAGAAAAGTAATAAGATTTCAAATGGGTTTTTTTTTTGTTGGATGATTTGTTACATAAGTGTTCACATCTTGCATAACTTTTCCCGATCTTAAACTTGACTGAGGAGTTGAAGAATAGGGCCGTTGGTACATTTGGCTCACGGAGGGTGGTCCTAGGTCAGTGAGACAGATGGCATTTGTTTTGATCAAATATTCTAAACCAACGATTGTTTAAAAATTGTGGCCAAAGGTCATTTGCTTGAATTCCAGCATGGATACACCTCGTGGCCATTACACCCATACACTAAAGTGCAACCAGCAGCTTCTCACGCTCTGCAAAGCCTTCCTGGAGTGAATTGCAAGCGTGTCTGTGGGAAGTCTCCGTCCATCCGGAGCAACATTTGGGAGGTCAAGCTCAAAGTTGTTTGATGGCGTCGTGCCCACGGCTTTGGAGAGCCTCCACACCCAACCCGTGTGTTCCGTGTTTGCCTTTTTCAACCTTACTTTGCGCAACCCAACTCAATTTTATTGAGAGAGCACTTTCAAAACAACCATCGCGGCATACAAAGTGCTGGACATCAAGCAAAAATCCGAATCGATAAAGAGCAACGTCATCCTTGCCAAATGCCTTACGAGCGGGATGAGGTTCCTCCTGGAGTTTGCATCAACGGGATCTTGTGAGATCCCATTCCTCGACAAGGCGTATTTTACGAGAGAAGGAAACCTTTCCAGTGTGCACACGCAGCCGCACAGTGGGACTGTGCGCCATTACGCCGAAGGTCATCTTAAGCAGCTCGTCCTTAAGAGGCTTTCCGGCAAGAGAGCTGACTAATTCTTCTGAATGGAACCTGCCTAGCAACAGCAGTAGGAAGATGCCAGCAAAATAGAAACACTTTACTGTAATTGAAACCTACATTAGGCAGATTTTAATTTAATTTTTTTTTTTTGAGGGTGGGGGGTGTAATTGCAATGAAAATTAGAGTAGACATTTTTTTTTTCTGTGAAACAATATTTCTTGTGACAAAGGGGCCATTGTTGGAATTGTTGTTTTTGTGCCCTCCCCCCCAAAAAAATAATAAAATCCTTGTGATGAATGACTCTTTTTATTTCATCAATCGATTCCACCAAATAAAATCATCTCCTTCAGATGATATTTTAAAATAGACTACCGGTACTTAAAAATGTATCCAGCGCCAGATGATTTTATTTGGTGCAACTAGTTGACGAAATCAAATGAATTAAAATCAACATACCATTTTTTTCACTTGTTAACCAGAACCAAAGAGCAGCACAGGTGAAACAGCCTGAGCCAGATGGCACGGACACACGGACACACAGAGTCGGACACACGCAATGCATGGACACACACACAAACACACACACATACACATGTACACACAACAGAGAGAATCTCTAGATAGCGTACTGTATTGACTGTTTCACCATTCGAATGACTGCAGTCATGCCAAAGGAGATCATCTGAGCTAGACTGGAACTACATCTGTTGTCTCTGGGACCTCGAGCACACGGAGGACAAAGGGGCTAATACCTTAGCGCTTCTTAGATGAAGAATGGTTTGAGGCTTGGGCTCAATAACCCAGACCCCATCCCCGCCATACTGATCTCTCTCTCTCTCTCTCTCTCTCTCTCTCTCTCTCTCACCACGGAGACCTAAATGCTGCTTGGGTCAGGAGGGAGAGGTGGAGGGGGGCGATGTCTGCTGTCTCCTAAAACATGCTGATAGATGCAGACACCTGCTTGCAAATCACATATGACTAATGAGTGCCCGTGAAAGTTAACAAATTGCACAATAAGAGAATTTGACTGGATCTCAAACCAAAGCATTCAGTGGGAAAAAAAAAGTGAGGCCTCCGTAAAATGTTTAGGAAAACAACTGAGGACAAAGCGTTTTAAGTTTGCCTGGTGATAAAGTGGAAAGCGCGAGTCTTAAGGGAGGACTCGCAAGATGCTCTCTCAAGAGTCAAAAACGAAATCCTCATCGCCGTCTCGCCTCGCGTGTCCCATTGAAACCAAGCGTCCCTCAAAGCAAATTGGAGCCAAGTCATCAGCGTGGCTCCATTAACAATTGTGCAACAGCTGCAGCCACAATGGACCCCCAACCAACCCAATTATCCCCTCCCTGAGCAGCATCTTTTACAGAAAGGTCCCCCTTCGTCGCAGTTCAACTTCTTGAGCTTAGCAGACATCTGCACAAATATTCTTCGCTATTAATATGCAAATCACATTTGGAGAACGTTCCGCACGCGTGCAGTTCCCGCGGGCACGGCAAGTGGCGCAAAGGCATCAAAGTTTTGTTTTTGACGCATTGCCGAGTCGACCTAGTCGGTGAAATCCGCCGATACGGCTCACCACAAACTTGCCACTTTGAATAATAGTCTGACTCTGCAAGCGACGGGCTCAATAGTTGACGGTCTGAATGTTAAATTGGTGGCCGTGCCCTTGAGTGCGTCCGGATCCAAAATAAAAGCTCAGCGTCGCTGCAGGATGGAAGGCAAAATACAGATCGTTGGCAATTAAGAACTACAACCAATGCATTTTTTAGTTGATACTTTAATACAACAAAAAGAGAGAGCGAGAGAGAGAGCGTTGTGGGTGATGGTAAACGCTGTTTTTTCCATGTGGTCTCACCTTCTTGTCATTCCAATTCAATGACATTTACCGCACCGGTCCTTCCTCCAAAAAGGGCAAGACGTCACCACGGAACAAGCCCCCCAAATAACGCCTGTGATTGTCTCGTCACGACAAAAGCATCACGAAAGGTTTAATTCCGTTCTCTCGCTGCCGTGTGTCCCTCCCGATCAGTCCCGGGGCTGCATGGCCAACCTGCTGCTGGGCTCCACGCAAGAATTGTCGCCCCGCGAGCACTGCTCTCCGCCAGCAGATGGACGAGGGGGAGAGGGGGTAGGGATGGGATGGGATGGGGCGCGGGGGGGAGGACAAATGATCAAAACACCTGGCGCTGGCCACACCAGTCAGCTGATTCCCCGGCAGCCGATTGGCGGAGCGCGACTGTCTGTCAAGCGCGGCCAAGCCAAGCAGCTCGCCATCTGCTCAGGCTCGGTGGGAGGAGAACAAAGGAGGCGCCGGGCGGCTTGCGTGCGTGGGCCAGGGTGGGGTTGGCTCGGATGGGGCTTGGACAGCCGCTCGCTGCTCCTATTGTCGTGTGACTCTTGTAAACAGAGCGGTGGCCAAACCATTTTGGATGACGTGAGATGTTTTTACACACTGTTTATGGACCAGCACGTTACGGCGCTACTATATGACGTATGAACAATGCTGAATACGGAAAGGCGACCTCCGTCCACAAATGTTTTCCTTATTGGTCGCAGGTGAGCTGGGGGCCACTCTGTGCGCCAGTCAATTTCGGGACACACGCGGGAACGTAGTCGTGCACTTTAGCAAACTGCGGTTAAGCAACACAGTGCAACGCAAGTACTCTTAGTTGGTCCCAGCAGCAATGTTACCTCCGTAAATGCAATTTATACTATGCAGCTCTTGCGCTGTGTATCCATATGTAACCAGAATCAGTTTTTTTTTTTTTTTGCCGGAGTCAGAGATCTTATTTTATTTTGAAATTTGCAGTTGAATTTTAATTTCCTGTATATCGCGCTTCGCACAAAGATGCAACTTGACATCTTAAGTAGGGCAGAGTCTGTTAGGGAGTCACACCAAAAGTTAATTTGTTACACTGGCAGCCCCATCGAAGAGGCAAAAAGTGCCTTTTGTGTCAGAATTCGATGACGGCAAAATCATCAGTCAAGTTTCATCCTTGCAGGGGAGGGCGTACTACAGTATCATTTCTTTATGCTGCAAGTGTACCTATTCAAGTGTCAAGTAAAGTACTAAACAGTTTGGCTGAGCCAATTCTCAACACATTTTGCCTTTGGACTTTGCATAATCTTTTAATCGTCAGTGGACCAAATCATCAGCGTGCGCAGTTTTTCTGGCGAGTCCGCAAATTGGAATGCCAAATTGCCTTCATCTTCTTTGACTAAAGTCAGTGCACCAAAGATCATGTGAGTCTGATTTGCTGGGTTCACTTTCCCCGTGAAACAGTCCAAGCTGCCTCCAAAGATCACATCCCCTCAGACAGATCCAACCCGAGTCGGGTGAGGAGAGCAACGTGCGGGTGCTCTTTTGCGCACCCCTTTTTGGTTCTTCCTGATTTGAGTCCGCCTTCGTGGCATCTCACCTCTCTATCAACTTGTTTAAGCCTTTGTATTCTGCTGCGCGGCAGTGTCCCATTTTCAAAGACACGTCCTTTGTTCAACAAAGTTGAAATCCAAAAGAAATGTCGGGAAAATAGTTTCCTCCTCCTTGAACATTCTGTGTGAAACGTGGGGCGGCGTCACGTCTCGGCAGCTAATGCCAGGCAACAAAACAATTCCTTTTTTTGGGTGGCTTTTGATCAACTTTGAAGCCCCCGAGCAACCGACAGTGTGATGTATCTGGGCCAGTGCGGAGCTCAGTCGAGAACAGAGTCTTGCAGTCACTGGCTTTATATTTAGGCCCTTTGTAAGTTGGAACAGCTGAAGGTGCTGATAACGTCTTGCTTAAATTAACAACCACTCTGTGTTCAGGCTATCAAGTGCTGCTATGGATTGCCTCCGTTGTCTTTTTTATCGAGTAAACCCTGCCAATTGTCAAGCCTTGGCATCACAATGAGCATGACACGGCACATTGGGAAACTAAAATAAACATAACACAAAATCAGCCTATTCGCAGATTTATTTTTGCTTTCTGACACCTTTTGAAGGTATGGCTTCATTTCCAGGTGATGTGAAGCCGAGAAGGAGGTGAGCTGTGGTGTGAAAATGATTGAGCGGCCATTTTTCAGTGGGGGCCCGATGTGACAGGTGGACGTGTTTCCCTGGAGGTCAAACCGTGAGCACAACTGAGACTCAGCTGGACTCTTGCCAAAGAGACAACTTCAATCAAAATATACAGAGGGAGATTTTTATTTTGGCAGCACGGTGGACGTAGGGTTAGCGCGTCCGCCGCACAGTGCAGAGGTGCAGGGTTCGATTCCGGCTCCAGCCTTCCTGTGTGGGGTTTCTACGGGTACTCCGGTTTTTCTCCCACGTTCCAAAACATGCGTGGCAGGTTAACGAAACGCTCCAAATTGTCCATCGGTGTGGTTGTGAGCGTGGATGGTTGTTCGTCTATGTTTGCCCGGCGATTGGCTGGCAACCAGTTGAGGGTGTCCCCCACCTCCTACCCAATGTCAGCTGGGATAGGCTCCAGCAAGCCCGCGACCCTCCTGAGGAGAAGCGGATTTGAAATTGGAATGGGTGGATAATGGGTCACTTTCAGATATATTTTGTGAACAAAAAATGAGAGAGAGAGCAAGTGTTCCTTTGTAGGATCACCTCACTCAGCAAGTTGGTTGCAGGAAGACACAACTACAGTATGGCAAAGATCACCTGCTTCTTTTTTTTTTTAATTCAGGCCTTTTATATCCAGGATGATATGATGCACAATAGTGCCCGTGCCCTCCACGGATGAGGATTATGTTTCTCTGCCTGAATGAGGGTGCGGTATTTGGAATATGCATAAGAAAGCACTCAATAAGAGGGTTTCTGTGTAGTCTGTCGACTGTGTGCAAGCATAACAGAGGCGCCATCTGCCTCCGGAGATGACATCACAGGACCCCAGAGGGTGCGCGCCATTCGCACCACTAGAGAAATGAATTTACACCAGAACACATTCTTTAAATATTAACAACATCTGCCTAGTAACCAAACGCTTGGTCTCCATGGGACACTCTCCATCTATTAGCCGCAGCGAGAGGTCAGCTGTTCACTTTCGTGGCTTTGGGGAAGATCTAAAAAACAGTATGTGGTTGATTTGTCAGCCTATTAGCTTCTTTTATGGAGCGCATCTTCATTTCAAGCGCAAGAGCTGTCTCACTAGATTGTTGACATCTTCTGAGATCACGTCTCAGAAGTTGAACCTCCATGATTTGTGGGAAGCTAGCCATATTTTCTCACATGTTTACAGTTTTGGCCGTTGGTAGCATTTATTTCAATGTACCGATCGACTGCATTTCACATCACTCGCATGACATTGAGCGCACATCGACACTCGCTTGGATTATTGTCCTGACAATAAAAAGGTCTGTCGAGGCTTAACCGTGTATTCAAATCATATTGTACTCCGGATGAATCCTTTCTTATGGCCAGATGTCATGCTAAAATGTCCCTAATCCATATAATCTGATCAGTGAACCGTGTCATGATAGTAATCCACTTGTAAACAAACAACATGGTTTCCTTGACATGCATGAACACAATGCCATGTCGATTCCAAAGACAAAAGTTGTTAGTGTTGATATCAAATCCAAATGGTCCTTTTAATCGAAAGGTCGGGCGTGTCGACTGAACAAAAACAAACCAAAAAAAAGAACAACTGATGTTTGTGTCACCCCAACCCCTCTCCCTCCCACCACCACCACACCACCAAAAAAAATAAAAATAAAAAATAGCATCAAAGTGTCCACTGTACTGAACACTCTAAATTGTCCCTAGATGTGAGCGTGAGCGCAAATTGTCGATGAGTGCCGTGCGATTGGCTGGCAACCAGTTGAGGGTGTCCCCCGCCGACGGCCGGGATAGGCCTCAGCACGCTTGCGACCCTCGTTAAGATAAAGAAGATTAAAAAATGGATGGATGGATGGATGGATGGAATACATCTGTGCCAAACGTGTCACAACTTGTGACACGATGACTAAGCAAATCTTTGTGCCCACATCCCATTCAGCATTTTAATTTCCTATTCACATATGAATTTGAACAGATCGAAAATAGGGAGTGTGTATTTTGAGGGGCCTTGTTGAAACCCCGCCAAGAGTAAAGGAGCCGCGAGGAGCACGGTTTACCGCCCCTCTTCGAGAAGTCTCAATGATCAACTTTACAGAGAATCGTCAAAGCCGCCGATCACACAATGCAGGATATCCGTTCACCTGATTCATTTGTGCATGTAAATGTGTTAGTGGCAGGATGCAAAGCGGATGAATACGCTCGAGGCCTGAGCTAACATGTCAGTCAGTCATGTCATGAAGACGGCCAACCTTGTCTGCCACTGCGCATTATCGATGCGGAGTCCAATCCTTTAGCCACGAAGCTGTAAATGCTCCACAGACGGGGTGATTACACTTGCTGGTCCTCAGTCAGAAGTCAAATAAAGCGCTTTGAAACACATTAGGGGGACACTTTGGGGCAAAAGAGGATTGTTTATATGTTCCTCCCCCTTCCTCAACGAGCGATTCAGGCAGATGGAGCTTAAAGGCGTCACGGGGGTCCAGCAGGAGAGTCCGCGATGGCGAGCAGCAGCCTGGCTGACGGTACAAAATCTCGCCGGCGGCTTAGTGATCGGCTCATTTTTAATGGCCCGTGCTCTGTAACAAAGGGCCATTTGAAGTGACCACTCCAATCGGGTACTGTAGTATCTGTTTTATATGAAGTATTGAATAGACTTCGGGTTCAATGTAGGCAAACGTAGCTAGTTGGAGAAAAATGGGCATATGGTTGTCAAACACAGGTAACAGTTGCATACGTGGGGAAAAGACATATGTTTAACATAGATAGCAGCGGCCGGGGAAAAAGACATAAGTTTGTTAAACATACAGGACAAGTTTGTTAAACATGCAGGACAGCGGCCGGGGGAAAAGACATAAAGTTTATTAAAGACGGACAGCGGCCGGAAAAAGGACTTATGGGATTAAACAGAGATGGTAGCGGTTGGAAAAAGGACACATGTTAAACGTAGACACGTGGATGGTACTTGTTGAAACCCACATGCAATCACACAGAGGCCCGGTAGGGGCCTCTATTTTATTTTTAAGTATAAAGATATTGTGATACCATTAGAACCCAGAACCAAGACATAGAGCATTTTATAGATACCATTATAAACTAGATGATAGCGAAAGCCCTAGCCAATCAGAATTACACAACGCATTGTGATACCAATAAAACTGATAAATAACCGAAAACGACTGGCCAATGGCAGTTGAGGGGGTGGCCTCTCGCAACGCCATATAAACCATGTTCAATCCCGAGGGATTTCAGAGTTCTCCTGATGTGCACATCTGTACCTCTCCGGGTTTTACTTGAATAAAACTCGTTTGTGACCAGCCTGCACTTCGGCCTCTGGACTCAATTTGTGTTTGACTCTCGAACGATCTCGGCTTCAAGCTCAAAGAAACAACTGGTGCGTCCCCTGGTCTGCGGTTCAACAGAGAAGCGATTCTTCGTGTGTCGACCCACCTGATCCTACGGCCAGCACCCGGGAGAGAGGCGGAACGCCTCGGCGCGCCCCGGACCTCCAGGGAGAGGCCTGGATCGGGCTCCGGGTCGACACATCAGTACAAACGCAGCACACTTTGAAATGTCGTCTAACCTGGGCAAGTCGATATTTATGTAGCTGCACCGAAGTTCACGATGAACACTTCTCGATCACTGAGTAGAGAAAGAGTTGTGGAAAAAAATGGAAATTGATCAAAAACTAACCGTTATAAAATGTCTGCAATCCAGACTCCAGAGAGCATGAAGTTATTTTTTTGTTGTTGTTTTTCTGTTATTAAAACAGATTACAATGAAATAGTTACTCGGCAAATTTTATCTTTTGCAGTGGCAACAACAAAATAAAGAGTATGCCTTGGGTTTAACCAAACCACTCGTTCAATATTCAATTGCTGAAGACATTGTTTTGTTTTGATTTTTTTTTAAAGCATGGCTTGTTGCAGAACACCACACAAACCTTCCGGTACTCCATTCGCACATTATAGTGTTGTTGGCGAGAACATGCGAATTCCATTTAGGACGCAACTCAGCTTACTATCCAATTTATTCCAACCAAAAGGAATTGTTGAATAGATCGTTCCAGTGCTTTCTCGCAGGGCCCAATTAAAAGTTTTTCCTTTCGCCTGCAGCGCGCTCTAAGTGTAAACGTGTTGAATCACATTGCTGACACACAGGCTTGAAGCTGTTTCCACCTTTAAAGAGAAAGAATCTAGATACGAGTCTCTTCAAAATTATGGAAACTACTGCAATGCGTTTCATGTTGTGAGATTTTAAAATTATTAGACAATTGAACGGCTTCGTAAAGTCACATTAGACGACAAGTGCATATTCTGATCGATTCTGGAGGAAGTTGAGCCCGCTTGATTCCAGATTGAAATCTTGTCACGTGACCGAATCACGGCATCCCTGCAGTTGCCTGGCACCAATCAAGCAGGAGTGAACAATTCAGGGGGATGGTGAGCATGGCTAAGGTCACTCGTTACAGAGCTCAAACCGAATATTTCAATGGAGTCATGGCTGTCCGTGTTTGGATGTGCAGTACAGTAAATGGATGAATTATTGTTGTTGTTGTTGTTGTCCAGCTGACAGCCCTTTTCTGGAATTATTGTTGTTTTTTAGTACTGCCCCAGAGGTCCAGCTCAAGGCCCCAACTAGAGGTCCAACGAGGGGGAGCCATATCGCCAGAAGGGCCTGGCCTCAGGAACCCCGGATGAGTTGATGCAATAAATGAATTCAGTGCAACAGCGAGAAACATCTTTGGAGCATCCGAGGGCTGACACATCATTATGTGCATTCAGGCTGACAAATTCAGACGAAGGAAACTTTGAACTAGTCTTTGTTCTCCCCTTGTTAGAGCGGATGGGAGTACACTCAGTCGGCCATGCTACTGAGTTCCTCACAAGCTGTGAGACGAATGACAGACAATTTGAGGCCAATTCAATTTGCACTGCAGCGGGGGGGGGCACTGGGCTGTTGGTGATCATCTCCCCAAAGAACATGTTTCATCATGCCTTCGGGCCATTAACTTGTGGGCTGCATGAAACGTTTGTTCATGCTTCTGCTGCCTTGTGTTGATGTGCAAAAAAAAAAAAAAGCCTCCCTGTTTCATCATAGTTTATTTCGAACTTTGAACGGCAAAATTCGCTAAAAAGACTCAGTGATGTTGATCACAAATATTGGTATTAACAATTTCCAGTTGCTATTGAAGGAAGTTATATCGCAATAAAATTAAAACCCACACTGATGGCCTATTGATTTTTTATTTATTTATTTATTTTTTACCGTGCAAGGAGCAGCCTCAAGGAAGTCACGTCCTCAGCGCTGAATTATAACATATCTTTCCATTATACTTTTGCACAATGTGCACGTAGAATCAACTTTTATATTAACTTTGTTTTATGGTTAAAGGAGGAGTGCTGGATGGAGCCTATCCGTTGACCTCGGGCGGAAGGCGGACCACACACTGAAGTGGTCGGCAGTCAGTCGCAGGGTGCATCTCGAAACGAACAATCTGAGTGCGAACCGATCCCACGCTGCACGCACAAGTCAAACGAGTGTCCATCAGCGACTGCACAGAATATACCCGGTAATTAAAAATTGAAAAGAAATATATATTGATCGATTTTGGTTTATCTTGCAGGGCTTCCGTGACTTTTTCTCCCTACACAAGCGTGCCATCTGCTGGGTTTCGGTTTTTAGTACAAGCATTACTGAGAAAAAGACAACATTGGATAAGTAACGACACAAAGCAGAGACGCAAATGGCTGGAGGGTTAGTGTTATTATTATTGTTATTATTATTATTATTAATATTGTTTTGACAGTGATGTCTCGCTACAAATTTCCACTGTCACATAATGGGAAGCTTCAAAAGATGTAGTACATGCAGCTTGCCGCTAGAAGGAGTGCGTCTGCTCTGATAAAGCCGGAAATAGCATCTGCATCCTTTGTTGACGGAAATCAACACCAGAGTAACCCAGCAGCGCAATGAATAGTACATATGTGGATTTGAGCAACGGTTTCGAGGATGTTATTATTTCATTTAAACCGGATTCAAATGAGCATACGTTTCCTGTGTTCCAGGTAATGTCTCTCATCAGATTTATCTTGAGTTCACTTGACATCTGCATAAAATGTAGACTGCAGTTCCTCGTTTCCAACGGCGTAACTTTTCCACGTGGGCGACGTAAATCGATTTTGGGCGTAAATTGGAACTGAAGTCTGTCACTACGATAATTATCATGATATTGTGGGGAGGTTGGCGTTATTAAAAAGGTCACAATAATGTACAAAAATTCATGATATTGTAAAACAAAAAGCTCAGTACTGGAAAAAAAGCAGAGTACTGTAGTGTGTTTTTGTGAGTAAGTGACAAAGAAATTTTAAAGCCATGTGTTCCTACTGGCTCAGCAGTGCAAAGTTATCACGATAAATGTAGTTCACGATTCCATGTTCAGCTTTCTTGACAGAGATGTGCTGCTTTTTATAGATCGTAAGATGACGATGATGATATCGTGGCAGTTTTAATATCGCCGTTATCGTCGCTATGAATGATACTGTAATTTTCACGCGCTAGTCAGTTTAGCGTATGTGTGTGTGTATATACAGTATCCCATTATGTACAGCATTGACATGCCTTGACTTTTTTTACATTCTTCCTTTTCCTTGACAATGACAGAATGTCAAAAATGTACACTCTTAATTTTTAGGTTGACTCTGTATTTTTCAGTATTCTCCAGTCAACGTTCAAGGACCCGGATGCCCTGTTGACCCCAGTGAAGTTACACTTCCTGGCTGCTCCTGCCTTTCCCACTCATGCATCAGTGAGAGCTGTTCCTGCCTGCAGACCCACGGACAAGCCTACACCAGCGACGGCTCGTTGCTGAGCACGAACGTATCGGATGTCGGTCCCTCCACCCCAGTGTTTGAGTGTAATGCCCTTTGTGCCTGCAGTGACAGTTGCTCAAACCGAGTGGTGCAGAGAGGGCTGAGACTACGTTTGCAGGTGTCCTCCACGAGCGGCAGGGGTTGGGGAGTGCGGGCGCTTCAGCGTATCCCGCATGGGACGTTTGTATGCGAGTATGCAGGCGAGGTCATCGGTTTTGAGGAGGCACGACGAAGGCAGCTTGCGCAGAGATCTGAGGAAAACAATTACATCATCGCTGTACGGGAGCATGCGGGCTCAGGCTCCGTCACTGAGACATTTGTCGACCCGGCCGCAGTGGGAAACATCGGTCGCTTTCTCAACCACTCCTGCTTGCCCAACTTGTTCATGGTGCCGGTCCGCGTGCACTCGTTGGTGCCCAGATTGGCACTGTTTGCTGGCCGCCATATCGATGTCGAAGAGGAGCTGACGTTTGACTACTCTGGGGGCTACAGAAATCAAACACCTGGACAGCCACGCTTGGCGCAAACTGACGCTGCCATTCAGGCTAGTAGGACGCTCCAGAGGAAAGCGTGTCACTGTGGTGCCAACAACTGTGCAAAGTTTCTGCCTCTGGATTTATCCATTTTAAACTAACCTAAATTGCACGTTGTCCCACATTGTGAGTCGTTGCATTAAGAGGTATCCTGTCGGTAAAGCCTGTATAATTTGTCCAGCAAGAACACAGGACACACTCAGACACGTTTTGTCCTCATTTTTTGCTGTTTGGTCTCGTAATGTGGAGGGAACTCCTTGACATGTCCTTGCCCGGTCTTTCTCAGGCATCGGAGAATGTTTGTTCTGTGCAGAAATTCAGTCAGCATGTCCGAGCACACAATATCCTGTGCTTGTCAAGAGCGGGACGACTGTGAACACTGGCACATGGTAACTAGGTTTCATTTACTATCAGCAGTGCTCATATGTTAGAATGACAGGAAAAGCCCGGTGCCATGAAATAATTTGTCCTTCCCCAAAGCAAAACCTCGAGTGTTAATAAATACTCTCATTTATGTCACCCGCAACCATCTCGCGGCTTCTCATCCCTCTTGAGCTCCCGAAAGGTGGGACCAATTAAAACGGGCTCGGGGATATTTTGATATCGAAATAAGTTTTATTCCCCAGTCAAAAGGAGGAGGAGGAGGAGGAGCGTCCCACTTTAGTATGACTACCAGTACGTCTCAAATGAGGCCCTCCTCTCAATGTGGCCCATTTTTGTGCTTGACCCACTTTCCTCTTATTAATATCAACATCTGGGTTAATTAGAATCTCTTTCATGCAGAAATGGGACCATTGCTCCAGCCACACTGGGCCTGGGAGACAGGAGGATGTAGGAGTGGACACACACGGGGGCTGATTATTTTCCATCTCGTCAGAAGAGTGAAATTTGTCAAATTTGTATTTTCTCCTTGCGTGGTCTTACCTGTGCACAGCAATTAAAAAAAAAACAAAAAACTTCAGATCAGTTTTTTCACCCCCTGACCACACTCACCATTTCTCTGGACAGTTGACCCCAAGTATTTTAAGTTCGCCGGCCTCGCTTGTCCCTGTAGCCACGCTCACCCCATGCCCGTTTGGATATGAATGTATAGAACTTACTGGCTCAAACGGTAGTCATTAAAATTGAACGCATAATTCGTGAAAACACGTGTCCTCCTTGTACAGATGCATCTCACTGTCCTTTCAAAGTATCTATGAGCTTTATAAGAACAACCTCAATTGGATGACTCATTTTTGTCAGAGTCTGTGGAATCCCCTTGGCAACAGAATGTGTGTACAGGTGATGATTGGTCAGTGCCGGTTGCGTCTTGCCAGCACAAAGATTGTGCTCATATCTGGACTGCTCACAAGAGCCGGCCTTCAAACAAATAGGTCTCTTCCAGGGTAGTCACCTAGCAACCACACGTTAATCACATTTGGCAAACTGCGCATGATGGTAAGGATGCTGCACGATGCGTGACGTAGTCGGATCCTTCATATTGTCATTGAGTCCAAGAAAAAGGGAAGTCAAATCAAAAAATGTCTTTCCGGTAAGACGTTCCATGCGCCCCCACTAAACACGGTATTCAGATTACAATTTCGTATGCGGAATATGAGTTCAGCAGAAAAATCCACCTCTATTGTTTTTATCCGTCTCCTGGGGTGGCCATGTCTGACCTACGTTTAAAACCCTTATGCAGCAAAAGATGGAATTTGTGGCTATGCTGTGTGTGAGACAACACGTTGCGTGCGGTATGGGGACTTGCCTCGAGGACACTGTTCTCAGTCGGGAGTGGCATCCAGTCATGTGGCGCACGCTGGACCAATTGGTCCCTCGCTGTCTGATGACACAATTATGATTCTCTCGCGGGGCAGCGGCACTCGTGATGTTTGACCAGCATGCAGTGAAACAACTCCAAAGAGTTGAGCCCAGAAAATCCCATCGTTTGTCTCATCTTTGCACTCCCGTCTCATCTGGTGCAATGTTGCCAGGATATTTTGACACAATCCATAGCCTGTTACAAAAAGACACAACTGACCTCACGCATAAAAAGTTGAACCCTTAAGTGACTGTTCTCGACCGATTACCAGCAGTGAAATCTGCTTGGAGAAAATTCTAAAGGTTAAATATGTGGCATGAGACCATTCTTCTTCTGCTGCAGTGTAGCACAAGAGTTGGAAAATCTGAAATGCTCCCTTTCTCCTGCAAATCAAACACCTGGTGGATAATTTACCTCGCCGTGCATGTGTGATGAGGTGTATGGTCTGCCGTCATGATTATTCGGTAACCAAGGTGATGTGATGACGTGGTCCTCGAGAGTGGCGCATCTAATGAGGAGGCCAGCTACGAATCTAAAAATTGTAATGGATTGACATCACCGCATTGGAGTATGCGGCGAGGCTAATCGCATCGACATCATTTATAGGCAAAGCGTCAAGTCTGAAACTTGTTTTCCGACACTGCAGAAATCCCGAGCCCTAATTACAATCTCCCGTATTTCCAAAGGGAATATGCGGGCCATTATGGCAGCATAATTGTCTTTTATTTTTAGTGAGGACATTTGCGACATGTATTCAGGGTGACGCTGTGGCGTTCTACAGTATCGACACTCTTTTGAGTATCCGCATACGCAGTGCATCAATGAACACGCTGTACTGTACTTTTAAGATGCTCATCGTGGGCGTCAAGGAAACTTTTAGCGTAGTCCTCACGCCACACGATTCGTAATTAGAAGTCGATGTTAGCGTTCCTTGAGAGGCTCTTTGCGCACTTCTGATAAATCTGCCGCCAGCCACTCGTTCATGTGTGAGCGCCGCGATCAGCTGGAATTAAAGTTAAACCTCTTAAGTTGTGACTCGGAGATCACTCGACCCAGCAGGGACATGATGTAATTCGCACTTACTGCAAGTCGAGAGCCTGACAGACAGAAAGCAGATGATGGACGTGTGTTTGCCTGACCCCCTCGTACACTTTGCGGGGCTTGGTTGGAATGTAACGGCGAGCATTTTCACTGAGCATCCATTCACACTGTCTCACCGTGTCCTGTAGCTCACATTCTGGAGTGAACTTGAGAAAACCTGGACTTCGTGTTCAACAACCAGGGCGGGGGACTGAGAGTTTAGCCTGTAAAAAGTCATTCTTAACGCTTATATTGAAAGATGCCTGAAATTACCCTCTCCACTCTACTTTTAGTTCAGAATGACGGATTAGCCTTTAACTACGGTTGTTTTTCTTTTTTTTTCTCTCCAGTGGTGCTGTGACTTTACTGGGTCACTGTCCTAGATCCAGAATAGCAGTAAAAGCCATGACATTGTTTATGTCCTTGCGGCGGAAACACGACTTGGCGCAAGATTGATCCTGATTTTCAATTTTAATCATCCACACATTGTCAGGTTTGACGAAGCCCGACAACAAAGGCAACCGAATCTTTGGGTTGGTTTGCAAACATGGTGAGAAACAAAGGCGCATCAGTGACACAGACAAGAACACCGCCAACACAAGGCTGCCTGGGGAAGGCCAGATGTGCACTTGAGGATATTCACTCAAATGTGCGCGCCGGGCTGAATTTCACAAAGCTGTGTCGACGCCCACACGGACGCTTGCTACTTTTTTGAGCAACCCCCCTGTCTCCTGTGTGTTTCTTGTTTCTCCGCTGCGGGAAGAAATTCGGCCTTCGCCACATTTCCGTGTTGGAGAATAACTTCCAAGCATGTAACTCGCTAAGTCACGCTCTCTCTGACTGAAATTGTGACCTTGTAATGCATCCGATGAAGTAGGGATGTTCAAACTATGGGCCGAGGGCCATTTGTGGCCCACGGCAGATACAAACATTGAAATTTGAGAAGGCTCACAAGACTAGTTAAAAAAAAAAAGGTGGATGGAGGTGGGCAGAGTGAGAAAGGAGGGTGTCGCAAAAAATAGGTGCTACTACTCCTGATAAATTCTGAACAGCTTTTTCTAGACATACAAATGAACTACTGTATGTACAACTAAAATAACAAGACAGTTTGTCTTCAAAACACTGATGAATAAAGATAATTCAGTTTCTTTCGAAAAAAAATTAATGTGCATTCACTTCAGACTCACAAGTGTCGCGAAACATAGTCTTTTTTTTTCTCAAAACACTTCATCGCTTATTTCCCCTTCCTGTAGTCAGAGGAAGCCAGTTTTCTCTACACCGTATCCATGACAACTGAGTACTCAGTGATCTGTAGTCAACATCACTTTGTGTCAAATGTGGCAAAAGCCTGGAAATACTTGTGGCAGCTGGGTTTTGACCTCCGTCAGATATTGCAATCTCATGAAACTGATGATGCTCTTGAATGCGCGTGATGCACTCTGATGACACCGCGCATCTATCACGCTTGAGTTTGTGAGGGATTGTGATGCAATGTGATTAGTGGGCTAATTTTCTAGTTTCACTCTACTTCTGGTATATGAGGTGAAGAAATTTGCCCCCAGGCCTTGAGTTTGACACCTATGATTTATATGAATGACATACTTTCCTCGACGATGAATCATGCTATGATTTAAAAAAAAACGTGCCCCTTAGCGTCCTTTTTTTTGGAATGAAAGACAATCATTTTGTTGTTTGTTTTGAGCTTAGATGCATCTCAACTTAAAGAATGATTTTCCTGTATGTCAGACTTGGGTTCACCCACACGCCGCGTTCCCTTTTTGAGTCATCTGTTGTACCTCCGTTTGAAGAGGAATGTGCTCCAGTTACAGGAGAGGGTACCACACTGGGATTTTAATGGCTCCGCTGCAAATAAACCAGATCACTCAAACTTGAGGCCACTAAATTTGACATTATGACCTCAATTGCCTAACTTGCCTGGTTCCTTCACAAAGCATCAATAGAAAAAAAACCATCAAAACATTCTTAAAAAAACATAAAGCACAGAAGGAGGAAAAAAACACAAAGAAGCTAAGTCAATTAGTGTTTTTGATTGGGGACTGGCCAAACATAATGCCCTTGATTCACACCCTTTCACTGGTTGACATGCACAGCGTGATCCCCTTTTATAAACCGTGACATGTGTGTTTCTGTTTCTGACATTATTTACAATAAGCCGATTTATCTTCAAAAGGAACCATGGCGAAAATACAGACGTAGTTAACCTGATGAGTGAGGGACAGGATACTTTTCAAGACGTTCACTCATTTTATCCTCCACCCACGGGTTGTGACGGATTGAGATTTTATTTTGAGAGAAACCTGAAAATATTTGGTCGTTCTGATGGCGCACAACAACAACAAAAAAAACGCAACACATTCTTGTCATTATTAAACAACGTACCCAATTTTTCATCCCATCTTCACTCCTCAATATGCCAGCAAAGGACTTCAATTGTGGCAATTTCTCGACATCGCGTGAAAGAACTACATGAATTCCCATGAATCAGTGCGACAGTATAAATAGGCAGGAAAGGGGCGGGCCATCAGTGACATGTGGAGGAGTGGAAGCGGATTGTAGCTCAGTTGTCAGAATAACGTTCGCTCTCACTCTCTCCCTACCTGGACTTCCACCACCATGGGGACTTAACCGAGGATAGCACGGAGGAATTGATCCTGTGCTGACCTAATTAACATCCGTTTCTGTGGCTGGTTTGCCGCCTTAACTTAATTTTGGCCAGGTAATGATGTGTCCTTTCAGTTGAATGTTTGAGCTTTCAGCATCCTCGTGAAGGAAATAGCCCACGCGCGAATTGTCATCTCCGACTGCTGTTTTTTCTCTCTCTTTCTTTCTCTTTTAATTACGCTATGCGTGTGCGTGCGCGTGCTACACAAAAGCTACGGGAAGAGCGATGATTGAAACCGAGATAAATGTAATTATTCTTTAATTGGACCTTGTCTGTACTGGAGCCGCTCGAGTCATGTCATGCATGTCACATCACGTAAACAAGGAAATCTTGAAAGTTGCATTGTGAATGTGAGAGTGTGATCGGCGTCACTTTGTGTACTGGTGATGGTTGTTATTTGTGTGAATGTTTTTTAGCTTGCTTCAGTAACCAATGCAATGCAAAAATATAGCTCATTATGTATGCCTTGGAGTGACTTAAGTTTTGGCAAAGTCACGAAAAGGCTGCATTGATTTTCTTGGAAAAACCACCATCAAGTTATTTTCTTTGGTGCGTGCTTGTACAATATTAATCTTCCAACTGTAATTTTGTTATAGCACATGGTCACAGGCATATAGAATATTCTGAACCCAAGAGTGTGTATCGGTGATTTAAATGTATTATTTCCCATCCACATTTTGTATGCTTGAAGAATAAGATCAGATCCAAGAGCTGCATTAAAATTCTGCCTTTATGAATACAACAATACTAAGTTCGTGTATGCATAGCTAAATGAGGTATTCGCCTTTGAATATTTGGGGATGGGGGTGATTTTCACAAGAATATGGCTAAATATGTTGGGAAATGGCTTACATGATGCATTAACGCATTGAAATGAGTTATCCATAGATAATGAACGTGTCCTTGTATATGTGTTAATTTTTATTTATTTATTTATTTATCTATGTATTTATATATTTCATTGGGACATCCATCCATTTTCCGATCGGCTTTATCTTCACAAGGGTCGCGGGGCGTGCTGGGGCCTATCCCAGCCGTCTACGGGCGGTAGGCGGGGGACACCCTGAACGGGTTGCCAGCCAATCGCAGTTCATTGGCACAGTGCACATTAAATCCACAAATGAATAAACAGTGTAAATGCGCCGGAATTAGCATCAATGCTAGTTTTCAGCCATAGTCCCATGGCAGGTTTCTTAACATAAACATAACGGCAACAGTTAACATAAAATAACAAAATAATTTAACACGAACATAACATAAAACACAGACAGTCACGCAAACTTAGCCACTTTTCCTAGCCGCTTTGTTGTTTTTGAAGTGTGTAGACACACACACTCAATTTGTACAACTGACAAATGACGCTTTATGACTGCAAAATGTTCCACATGGTAACTTTGAAGTGATTTAAATGCTGATTATGTCCTTTTGGTGCTCATTTTCAGGAGCTGTTGAGCGTGAAGGGACTATGTCAGACAAGATGTCCAGTTTCCTCCATATTGGGGACATTTGTTCCCTATATGCAGAGGGCTCCACCAGCGGATTCATCAGCACCTTAGGGTAGGTGTCGAACCCTGTCTGTTAACATTCTTGACTCCTACAAAAAGACCGTCGGGTCAGCAGTGTTCTCCAGTGGCGACTCCAGTCTATTCGACTTTCATACCTCATGATATTGTTTACTCGAAAACTGCACGGGTAGCTGTGGCACGGTAATGGAGGTGACAGGCAGATTATTGTTTGTGCCTGGGAAGTGGCTTTTTTTCACATTGACACAAAATCGCTTACTGTCCAGTGTACACTAAACTGTGTATTGGTTCCGTTAAACTGGGGTTGGCTGATGTTGATTTTGGAACTTGTTTCCTTAGGCTTGTGGATGACCGCTGCGTGGTTCAACCTGACACAGGTGACCTGAACAACCCACCCAAGAAATTCAGAGGTAAGGCGGCAGGGCTATCAAGCACTTTCTATAATGAGTCTGAAGCTTGTGGAACGTTTTTTTTTTTTTTTGCCTGATTCTTTGTATAGCATAGCAAATAACTTCCAATTGTCCTTCCTAGAACATGCCAGTGAAAGTACAAATTGAAACAATACGTGTTCACTATTATTCAGAAGCTCTCTGTCACTCGTACCTGTCCAACGCTATTGTTTCATCCATCATTTTGCAAATATTTTCCACCACAACAAAAAGTGCTCGAAAAATATCTGCTGGATTTTGAAAGCGACTTGCTCCCCGTCGAGCTAAAATGTAGATCAGGATCCTGCAGGGTGGTTTGAAAAAGCTGCACTCATACACCCTCTACTAATACAAGTTTTGTCTTATTTCGGCTTCTGTCCCCAGATTGCCTTTTCAAACTGTGTCCCATGAACAGATATTCAGCGCAGAAACAATTCTGGAAGGCAGCAAAACCTGGAGGCAACAGCACCACTGACGCTGTTCTCCTCAACAAACTGCACGTAAGGCCCCCGATCATCATGCGAATGAATCTGCCGCGGTGAGCACAACAGCTTGAACAGCTAGCTGGTGGCACACGGCTGCCTTGGTGACGTGTGCACGAAATTGGCTGTATGCGCATTTCACTACACTTGACATCCGCAGCTTCACGCTCAAATACGATCGCATTGATGCGCTGCATCAACGTTTTTTGAAACTGTTCTTCATTCCTTCCTGTGTATTTTTTCTGTTAAAAGCTCTCCTGTCATGTCGATAACCAAGGTCATCACAATATTAGAAAAGTTTTACGGTTTGCCTGCGAGGCTAAACTGTCAACTTTAAATCACCATTTTGTAACAAATTCCGTGCAAACTCACCGGTATAGCCACACATGCATGACATTCACACCTACAGTAAAGGCAATTTTGAATTTTCAATCAGAAAACCTCCTCAGGTTCCCCCCCGCCCACAAAATCATTATCAGGTATACCAGTAGTTGTGCTCTCATGCTGAAGCTCCTCACATAAGCTCAACAGGTTGAAGACCGAGGCTTCCCTTTCGTATCTTATTTTCACATTCCACTCAAATTTTATTCATATTGTGACACTAATTAAATAATGCGCCTTTCTTTATGGTTCCCTCTGTGACTGATTTTAGCCATGCACGTTTTCCATGACAATTGGCGTGGGGCTATTTTTACACTTGCGCCGTGAGGTCGAAGGTCTAGTTTGTGAAGTATCTGTCGAGGTCAACATTTTGCTTCGACATACTTGATTTGGGGTGTAATTGTTCCCATTTCCCTTTGACAAAGCACGCGGCTGACTTGGAAAAGAAGCAGAATGAGTCGGAGAATCGCAAGTTGCTTGGATCAGTCATCCAATATGGAAATGTCATTCAGGTACGTTCACCAACCTGAGAGATAATGTCCAGAGTCATGTTCTCACTGTCCGCTTTGTGCTATTGATGGGAATGTCTTGTAGCTATTTACGGTCATTTTTTTTCTTCCTCCTAAGCTGCTGCATTTGAAAAGCAATAAGTACCTGACCGTGAACAAGCGTTTACCCGCACTGCTGGAAAAGAATGCCATGAGGGTGACATTGGACTCGGCAGGAAATGAGGGGTCCTGGTTCTACATCCAACCTTTCTACAAATTGCGCTCCCTGGGAGACAGTGTGGGTAGATTGGGCTGTGGGACTCAGTTGCCGTCATCTCTGATGGCTGAAATTGCCGCTTGAATTCTAACATAAAAAGTTGATCGGTTACCGCACTTGAAATCGTAATGAGTACCATTACTTCCCATTGAAATAGATCCTTAAGAGTGAAGACAAAATGATCGATTTCATATTTTTATTTGTTTTCTAAATATCTTGAAATGAAAATAATGGAAATGCCAACTTCTTTTAGTCCTTTGTTGACCACTTCCTGGTGTCACTTCCAGCCAAAAGGCACCAAAAATCAATCTTCACTGTATCTCTAAATATGGACGGTGTATTGATAATTTTTGGCTTGTATTTTCATACCCTTATCAAAAAATGTGCAACAAAATAGAAATTACACAGAACGACCGCTGCTGTAAGCAGTCTGGTCTAAATTGTGCCATTGCAAGGAACTCTTCTTTTGTAAATTCAAATGTGATACAGTGCACGGCGCCCTCTGGTGTTCATATTGACATTATTCACCCGATTTTAAGAGTGACATCGCTATTCCATCCACGAGCCGTTTTTCCTCATGAAGGTGACGGGCGTGCCGGAGCCTATCTCAGCAGTCTTTGGGCAGTGGGCGGGGTACACCCTAACCCGGTTGCCAGCACATAGCAGGTCACACATCGACAAACAGCAGCCTTTTGCGCTCACAATCACATCTCAGGACAATTTAGAGCATTCCATTGACCTCCCATGCATGTTTTTGGAACGTGGGAGGAAACTGGACTACCCGGAGAATATCCAGGCAGGCACAAGGAGAACATGCAAACTCCACACAGGAAGGCCAGAGCCCAAATTTGAACGCACAACCTAGCCCGGAATCGAACCACGAGCCTCTGCACTGTGAGGCGGACATGCTAACCACTTCGTTACCGTGCCGCCTCAAGGGCTTCATACCAAGCTAATATATGTTAAAATATTGCGTATATCGTCATGGAATATGGACTAGAATAATGGTAATACACATGGCAACGCAGTAGGCCGAGTCCAAACTGTTGACACAACAACAAACTGGAGAATTTTATGTAATGGTGGAGAGAGGAAAAAGAAAACTAGAGAGTGGAGGCGAAAAGCAATAAAAAAATCTGTCATATTGCAGACGTGTGGTTACATTTCATATCCCAATTTTTCCATTGCGCTCCTGAAGGTGGTGATTGGCGATAAAGTTGTCCTTAACCCCGTGAATGCAGGGCAGCCTCTTCATGCCAGCAGTCACCAGCTCGTCGACAATCCAGGGTGCAATGAGGTATGATTGCACATTGATTCAAATATTGTTTGGAAGGTGTACTCCATGTAAAAAGGATGAAGTCATCATGTATGTGGATAGACATGTATATGTATATATGATATAGTTCGACTGTCTGTATATCTGTATTGTCATTGATGGCCTCTGACCTTTTGTTCTCATCTTTCATCTAGGTTAATTCTGTCAATTGCAACACCAACTGGAAGGTTGTTTTATTCATGAAATGGAGTGACAACAAGGAAACCATCCTCAAAGGGGTTGGTACATTACTTTGACTTTTTTGTGAGATGCACGGCAGCGGTCAGCCCGTCTGAAATCCATTTGCAATGGCAGGGAGATGTTGTTCGGTTGTTCCATGCAGAGCAGGAAAAGTTCCTCACGTGTGACGATCACAGAAAGAAGCAATATGTATTCCTGAGAACAACAGGCCGCCAATCTGCCACATCTGCCACCAGCAGCAAGGCACTCTGGGAAGTAGAGGTTAGTCGGTTCTTTTTCTTTCTTTTTTCAAGTTGCATGGAGTGTAATCCTGAAGAAGAAAAACTATTGTTGCTGACACTGCTTTATGTTGCTTTAAAGATAGCAAGCAAACGTAAAAGTCTTATGACATTGTCTTCCATTTTGGCCTTGGCAGGTGGTCCACCATGACCCATGTCGCGGAGGTGCAGGCTACTGGAACAGCCTGTTCAGGTTTAAACATTTGGCAACCGGTTGCTATTTGGCTGCAGAGGTGGGAGAGGTGTGCCTTTATCTCTTACGCTCCTAATTGGTTACCATGTAACAACATATTTTTCTTGAATAATAAACTCAGAAATTTATGGAAGTAAATCCCATGCCCAAAAGTCATCAAAAGTTATTTGCACAGGTGAACCCTGACTTGGAGGAAGAGAGTGTGGAGCAGCGATCTGCAGTAAGTCACTTTGATGAGTGTTGATGGGCCTTGCACTACTGGTCTTTAATATGCTCATTCATACATGGTGGATTCTTTGCTTTCTGCTCTAGGTGGTGGACTTTACACCCTTTAATTTCCAGGTACCGCATTAATACATTCTAGAAACATGACATAAATAATCATGGATTGTCCCAAAAATCTCGCCCGTCCTTATAATTCAATTATCGTCACACCAAAAACATGTCAGACATTCAAAATGGTGACCTTCTACTTCGTGTGGTACAATCTTGGGTGCGCATCCACGACAATAGCATCGTAAGAATCAATTTACTGCCGATTCGTGTGTTACCGGAAACCTCCGCTAGTGGGCAGGCTTTCACTGTAATCACCCAGGTTCCCGGCTATTGCGCGCATGCGTGTTCCTCAGCATTACGATACATAGACGATTATAGATCATACATTTTGTCCATGATTGTGGCTGGTGGTTTTTGTTGCGTTGTACTTTTTTTTTTTTTCAAACCAGCTGGATGCAGATAATGAAGCTTTACGTGGCCGTCTACGGGCCCCTCAAGAGAAAATCATGTACACCCTTGTCCCAGTCCCGGATGGCATGGACATCTCATCCATCTTTGAATTAGACCCCACCACGTTGAGAGGCGGAGACTCGATGGTGCCCAGGTACAAAGCAAACACTTTAGAAGAAACATCTGTCTCTTGGTGAATCCACCGGTTGGCCCTCAATACTTTCAAATGGCAAAGACATTCACCTGCAACCTTAGAACATCAATTACACTTTGGTGGTCAAATGTCAAGATGATTTAAGCAGGGTGCACACATAACTATTATGAACATCTTAATCGTTCATTCATTATCTGAGCCGCTAATTATAGTTTGTGTCGCGTTGAAAGGAAACACACAACTCAACTACTTGTGTCAAAAGTTAAGTCCAAATCCACGAGAAACTTTCTGAAATAACGGACGGGAATTGTGAGAATTCCGCCCTTTCTGATAATTCCGGCATTATTTTGGTTTGGAATGAAACTTCGTTCCTCTGTAGCTTAATTTCTTTGTGTTCTGTTGCTGTAATTTTTTTTTTTTTTTTTTTTAAGGAGTTCCTACGTGCGGCTAAAACACTTGTGTACGAACACCTGGGTTCACAGCACCAACATCCCCATTGACAAAGAGGAGGAAAAGCCGGTTATGTTAAGGGTGAGTTCAATCAAAAGCACGTCGTTTTTCAGCTGGACAAATGTATTGACATTCAACTCATTCCATGTTTTCAGATTGGAACGTCGGCAGTGAAAGAAGACAAGGAGGCTTTTGCCATTGTACCAGTGCCACCAGCAGAGGTGCGGGATTTAGACTTCGCCAACGACGCAAGTAAAGTGTTGGCATCAATTGCGGGCAAACTGGAAAAGGGCACCATTACGCAGAATGAAAGAAGGTAAATGGTGTTGGTTTTCAACCTCCTTTTTTTTTTTAAACTATATTTCGATGTCCCAGTTATAGTACACATGTTTTGTTACGTCCCCGTACATTCTCTCTCCAGGTTTGTGACCAAGCTCCTGGAAGATCTCGTCTTCTTTGTAGTGGACATCCCAAATAGTGGACAGGATGTTTTGGAGATCATGGTCAACAAACCTAACCGAGAAAGACAGAAACTCACGAGAGAGCAGAATATCCTGAAGCAGGTTTGTAAAATTGGATAGTAAAAATGCTGTCCAGAGCTCAGACTGCCGCGCTTGACTGTTTTTTATAGATCTTCAAACTTCTTCAAGCGCCTTTCACAGACAGCGGCGACGGTCCCATGCTGCGTCTCGAGGAGCTGGGTGATCAACGCCACGCTCCTTTTCGTCACATTTGTCGGCTTTGTTACAGAGTGTTGCGCCACTCTCAGCAGGACTACAGAAAGAACCAGGTGGGGGGGAACATGACCGCTTCGCTCCAACCCAATGGCTCGTAACCATCCTCTCTTTGTCTCCTTTGTGCAGGAATATATCGCCAAGCAATTTCGCTTTATGCAGAAACAAATAGGCTACGATGTGCTGGCAGAAGACACGATAACTGCTCTACTCCACAACAATCGGAAGTTGCTCGAGAAACATATCACTGCTGCGGAGATTGACACATTTGTCACTCTTGTGAGGAAGAATCGGGAGCCAAGGTAAAAAAAAAAAAAAAATGGGGGAAGGGTTCTTGCTGCTATTGTAAAATGGCAGAAATTGGAACACGATGACACATTTGAAAACAGTAGCATGCACTGTTTTGTATAAACCTTCAGCCCTATTTAAGATCACAAATAGCATTTTTGCTGGAACAGATTGCGATCTTTTGCTCTGTTCTCAAATAGCGTGCACTAAATTGAGTTTTCACTCTCGCTAACAAATTACGCTGCTTGTTGGCGACCGGCGTGAAGGTGTTGGGTTTTCAAATTAAACATGATGTTTGATTTTACGGCGTGGGTGCCAATTGGGTGTAGCGGCAACGTTGCGTTTCAAACTGGAACAGTTTGCTTAAGATGATCCTGAAGAAACATTTGATTTGCTGACTTTGACTGTTCAGGAGAAAAAAATGCTCAAATTTGGCTTCTTTGTCTTTTTGTGTGTGTTCATCCAGCATCAGTGTGTGTGCGTGTGTGTGATTTTCTTTTTTTTTCTTACAGTGCATTTGGCTATCCATCGCACCTTTACGTGAAATCTTTCCCTTTCTGTCTCTCAATCACAATAATAAAAATAATGCCAATGATAATTTTGTCTGCACCGGCCTTTTTTTAGACTGTGTATTTAAAAATGTAAAGTCAGCCGTCATGATTCATCTCAAGTTTGATAACTTACATTGTGCGTCCCAAAGGTAAGTAAAGTAAAGCTTCTCCTTTGTCAAGAGCACTTTGAAACAGTCATGCCTTTGCCACAACTCGGCTGGATTACTGTCATGCACTTGACCTTGGAGTCAGCCAATCCTCCATTAAGCCTCTCCAGTTGGTCCAGAATGCTGCTGCTCGATTCTTTACTGGTACTTGTAAGAGGGAGCACATAACTCCTACTCTGGTGTCCATTCACTGTTCAGTGTGTGGGAGTTTAGTGTTTGTTAAGATAACTCTGGTATCTATTTTCTTTGTGGCGTGTACATAGGTTTTTGGACTACCTGTCGGATCTTTGCGTATCCATGAGCAAATCCATCCCCGTGACGCAGGAGCTCATCTGCAATGCCGTGCTTGATCCGACCAACGGCGACATCCTCATCGAAACTAGGTTAAGCCTCGTCATGTCGGCTTACCTGCTGGTTTTATTTGGAGCATTTGAGCCAATTGAAAAAATGTCTCGTTTATTAGGTTAGTTTTATCGAGGTTTGAGGTTGACATAGGAACAAATGGTGATAATCCAGTCGAGGCTGAAGATGAAGAAGAGGTGTGGCTGTTCTGGAAGGACAATTTCAAGCACATACGAAGTAAGAGCGTACGAGAGTTGGCCCAGGATGCAAAGGAGGGTCAGAAGGAGGACGATGAGGTGGTCAGTTATTACAGGTCAGATACGTTTGAACCTACGCTTTGCTTTGTTTACCCTGTGAAATAATCACTTGCGGAAAACTTCAACGAACGCGCTCACTCTACGCATGTGATATTTGGATTGGATAAACCGAGAAAAAAAATAAGGACTTGATATACAGTTGCAAGTAACCTTATCTATATCTACAGAACTGTTCCAATTCAGTAATATTCTTGGAATGCCTGGTGAGAATCTCTTGCTAAGGTCATGCCACAGCATCTCAGTCAGGTTGAGTTCAGGACTCTGACTCGGCCACTCCATAAGGCTTATTTGCAAAGGCACAATGTCTCGATCAACTTGGGAATTCACTCCCAACTATTGCTTGTGTGCTATTAGTAGTTTAGGAAGACGGCGTTGGTCTATTGTTGTAACTTGGATGAAGATGAGGTCACTTTTCGTAATCGTTTTATGCAGAATTTGAAATAATACCAAAGAGTTGCCATACTTTTCCTTGCAACTGTCTGATAGGTTCATATGAAAAAGACAAAACGCGCACCACTGCAGCTGGCAAACGTCATCCACGTCATTTCTTGACAGGTGCCAACTCAACCTTTTCGCCCGGATGTGTTTGGACCGTCAGTACTTGGCCATCAATAAGATCTCTGGGCAGCTGGACGTGGATTTGATCCTTCGCTGCATGTCTGATGAGGATCTGCCCTACGACTTGCGGGCCTCTTTCTGTCGCCTCATGCTGCACATGCACGTGGACCGGGATCCCCAGGAGCAGGTCACGCCTGTCAAATATGCCCGTCTTTGGTCTGAGATCCCCTCTCAAATTACAATCGATGAGTGGGTATATTCCCGTTGCTTCAAGTGATGCTGGGGAGTTCTTTCGCGTGTGACTTTGACTTTGTCTTACCAGCTATGATAATGATGGCACCAGCAGAGACGAGATCAAGGAGCGATTTTGCCTCACCATGGATTTTGTCGAAAACTACCTGAGAGAGGTGGTGTCACAAAATGTTCCCTTCTCTGACAAGGAGAAAAACAAGCTCACCTTTGAGGTATTCTCTCTTGAATCATCGATTTACTTTTATCAGCATAAAGCAACAAATGGTCATTTGTGTTTGGTAGATTTTCTTCTCTGTTGTAACTTTGCTTCTTTCCAATTCATTTGATACCACTGGGAAGCCTGTTTTATTCCCTTCCCCCCCGCACAACTTGAAATCATGCCCTGTTTGCAAGGAGCATGCATTTATGAGATGAGTAACACAACTATGAGATCATGTCAAATGTGCCAAATCTGAACTGTCTTCGGTAAATAGCCGATTCTGCTGTTTGGAGCTTTCGGTCCCAAGAAGAGCACGCTTCCCCTCTTTCAAGATGATCTGGTCCGCTACATTTTGAACGCCGCCAAAAGGCCTGCCATGACCTTTCACGACCACACGCTTTAGAGCCTTGAACACGTTGACCTGAGATAGTCAGGAGTTGAAATTAATCTTACCAAAGTTGGATCTGGGCGTGTAGATGATGGGGAGATGCGTAGGCTTATGGCTTCACCAATATGGAAACATATTGCGATCGTATGAGGCGACATCACCATGACTGGCAAGAAAAAAACTGCGCATGCACTGTCCCAAATCACTCTTGTGTCTCGTGTCAAGTCTGTGGTCATCGGTTTTCCTATGCACATGGTTGTCAATTTATTTTTTCACAGGTAGTGAATCTGGCAAGGAACCTGATATACTTCGGCTTCTACAACTTCAGTGACCTGTTAAGGCTGACAAAGATACTGCTGAATATTTTAGACTGTGTCCATGTCAGCACCGTATACCCCATCAACAAGATTGAGAAAGAAGAGCAGAACAAAGGTTGGCATCCTCCTGCCCCCGATACTTCTCTCATGCTATGTTTTCCATCATGCTTGATTGAGGCTTGTGTTTCTGTAGCTGGCAGCAATGTGATGAAGTCCATCCACGGAGTCGGGGAACTAATGACCCAGGTGGTGCTGCGAGGAGGTGGTCTGCTGCACAATACACCAACTCATCAGCCAGAGGGCGATGTAGTTAAAGCCCAAGCAGAACCGGAGAGAGAAGACATCATGGTCATGGACACCAAGCTTAAAGTCATCGAAATTCTACAGGTGTGATTGCTACTTGTTGGACCGAGCAACTCGCGCTGTGCTTTTACTCTGGCCTTTCTCCTGCTTCAGTTTATCCTAAACGTGCGGCTGGACTACAGGATTTCCTGCCTACTGTGTATTTTCAAACGAGAGTTTGATGAAAACAATCAGCAATCAGAAAATGCTGCCGGCCAGAATGGAACCAATAACGTCAGCAATCAGATGCCAGGTATGTCAGGGCACACTCATACTAGGCACGCTCAAAATGGTTGACGAGTGCAAGCGCCCTGTGCCATGCTCAACCGTGGTAGACATTGGCATTAATAGAGGTGGGCTTGGGCCTGGGAAAGATGCCTGAAGGATTTGCTTTTTCCTGGTGCTAAAGGTAGGCACACACTGGCATGGTCTTCAGCGGGACAGTTTCTCCTGCCAGTTGTAAATGACATCCACCGTCTTGCAGTCACAGAGAAAAAAAATAACCCAAGAGCAAAGTCATGCAATTCCAAGAATAAAAATTGAATTATGAGGGTAAATTTGCCATTTTGCAATATTTTGGTCATAGTATTATTTAATTTCTTGTCAACATAACCAGAACAACTCTAAAAGTCAAAAGAAGTTGAGGTGGTGCTGGGTCCTGTTGTAAAGTTCTGATGTTTTTACTGTAAATGTGATTGGCATGTATGAGTGCAGCAACGCGTGCGACTGCAACCCAGCGTGAGACGGGGGGAGGGAGGCGTGACTGTGGTGAAGCTGTGGTGCATTTGGCCTAGTACGAGTGCTTTCTTCAACATTGTAAAATAATTAAAAAAAAAATCTGAACCCTTTAGGAAACCTTGACTTTGAAAATATTGAGGAGCAGGCAGAAGGAATATTTGGAGGAAGGTAATTCCGGAATCATCTTGCTATATCAGCAACAGCTTGGAACAAGATTCAATTAAGGTAATGAACTTATTTTTCTTTGGCCATTTAGTGAAGAGAACACTCCACTTGACCTGGACGACCACGGTGGACGTACCTTCCTCAGGGTGCTTCTGCACCTTACCATGCACGACTACCCTCCTCTCGTGTCCGGCGCACTTCACCTGCTCTTCCGACACTTCAGCCAGAGGCAGGAAGGTCTCATGGCTTTCAAACAGGTAGGGCTTACCCCTGCTGTTTCCTTCTTCTGTTTTTGTTTTTTTTTAATGTACATCTTGCAGGTCTTCATCCAAACTCTACTCTAGGTCCAGCTCCTTGTGACCAGGCAGGATGTCGATAACTACAAGCAGATCAAATCAGACCTTGACCAACTGCGATCCATTGTGGAGAAATCCGAGCTGTGGGTTTACAAAAGACAAGGAGAAGATGGGATGGATGGAGAGGGATCCTCAGAGTCAGATAACAAAAAGAAGGTAACTAAGGTAGTTTCAATTGAAGGTTACGTACTAGTGTCAAGAGTTTGCTAGGCACAAACTAGGCTAAGCTAAGGTAGTTTCAATTGTTAGCTACAAACTAGTCTAAGCTAAGGTAGTTTCAATTGCTAGCTACAAACTAGGCTCAACTAATGTTCTTTCAAATGTTAGCTACGAACTAGGCTAAGCTAAGGTAGTTTCAATTGCTAGCTACAAAGTAGGCTAAGCCACCTTGTCTTTCATCTCCGTTATTTAATGTGTCTGTACTTTCAAGAAACTATACGGAGCGTTTGAACAGGTGTAGTATCCATAGCTTTAAAGCAAGAAATTGAGTTGTTGCAGTTCGGTACAGTTGTTAGTTAAAGCATCCATGTTGGTTGTTTTGCAGGGGGATTCACTTGGTTCTGACAAGAGCAGTACAGAAAGCACCAGCAACTATAACTACAGGGTTGTGAAAGAGGTATACTCATTTGTAACGTACTTTGATGCAAATGTCTTCTTTGTTAGTGACTCTTTGTTTTCCCCATTTTTATCCAGATTCTTCTGCGTCTCAGTATGCTTTGCGTCCAGGAGGGGAGCTCAGGGAAGAAGAATAAGAAACAGCAGCAGAGACTGTTGAGAAACATGGGAGCACACTGCGTGGTGCTGGAGCTTCTACAGATCCCCTATGAAAAGGTGTCTGGGTGAATTTACACTATTTTGTTTTGTCAGATGGGTGCATGAAATAGGACCATCTGGATCCGGACAATATTCTTTTTAAAAAAGTATCTAGCTCTGGATGATTTTATCTTGTGAGACTAATTGAGGAAATAAAATGGAGTAAATTCAACACACGATCTTTTTCAGCGAATTGTGGTTCTGAGGTTGAACACATGCTGTACATTTGAATATTTATAGAAGCAAAAAGGAGATTCTATGTTTTCTACGACAGGGTGAGGATGTTCGCATGCAGGAAATTATGAAACTGGCTCACGAGTTTCTGCAGAATTTCTGTGCGGGCAACCAGCAAAACCAAACCCTTCTTCACAAGCATCTCAACCTCTTTCTTAACACAGGGGTGAGCTTTGAATTGGCTGCGTTTCTTGTTTCCTCGAATGTTGCTTTTTGTTGTGTTTATCATGTGCTAGCGCTTTTCCCTGAACCCATTTTCTGCTCTTTCAGATTCTAGAGGCCATTACCATGCAGCACATTTTCATGAATAACTTCCAACTCTGCAGTGAGATCAACGAGCGGGTGGTTCAACACTTTGTCCACTGCGCTGAGACACACGGTCGACATGTCCAGTACCTCAAGTTTCTTCAAACCATTGTGAAGGCTGAGAATAAGTTCATCAAAAAGTGTCAAGACATTGTCATGGCTGAGGTTTGAGGGTTTTTTTTTTCTTTTTGGACCAACAAGTGTTGCACCCAACAGAAGCTTTGCTCACATATTTCTTAGGTTGTCATCTTTAAATGATGCAGTAGTCGTTTTTGAGAATTCAAGTTATTTTTTTAATTTTTTGTTTGTTTTTTTGCGAGCCTCCCGTGTCAACCGTCAACTGTCTGCTGTGACTTTGACCCCTTCACAGCTTGTGAACTCCGGAGAGGATGTGCTGGTCTTCTATAACGATCGTGCGTCCTTCCAAGCATTAATTCAAATGATGCGCTCAGAGCGGGACCGGATGGATGAGAACAGCCAGTTAATGTACCACATCCACCTGGTGGAACTGTTAGCTGTCTGCACCGAGGGCAAAAACGTCTACACTGAGATCAAGTGCAATTCCCTGTTGCCCCTGGATGACATCGTGCGCGTCGTCACCCATGAAGACTGTGTACCTGAGGTGGGAAAGTTTCTTTGTTTGTCTCGCTTGTGTACTAGATTTTGGGTCGCACATTGATCAGGTATACAATGAAACGCGCAAGCTATCTTATGAGCAATCCCGTATGTATGTTTGAAATGCTTTCTGATTTTGCTCCATATTCTTCCTCGAATAGAACTGCGAAGATCGTCGGGGTAACAAGATGGACCCGCCCGCTCAGCTTCCCAAATAATACAAGGTTTTATTTCACATTTTGTAGGTAAAGATCGCCTATATCAACTTCCTGAACCACTGCTATGTCGACACAGAAGTGGAAATGAAGGAGATTTATACATCGAACCACATGTGGAAGCTGTTTGAAAACTTCCTGGTGGACATTTGTCGGGTTAGCAAAACAAAACAAAACACGGGTGTCCCTCATGGAGGTGAAGTATGATACATGTCATTGCATGTGTTTATTTATGTCCAGGTGTGCAACAACACCAGTGACAGGAAGCACGCAGATACCATGCTGGAGTGTTATGTAACGGAGACAGTCATGAGCATCGTCACGTGTTTCTTCAGCTCTCCTTTTTCTGATCAGAGCACAAGCTTGCAGGTAATCGAACGGCTTTGCTGCCGCAGTTTTCATACTGTAGGGCAAGCAGTTGTGCATTCATTTTCGCAGCCTGGTCGAATATACTTTGCAATCTCGATGTCAGTGTTTGTATTTTTGACTAGGCGGTTTTGAAAGTTTTTAAACTGGCTTGAAAGCAGAACCATCTTCATGGATCTCCATGAAATCCAAAAGATGCAAGCAATTCTGCAGTACACTGATGATAATGTTTAGTTTTGTCCATGGTGTATTCGCGCAGTAACATATTTATTGCGAGGGATTGAAAAAAATAGAAGCAGCTCAGCATGCAAGCAATCAGGATGGGATTATTAGTTTTAATGTTGTCTCGGACCTCACTTGCCGAAGCTCATGTTGTGACCCATTGATTTGAATTATTGATGTTGATTTCAACGCTACAGAAACGATTAAATCCCCCCAATTCCTCTCTCTGCATAGATGGCTCGCAATGTGTATGTAAGTAACAGTGACTTTTCCCGTAAATAGTTTTCCAACCTTTCCCAAGTGGTACACCACCTTCTTGTGTCTGCGATTCCAGAGATTGTGGTGGAAGTAGCTCTCGATCTGCACTCTGTGGCCTTCTCGTGGCTTAGTCAGCACACACGGACTTTGTTGTTCCCAAATCTGTGGGTGTGTTGCACAAGGTTTTGCTGGAACTGGGTGTGGATGATGCAATCGCTTGAAATGGTCACTCCGTGTCTAAGGCCGAAGTCAAAGTGCTTGACAGGCCAAATAGTTTGTCGTGTTGCGCTTTGTTGTCACTTTCCGTCTCCCAGTGAAATGTCCCCATCACTTCCAGCAGAAAATGTTTTGCTATCATTATTATTATTATGATCATGATTATTATTTATTATTTATCGATGACATCACTACCCTCTTTTGCAGGCTGCCGTTCTGGGAAAGATAACTGAGGTATTTATTGTCCTCTAGGGCTGAGACCAGCCAATAGATTTCTCTTTCACCAAGTAGCAAGCAGCTGTTAACCACTGGTGTGATGTGCAGATGACTCCAAACAGCTGGCTCACTAAAATCTGTCCAGCCTTGCACTGTAGTCAGGGAATCGACGGTCACAGTCATGTTGTTCGCCACTAAGGTTCTTTTACAAAACGCAGCATTTTTATGCTGTATCTGTTTTATTTTGTGTTTGTTTGCAGACTCGACAGCCCGTGTTTGTCCAGCTGCTGCAGGGGGTTTTCCGAGTATACCACTGTAACTGGCTTAACCCAGTCCAGAAAGCTTCTGTGGAAGCTTGCATCAAAGTCCTCTCAGACGTCGGTATGACATTACACCGAAGGAGCACCGCCCCAGAAGCAGATTGGTGTTTCGATATCATCAAAAGTGTCACGCACCCATTTATCAAACCTTGACAAGTTTGCATTATTTTCCAACCCAGCTAAGAGCAGAGCCATCGCCATCCCGGTGGATCTGGACAGTCAGGTGAACAACCTATTCGTCAAGTCCAATAATGTCGTCCAGAAGAGCCTCCTCAACTGGAAACTGTCAGCGAAGACCACTTCCAGACGAGATTCCGCAATTCCGACCTCCAAAGACTACAGAAACATCATTGAAAGGCTTCAGGTGGGCAGAGGAAACATTTCCAGCGGTCATCCCGTCGCCTTCCTCTGAATTTGTCCATTTGTATTCAAATGGATTACAGCCCTCACTTTGTGAAAAAGTAGCTTGAGCTGCTTCTGTCATTTGCCTCCTCGCTCGCTACACGAAATGTATGTAAGAGAAAAGAAAGGGCACACGAGTGCAAAGAACCAAATAATGCCGACATCTTCACAATCACATTTCTAGGAAACCAATTTAATGACCCGAGCTGTTGCGTGTCAAATTCTTGCAACACATGACTGTGTGTTCACTGGAAGGCTCGGATGTCCCTCCTAAAAGTCATCTCAAGTCGTTTGGCCAAAGCGTGCGGTTTCCAGACTTGGCGATTTCTCAACCTTGCTGATAATGCGCACATTGAAATGGACGTCCCGTGGTCTAAGCGAGTTCGTCTCTGTTTCCTGTCACAGGTAGTCACGTGGCTCGCGCTCGAGAGACCGCGCATTCACGCGCTCACACGCTTTAAGTTCACCTCACTTGACCACTTATGTGCTTTGACGTGCAAGAAACAAAACGATGCCTGCAACGGTTGAGCCAGAAAAGTCTCTTTTATCGGCGATACTGATAAAAAGCTCAATTTTGTTTGAATAGCCCACCCTGAACTAACTTTTGGAAAAAGAAGAAAAACGGAAAGGTTTATTCCAAATATCTTGACTCGAATTTATCAGGGGTTAATTTGGATTCTTGACTGGCCAAGTAGGAAAACTAAGCCTATTCTTTAGTATTTCATCAAGATATTGATCGATTTACTAAAACTAGTGGTTTGTGTTCAATAACCGGAGCAAGCAAAGCTTACATGACAGAGAGAGGTTTTCCAGCATCACAAATGAGCGCATTTTGTCTTGACTCTCGTAATGGAATCATTTCAGAACAAAAGTGATAGCGGAACAGTGTTCTGGTTTTGATCTTGGTGCGTTGCACTTGCGACAATCCAACAAGCCCATTTGACACACAACTGACTGCCAAGGTATTTGTTCGTGTCGTGAACTCCAACCGAAGGGAATTGATTGGCGAGGCGTTGTATTTCAAGCCTGGCTCTGACGATGTCGATCCGCAGGACATCGTGTCAGCTCTGGAGGACCGTCTACGGCCGCTGGTCCAAGCTGAGCTCTCGGTGCTTGTGGATGTCCTCCATCGTCCTGAATTGCTCTTCCCCGAGAACACAGAAGCTCGCAAGAAATGCGAAAGTGGAGGATTCATATCCAAGTATGCAACCACACGCGATGTTGTGTATTTACGTTGGAGAAGATGCTTCTCTTTGAAAAAGGGCAACTCGTTTGGTGAAAGGTTGTCAGGAATCCTGGCATTAAAAGCCCTGACTGTGTTTAAAGTGAACCCATGAACCAGTTCTCACATGACACGCACACTTGGCTGCGGCGTTCTGCCTGATACGAGCTCAGACTGGATTATAGACAAACTGGCAGGGCACATGGGGCCCATGCTGCTTCTGGGATTATCCAAACTCTTGGCTTTGTTAGAGATCCTTAACATGTCAACTCTCACCACAGCCGGTAAATCCGGACCTCATATGCCCTGTGATGATTTCGGCAGAGGAAGCTGTATTTCGGTGTGGATTTTACACAAAAACGAAAATCGTTTCTTGCCGTACGACTGACGATGCCTGATGCAATTTTTTCACCCGAACTTTTTTTCCACATATTTCCAAGTTGATATAATAAATTGCCAGCTCTTTGACTTGCGGCTACCAAATCTGTTGTCATAAAATCAATCAACTATCTTTGTGTTCACTTGAGTCATTGAAGACAAACATCTTGTAAATTTCATTGTAACGAGTGTTTTTCCCTCCATACGCTGCCGACCAGACTAATTAAACACACCAAGCAGTTGCTGGAGGAGAATGAGGAGCGTCTGTGCATCAAAGTACTGCAGACTCTCAGGGAGATGATGACGAAGGAGCGTGGCTACGGAGAGAAGGTACCGGCCACAAATTTTCCCCAAACTCCAGGAAACCTTCACCCTTCCCTGCTGTGCACGACTTCCCCGTGAAAAATGTTCTCGGCCAATCGCCTTCAAAGTAGATCACACACACACACACACACACACACACACACACACACACACACACACACACACACACACACACACACACACACACAGTGCACTAATAGAGTGCACTGAAATGCTCTAGAAACGGGGAAATGCAGAACTGAAAGGAATTTTGGCATAGGTGATTTAGCATGACTCCTTCTTGTGACTGGCTCCAAGTCAGCCCAGTCATTTCAAAGCTCCCCAATTGTATTGGTCTGTTGACAATATGTTGAGGTATTGTTTTGTGGGTTTTTCCCTCAGTTATGGCATTTCTAAACCATTTACATGAGTGGAAAGTTTTATCTTCGGCATCTCGCTTCTGCCTGCTCTATGTTGGCACTTCTTTGTCAATTTGTCTCAGGTTTGAGAAATCACATCACGTGTGCTTGATTCATCTCTTTGCCTCTCACGGCATTTAACCAGATACAATCCTGGCTACTGCCGGTTCGAAGATCGGCTTGCACGTTTATTTGAATGAGCAATTGAGTGTGTGCCCGTTTTGCACACTCAGACTTTGAGTTTGGCCTATGGTGTCTTAACAGCATCGACTAACATTGCATGTTGTGCGTGTGACAAAGCTTAATACACTAACTGAGCTGTACTAATTCTGCCCTTATACTTTTTTTTTCTTCCAGCTGATTGCCTTTGATGATGAAATGGATGTGGCTGAGGTTGATTATATTCATTTTAACTACTGCGCATATCACGCCCACTAATAGTTTAAACATGCTTACTCGTGTCTTATTTGTGAGCTTTGTCAGCAGCTTAGTCCATCCCATCCCGGCTGAACCATTCCAAATACTCCGGGCATCTACACGGTGTATAATTAATGTCAAGGTGATCTATTCATGATCATCGGTGTGTTCAAAGCATAATGACAAATTCTGGCCTTGTCTATGTTCCGATACCTGAGTTAAGTCAGTTTTTCACGAATGATACCGATTTTGGTCTTTATTGCGTGTGCACGAGCATCACCAACGTGATCAGCCACACAGGTTTATTTCAACCCGCGGTACATTTAAAGCATCAAGAGAATGAATTGTGACTCTCTGTGATGTGCCCACACGCGTTGTAAGTGCCCGGTGTATTTGGTCAGTCCTAGTTCCTTTTCAATTGTCATTTGAAAGTCCAGCATATCCTGCGAGTTTGCATAGCTTGTGATGTGCATTGTGCTGGAGTCTGGCGTTCCCCCATATGGTTAGGTCCGTTTGCATTTGTGCTTTTCCAGCGTTTTGAGCAAAGAGTGCAGCACAGTGGAGGTAGTGTTCTTCTTGATCAGAACAATAATTACTCGCCTTATAAAATACGGTTTTCAATCTCCTGTTGTCCATTTGTGATCCCTTAATTATGCTGTAAAGTATTTCTACATGCACGAATGAGCCATGAGTCCAAAAATCAATCAGCATGTTTGGGGGGGATGTACAAGTAATACCCAATCTTAACTTTGTTATGCTTTCGTGACTTGAGATTATCGTGACTTGAGCAGGGGATTCTCAGCGGGTCCAGACAGCGTGGGATGGCGGGCATGTCATACATGTGGGTGCGTTGCGGAATGATGTGTGATCATGAGCAATGTGCACCAGGAGGAGAACAAAATCAGGTTCCCCTTTTTGCTTGTTGTTCTGAGGAGGTGTCACAGGGACGCTGGGTGTGACTTCACCCTTGCCTCATTTGTCATAACTGACTCATGTCAAAATGGGACCAAGCCTACACGAGGCTCCATGTGGAGTTTGTGTGCAGGGCTTCATGGTGTTTTCCCGTTGTCTGTTGTGGAATCAGTGTGACACGTGAAACAACTCCATTTTAACTGAAAGTAGATTGGGCCACCATCCAACAGTGCGGTGGCTCACTGTGCAGCATTTGGCTTTCAGGTGAAATTTCACGACGAGCCAAAGATGAATTCCAACCTTTTACAGGGGAACTTGATGTGACCTCCTCTACTCTTTTGAATTCACATGTCCAACTGTTCAATGTTTCAGTACTTTTTGTACAAGTTGCTGTTCTCTAACGAGGAGCTCAACGGCAAAATTCACAACAGGCGTTTGATCCCTGAATCAGCCAATAAATCTCCTGGTTCAATTCAAGCTGATGTCTAAAATAGGCAGGGGGGTTGACCGTTAATACCACTGTGGAGAGCATGGTGATGTTGTCGCAAAGTCTTCACCATTATTGATCAGATTAATTGAAAATGACCCATATATTTCTTATATTTAGAAGGGAAAACAGCACGTGAACATGCTGGTTCTCTGGTAATCAAGCCCCGTTACGTATATCATTGACTCCATGTGCTCATGCTTCCCTCACGTGCGATGACATCCTCTCCACAGCACGGGTTGCAGGTAATACAAAGAACTGTTTTGATTCTCGAGCTGGAAAAAATATGACCCCGTCCACATTCTAGCTTTTTGTGCAACGCAAATGCACTGTCAATTTTCTCTCTGTCTGCTTGTACTTACCGCTCGCTTCCGTCAGGTTTTTTTTTTTTTTTTTCCTGCCAAACAACCTCAGACAGACTCGGCTTGTCCTCATTTATCCTGCCCGACTGCCAGAGCGGGTGAAGTCAGGAGGCTGTTTTTTTTATTTATTTATTTTCCACACTCAGTAGGGGGCGGGGGTGCAGATTCTTCAGCACTGTCCCAGTTTCCCCAAGTTCAGACTGCACGATTCTTGGGCTCAAGCCAGCTTCAGGAAGCTGTTGCATAAGAGCCAACACCCCCACTCTTTTTTTTTTTCTTCCTCTTTCCTGGAATATAAACTCTTCAGCGATGTGGCAGTTGACAATGTTTACAAGCAAACGCATCAAGTCTAGCAACCTGCACAGGGATATGTCTCTTTTAGGATGCATATAGAGGGGATATAAAAAGTCCACACACCCTTGTTCAAGTGACCGCTTCTTGTATTTAAAAAAAAAAAAAAAGACCAGCATAAATAATTTAAACACTTTTTACACACTTAGTGTGACCTACAATAGTGGCAAATCAATGGGACAAAAAGGAAGTGTTTTGACAGGGGAAGTAAAAACAAACACTTTGCACATGTGTGCACACCTTGTTACGACTGGGGATTTGACTGCGTTCACAATTAACCAATCGCATTGAAACTCATGTTAAATGGCAGTCAGCACACACCCGTCTGTGTCTGGCCCAGTACTAAATGGCCTGAAGCCCGACAGCAGTCCGCAGCCCATGGTTGGGAACCCCTGCCCTAGATGAAACATACTTTGTCATTCAATACGGTCCCCATTGCAGTCCCATGCCCAAATATTATTGTTCCTGCGTATTTCTGTCATGTGCATGCATAATGTATCGTGCGAATGCTTGGAGCTTACTGAAGAGAGCAAAGTTTTGCTGCAGTGTTTAATTGTTGCCTCAAGGGATGTCAGTGACGACTTGCCTTGTAGCACCATCACTAACTGAACAGCTTCTAACAACTTGACTAACATCATGCTTTTATTCCCGATCAGCTGGCACCTCCACCTGAACCCGAAGAGTCTTCTGAGGTGTGTTTCAGATCCATCGCTACTGGCCTGGTGTTGATCTGTCATAGTTTTAATTCAATCCCCTTGCCAACCGTTGATCTCGATTAATATGGCTCCTGTTGTGAAAAATCTTGATCATGCCGCTTATCAATCAGATGTCCTGTGAAATTCCCTATACATTTTCATTTCGTCCTGTATCTCTTTAAATCCAGATTTAGTGTGAGCCATATGTGTGAAGGCATAAATAAGTTAGATGTCGTTGTTGTTGGGTTTTTTTTTCTTTTTTTTTTTTCACCATATGTGTCACAAGTTGTGTCCCTCTCATTGTGGTGGTTTGTCTCTCCCTCAATGGCATACTGGCAAACTTATACTTATAAATAATTTCAGCCGTGGAGGAGTCACAACGTGCCAGACCGTTCCTGACAATGGCAGTTTTGGGTTTTTTTGTTTTGTTTTAAAATAGGCTTTTCGTAATGTAAAACTGAGTGTCGTTGTCTTGTTTGAGTTGGAAATGAATTGGTGCACACGGGAGATGAGCCAAGCCTGCATGAGAGCGACTTACCCCTGCTTGATGTCATTTGCACTTAATGCACTGCACGCATGTAATCGAATGTGCACTATTAACAAATTCCTACCCTTTCACTTTTTTGGACTGCTTTCTGCTAACTCAACTCACCCTTAAAAGGAGCTTGACCCCAACCAGCCTCAGAAACAACTGGAGGATCAGAGGAGGGTAGGTACTTAGTTTGGTCTGCTTCGGGGCTCCATCTTCTGCTGACAATTGACTAACTTTGTAACCCCCCCCCCCCGCAGTCACACAACCTCCACAGCATGGCACCCGCTCACCTTTCTCCTTCACATGTTTGGCAATTATGTAATGATATGCAATGGCTGACTGTGTAATGGATAAGTACCTCTTGCATTTGCATCTCCTCTCAGAAGGACTTTGTACAGTAGATTAGATGTGGCTCTGATTTTCACCAAGGCAACGTTCCTAGTCCTTCCCAAATACATTAGTGGGGCAACCTTTGATCACAATCTCTGACGGAGGTCAGAAGGCATAAGTGAATAAGAATCTGCTTTTGTCCAATTGGGGTAGTTGGCTCTTGGGATTCTTGTTTTTGAGGGACTTAAAAAAGAAAACATGACAATGATATCTTAAAAGTGGACAGCTAATGATCATGCCAATTATTTTTCCCTTCTCTTATTGGCGTCTTTTCAGATGCTACTATAACATGTGATTTACCGGGCCGATCAATTGTGATAATAATTGAAAAAAAGGAACGTATAAATAGATGCATAACATGGAGTGTATCTTGTCTTGATAGGGAGAAGCTTTGCGGCAGATCTTGGTCAACCGATACTATGGAAATGTCAAGTCTGGACAGAGGAGAGATAGTCACACGCCCTTCAGCACTGGGCCACTTTCTGCTGGATCACAGGGGAAAGCTCTGACAGGTGGCTGATGTGATACAATGTGCACTGGTGAAAGTGAAGGGCTTCGAAAAAGGAAAATCATACCCGCAAGAGCCGATCGACCAAATCCAGCAGTAATTTGCTTCAGCGGGCGGGCCACATAAAATGATGTGCTGGGCCGCATCTGGCCCCCGGGCCTTGGGTTTGGCACCTGTGACAGAGTTAATGCAGATGGCACACGGTCCAATTCAGATTCAGTTTTTGGATGTAATGACTCAAATCAAAGCATGCTGGAAAGGGGGCCCTCGAGGACTGAGGCCCTGATCTAAAGATTGGCTCCAGCACGCCCGTGACACTGGGCTGATGGATGGACGGATGATTTTCACATTGTTTTAGTGTGTATTTTGCAACAAATATCCAAGAAATGATGATTATCTGAGTTTTTTTGTGTGTGTGTCTATAGTTGTCAGCCCTGGGGTCGGAGGGCGTGGTGAACTGAGTTTAGCAGAGGTCCAGTGCCACCTGGATAAGGAGGGCGCGTCTGACCTGGTTATTGACCTCATCATGAATGCCACCAGCGATCGCATCTTCCAAGAAAGCATCCTGCTCGCCATTGCCCTACTGGAAGGTGGAAACACAGTCATCCAGGTGAGCAGGGTTGACTGGGTTTGAAAGAGGGTGCAGGATGGAGGGTGGGCAAGTGTTGGTAAAGTGCAAAATTTCTTGAAGCTTGAAAGTACATTTTCCCAAGAAACAAACAAAATCTGCATATTTTGACTGTAGATGTTAAGAATTGGAGTCCTCCAAAATGAAAAAAAAAAATGAATGGCATATGTCCTAAAACAAGACACTGGAAAGTTAGTTCAAGTTAAACCGTCTACCACAGAGGGGTTTTGTCCTCTATTGATGCTGGCGTTCCATTCCGACGGTGGCAAACTAACCCAAATTTCTCAGCACCGTAGTCACTGAATGCTTTGTTCACACAGTCGTCCTAGTCAAGTAAGAATTAAAGTCAATCTTAGTATGAAAAGAACTTCTTGTCAGGTGCGTCATCAAGTGAGGACCTCCCATATAGTGTTCACACTCTGACGCAGATTGAAGGGGTTTTCACTTGTTGTCAAATAAATACATAAACATGAAAATGTTTGCGTATGTCAGAGTGGCCAGTTGTGGCCAGAGTGCGTACCAAACACCAGAGATTCCCACAGCAACTGGCCATAAATGTCCTGCTTCCCCCCCCCCCCTCCAAAAAAGACCAAATATTAAATACAGCTGTTTGTTGGTTGCACGGAATGTGCGCCTTGCGCGTTGTGCGTAATTGTGCTCTTTTGCGTTGCATAATAGCATTACCTGACAAGGCCCGACTACTCAGAGTACACAAAGGCACTCACATGACTGGGCGTTACATAAGCTGCTGCCTGCCCTGAGGGATGACGCCGGTAGCTGCGGCCTCCTAACACTTCAACTGGACTCTTAAGTGGGTCATGCTTTGCCAGTGAAAAGAGGGCAATCAAAAATCCCAGCCTGTCTGAGGCCTCAGGAGAAAGCCAGCAGAGTTCAGGAGATGAACTCTTGACTCTTGTTGAGTGTTCACAAAGGGGCTCGCAGCCTTCTAAAGTTGCCTGTGGCAGGCATTTTGTCGTCGAGGTCTACCCGTTGTTTGCAATCTAAGGACGATGGTCAAGGTTCACATTTTAACATGCTCTTATTTAATGCTTTGCATGATTCGTTTTAGGCTTTCATGGAAAATCGCGTGGTTTTGTTTTACTTTGCCTTCCTGTTAGCTTTTAGAAAACAATCTCAATGTTTAGGTGAAGTTGTGAATGTGTTTATTTCCTCAAACAAACGTGGGTGTCTGTTGCTGCAGGTGTTATAGTCCCCATTTGGGACAGTGCTGATACAAGTGGACGTTGAGCGATCACGTCTGGTGTGGGGTGACTTTACAACATCAGCAGATAAATCACATTTCCATTTCTTACATAACGACGGGTTGCCTCACCCCTTTTTGGGACAGAGGGATTCTTGTTGTCCAAAGCTTACCCGCAGAGTGTGCCTAAGAGGCCTTTTATTTGCTTTTGGGTTCAGCCGAGACAGCAAATGTGCGGGAAAAGAACGGAGATGATGATGACCTAGAGCCGCTCTAGTCACATGGTGCAGGAATCTGTTTGCCAGATTTGATTAAGCGGCATAGAAGCGCATTAAAAAGTAGAAAAATAAATGACCATAAAATCAAGTGTATGGTATACTTTTCGTTTTTTTTGATGTTCCCAAAATCTGAGAGGAGTATTCTACACGGGTGTTAATATGAAAGTAACTGTGCCATCCTCGGGTTGTAATGCAGTCCAGTGAAACTAGAGGTGCAACATTGATCGACACGCTTCACATGCAATGTGCCATGAAACCCCTCAACAAATAACTTTTCCACTCATCCGCACACCCCACCAACACCCGCACGTGGGTCTCACAGCCTCGCGGATGTACTCGGAGGCTTGCGGGATCAAAAGAAGGGGAGGGTGTGCGGTGGTGAGTGTTATGTAAGCAGCGAAATGTAGATGCCGTGCTGCGCCATCTTCACAACGCTGTCTTTATGACCTCAGATCCTGTCACACGACAAAACAGGTGCCACCCTCTGACTCAGTCGGCTTTTTGTGGCTCCCCTCGGGCTTCTTAGTATGATTTACCACCCGCTATGTTCTACCACCCGCCACGGAGTTCAATTTACAGGAACCTCGTGGGAAGCTTTAAAAAGCCTCGGCAAAAAGCAATTCTTGTCCTGAGTGTTATGAAGCTATCGGCAGTCCACTGCACCGTAGCCGAGGGAGTCACCTTTGAGAACACAGTTGAAATGTCGCAGCATTAAGTTGTTTCAGTCGTGTCTGGTGAAGTATTTGAGTCAAACAAGAGCATCTCGGTCCAGTCGCGACCACTGGCTGATTCTTAACTCATGTCAAGTTGATCGAGAAAGCCGTCTCTGCAATGACTTGTTGGCTCAGGACGCCAGGGAAGCAAATCGATATCAGCTTGAATGATTTTGTCAATCAGCTGTTGGGTGTGGAAGGAGCTCGTGACATGAGGCGCTTTATATAACAAGTTTGTGTTGCTGCTCCGGGCTGCGATGGAGCAGTGGAGATAACGGGGCAACTTTGTTGCGACACACCGCCTGCTGATGGCTCATTTAAACACGCACGTCTCCGTTAAAAACACAAATGCTTCGTCCAAAGATGGCGTTTCATCATTTTTGTACTGCACTACTCATTCGAACTGGCTTGTCCTTTTGAATTTTGAGAACCCTCCCGCAATATTTTCTGTGGTTCTTTTGTTGCTTTATCATTGCACAACTCTAAAATGAGTACATTTTGCAAATACATGTCATGTAAAATGGACGTTATAGTATATTACCATCGAGTACCTGTTCTTTGAATGGATGAAACCAAAGTACACATCACTCGTTTCTTTATGGCAATTAAAGGAATCATGCAAAGACAGGAAAGCATTAAAAATAAATCAATAAAATACCTTACTGTAACCTACCTGCAGTGAAGCATGGTTATGGGGGGGAGGACCCATGATGGCAGCTTTGCCTCCTCATGTCACGGACGCCTTAAATATGATGCTGATATGAATAGATCATAAAATTAGAGGATGAAAAATCAAGAGTCAAAGGTACCGCCCATTGTAGACACCGTGCTTTGGGCGGAATGGAATTGCTTATCCAGAACAATCGCGACCATGCAATCGTGCATCCAGAGCGCAGAAAAAACGTAATCGGACAATCATTTTGAAACTGGCCAGCAGATTCCTGAGCTCTAATCCACAGAATATTCTAAATTCTGCCATTGGTGAAAAGATGGCAAGCAATCAAAAACGTTAACAAATTCTCAATAAAGAATGACAAGTCTCTGACTTGTGCTGGAAGCGTGTTAATGAGAGAGAGAGAAAGAGAGTATTAATCATTTCTGAATGTTTGTGTGATTTGAGATGACATAGTAGAGGATTATTTACAGTGATGATTGGGTGAGAAATAGATGCCACGCATGGCTTATCAAACTGCAATTTGCAGCACATTGGCGTCCTTTGCGGCGTCGTGTTTTGGGCGGCATTTGATAGATTTGCGGACAACAGCTCTTTTCCTGTGTCTGCTGTTTGCATCATGCTTTGCTTGCACTGAATTAACACCCAATGACCTCAGCATGCCACCACCCCGCACCGTCTGACAATCAAACACTACTTTATTCAATTCCATCACAACAAAATCGGGCAGGTTTGGCTTCAGGTTTCTTCTCCCCCCTGTCGTTTCCCCTCTCCCCACTAATCAGCTTCTGTGAGCTGATGTAACACTGTTAAGCGCTGAGCCTTTACTGTCACCACTCGGCTGATTATTGTTCTTATGTAAGGAGGGATTGTTGAGAAGAAAATAGGACAGAACATATGAACCCGGTGCAGAAATCCAACAGGTTACACATGCAGTGGCATTGAACACGGCGGTCCTTTTGTGTCGACGCAACGCACAACGCAACCTGTCCCACCTCAATTTGACTACAGCACGAAGCTGTTAACAATAACTGGCAAATGTTGGCCTTGGTGGAAAAGTTGCATAATTGTGATCCGCATCGCTGTTACGTAGTCTGTGGTCTGGGATCACGCACGCACGCACACACACACACACACACACACACACACACACACACACACACACACACATTTTAATGCCGTGTTAATTTCGGCATCTGCCCAGCTGTGTACAAGCATGTGAGCCTCGTGTACAGCATGTGCATGTGTGGGAGTATTTCTTCACCAGTGCGGGGAACCGTGGTTTCATGTTTGCCGAACATTTCCAAGCCACGAGTAGCTTGCTGCATGTCAATCTAAATCCTGTCCTTGTTTTTCATTCTCTCCTTCCTTACTTTTCTACAAATATTAATGCCTGGATGTTTTGCTGTCACTGTGAGAGTAGCCCTGTCGAGGGTGCTTTGAAAGTCACTCTTGTTGTTGTAGACGACTGGCGATACATATCGTTGTCCGTATCCGAAACTTCCCGCAGCTTACCTGCAACTATTGATGGGGCCTTTTTTTTTAAATCGTAAATTTTGCATGACTGACAAAAGCTAAGACGTATTTTCTACACAGTGATATATTGGCGACACAAAACCCTGCAAATTAGTCTCAGAGTCTGGATTTCCTTTATATTCGTGGTGTTTTTCACAGTTTTTGAAGGCTGTCAGGAGCGATATATTTCACAAAACATCTGACTTTCCATTTTCCCCAGCGCTCATTCTACCAGCGTTTGACGGGCGATAACAAGTCCGAGAAATTCTTCAAGGTGTTTAATGAGCGCATGAAGCTGGCCCAGCAGGAAATCAAGGCCACGGTGACTGTCAACACCAGTGACCTGGGCAGCAAGAAGAAAGATGAAGAACCTCCGGACAAAGACACGCCGGCACGCAACAAAGGTCAGCGCTCAGTGAATAATAAGATAAAGGTGGGAATGTTGGCTCGGATTCAAAGAAGGAAAACACTTGTCTGGTCAGAGGTGACCGGTGTTGTGCATGAACATCTCTGTCGTAGGCCATCCCGCATGTTTTTAATTGGGTTGAGGTCGGTTCTTCCGCAACAACCTCGTGCAACCGTGCCGCGATGCATCTTGTTTCGTGGGCACAGTCAGGCTTGGAGAAGAAACGTTGACATTTCAGATTCCGGGGCTTTATTGCGATGCCCCGTTGACTCGAGGCTCTCAACCCAGATACATTTGTCTCTGTACCGTATAACACTCCGGCAAAACACGTAGGCCAAAGACAAAATCGACTGGATGAATGCGAGTCATTGAACGGTTTCACGTTTGAAGTGTCGGACTTGAATTGTTGTGGTCAGTTAAGGATGTGCCACTGGTGGCCGTGGTTACCGAAGAGGTGAAGGAGCAGCTGGCGGAAGCCTCCGCCGTCACCAAGAAGGCCTTCGCAACATACCGCCGTGAGGTCGAAGCCGAAGAGCACCAGACGGTGGCTGACGTCTCCTCCGCAGCAACCGCCGAAAAGGGCCAGGACGATGGAGAGATGAGTGTCATCATCACCATCATGCAGCCCATCTTGCGCCTCATGCAACTGCTGTGTGAAAACCACAACAGAGATCTGCAGGTCTGTCAACACACGCGAGGCCCTGTGCCCTGAGAGTCACGACATCCTACTTCCAAGCCTTCTTTTGTTTTCTTCTTCTCGCCACACTGGTGTAGAAATGAAACTCGGTTGAAAATAGGCACCGGTTGCAGAACTTGTTGCAGCCGATTCCGTGTCTGGTTGGTATCTGTCTGGTTTCACTATGAGCCGCGTGTTGTTATTTAGTCATGGCTAGCTCAAGTCAGCCAGACTTCCTTCGTGCATCGAGTCCAGAAACATCGTCGTCGTAATTTGAACTCGTGCTGAACCACTTTTTGTGAATCCGCAGCTACCATCTGTTGAACTTTTTTTGATAGGGGACAAACGCGTAAGCAGCATCATCTTTCAGCGGAATAGCAGCGCGTGCGAGGGAGCCCGTCGGGTTGTGGCTCACAGTCCGCCAATAAAGTATGAGCCTTGTAATCTTTTTTTTTTTTTTTTTTTTTTTTTTGTAAATATGATATCCACATAGCCTCGCACACATTGATGCAGTACATATTTGAGGGTGGCGGTGCAGGTGCAAGATGTCGATCAGCAGACACACAGCAGATTTTACATTGGGATTTTTGCCTTGTAGATTGTAGTTGAACAACGATACATGTGCTACGCTATCGGACTACTTAACGGGTGTCACTCTGCTGTTTGATGACATGGTGTGTATCGCATTAAACATGGACCGGAGGCAGCCAAGGAGAGAGTTGTTTCAGGAGATCAGAACGAAAATTATAGACACGCCAATTGAAGTTGAACAGATTGAGAGACATTGAAGATCAAGGGACTGGAGCCACCTTAAACGGACGCGGCTGCACGAGGAAAAGTGATGACAAAATCAAAGAAAACTGATCATACGCGATATAAAAGAGCTCGGAACAATCTCCAAAGACATGAATGGTGAACTCCAAGCTCTGATGCAGTCAGATGTTTTCAATGTTTGATTTCATTCATCTCCAGAACTTTCTACGGAGTCAGAATAACAAGAACAACTACAACCTGGTTTGCGAGACACTTCAATTCCTGGACTGTATTTGCGGCAGCACCACCGGGGGTCTAGGCCTGCTTGGACTCTACATCAATGAGAAGAATGTGGGACTCATCAACCAGACTGTGGAAAGCCTCACCGAATACTGCCAAGGTCCCTGTCATGAGAACCAGGTGACTGGCACCTAAACGTGCACGCGCGCCGGCACACTCTCCGCACAAGCGTATGCAAGCAAGAGAGGCGCTGCCTTATCCGAATCGTGTTACATCAAACTCATTGTGGAGCCCTTTTTTCCAAGTGGGTCTTCAAATGTATCTCCCTTTGATAAATTATCCCCATTTACGTCATTGCTTATTTTTGTCCCAGTGGCAGATGTTCGAGCTCAGGTGACTACAGCAACTCACTGTTTACTTTGGTTGACTCTTCACTTCCCTCCGATAGTGCTTTAAAGGGAATGAAAAGTTGTTTGCTCACCAAAACAAGATTGAAATCACCTCGCGCCGATCTGTGTACTGTATTTTATTTTATTTTTTTCCTGCAACCCATCAAAAAGATTCAGGCCCAATGCTGATGAGGAGTGAGACGCATTTACCAAAATCAACAAGGCGGCACAAAGTGGGCCTTCAGCAAACTTGACCTTCTGTCAAGAGATGTGACCCTCCTCCTCAGCACATGACTGTCTGCGGGGTGTGTGATATCCAAATTGACATGCATATCAGTCATGAAAGGAGCTGCCCCGAAGCTGTTGTGAGCTGCAATATCGTGTATATTTTTACACAGCAGATGCGCAGGCACGTGCTTGTTGTCGGCAACTGGTGGTGCTCTGTTATTTGCACGAACTTCGAAATGCGCTGTACAGTCATTGCAAGCCCGTATCGGATGAGTGTAACAAAAATCGCCAAAGTATATTTGCCGTGTTTGCTCCAAGTAGTCGGTTGGTGATCGTCACTTCGTTTTCTCTCAACTTCTTTTTCCTTGACTTTCAACGGTGCGACACTGGCGGACTTCTGCATGCTTGACCCGGTGCCCGACCCCTCCCCAACTGAATTACTCTTGACGGTGTAGCGGTCCACTCGCCTGACTTGTGTGCGAGCACTGTGGGATCGGTACCCACTCGGCGACGGTGCGGATGTGGATGTGGTGGGTCGTTTGTCTCTACATGTGCCCTGCGACTGGCTGGTGACCAGTTCAGGGTGTATTCTCCCTTCCGCCTGAAGTTAGCTGGGATAGGCTGCAGCATCCCACCGCGACCCTGTTCAGGATAAGAGCTGTTGAAAATGGATGGATGGATGGATGACTGACTCAATGACATAGTAAGGGGAAAAGGGGGTTGCGAGAGACTGACAAAGTAAAGGCGAAATGTGGGAAAGCCCTTGAATAATTGCTTGTGTCATGTGTCACCTGATAAATTTTCCATGTTTACCGTGTTCATGGGTTTGTCTTTGTTTGCCCTATAGAACTGCATTGCCACTCATGAATGCAATGGTATTGACATTATCATCGCGCTTATCCTCAATGACATCAATCCCCTTGGCAAGAAGAGAATGGACTTGGTGTTGGAACTAAAAGTGAGTCATTTTTCCTTTTAATCGTCTCGGGGATAAGTGATGAGAAGTTGTGGTGCAACCCTGCGTAGCACCTCATGTTTACCAGTTTTTCACATTTTGCCAAAAAACTCATAATTGAGGTCACTTTGATCCTGTCTGAAGGAAATCAATTATTATTATTGATTTCCATACATGCTTACCAATGGTCACCTGACTTGTGTGCGTGCTGCGTGGAATCGGTTTCCACTCAGTGACGGTGCAGATGCGGATATGGGTGGTCTTTTGTCTCTCTATGGGCCCTGCGAGTGCCTGGCGACCAGTTCAGGGTGTCGTCTGCCTGCCACTCGAAGTCGGCTGGGATCGGCTCCAGCAACTCCTCGCGACCCTCTTCAGGATAAGAGCTGTTGAAAATGGATGGACGGGTGGATGGATGCTTACCAAAGTAACCGAATCGGCGTTTTAAATAATTCCGTATTCATGAATGAGCTTTCAACTTGGTCCAAACCGTCACGACCTTGACGAAATTACGCAATACGAAAGTGCAGAATGCAACCTATCGTGACTTGCTTTCGATGTGGGCCCGTTCCCGAGAAACATCATTGTTTCTCCAGTGGCGCGCTCGCTGGGTTAATTGCACTTGTTGATGTTTCCTCAGAATAACGCCTCCAAGCTGCTTCTTGCCATTATGGAGAGTCGCCATGATAGCGAGAATGCCGAAAGGATCCTGTACAACATGAGGCCAAAGGAGCTGGTACGTGGTTTGGACCACACAAATACTCACTTCGATACGGTCAAGGACGTGGATCTCTTCTGTCACGACTTCCGTGTAGGTTGAAGTGATCAAAAAGGCATACATGCAGGGTGAGATAGAGGTGGAAGAGCCTCAGGAGGGAGAAGACGGAGAAGAGGAACATTCTGCATCTCCACGAAACGTTGGCCACAATATCTATATCTTGGCCCATCAAGTAAGCGCACACGCACACGGCAGATTGTCCGCATTTTGTTGTACGCCCTCGGGCATTGGACCGCTTTTGGGATCATCTTCGGTTTGAAGAGCACGTCTGCCATGTGCTGCGGCCAGTTGCTCAGTACGAGAATGTCGGTCTGCGTCGGGCGCCGCATTCCGTCTTGTTCAGCGGGGCTGATGAATGAAGCCATGCTGTGCATAAAACGTTGCGCTGTTTGTCATCCAAGTTGGCCCGACATAACAAGGAACTGCAAGCCATGCTGAAACCGGGGGGCACGTACGGAGAGGGCGACGAGGCGCTGGAGTTCTATGCAAAGCACACGGCTCAGATTGAGGTCAGTTGCCATTGTTTCAGTATCTTCTGGATGGGGGGAGGACAGGGGAACACTCTCCATCCGCTGCTGGCAGTTCGGTTTCATTGAATTAAAAATACAAGTGGAATCCTTCTCCGCGTTTTGTTGGAAAATGTGACAGTTGAAAGGATGTGAATTGGCTGGGGTTTCTCTTGACTTGTAAACTCTCCGAAATGAAAAGGGCACAGCGTGGCACGTTCATGGAGGTGTGTGTGAGCAAGATTTTAGATGCCTTTTTTTTCCCAGGTTGGATTATTGTGACGATGGAAGCAAAAAAAATGTACGAACTGCCAGCTACATATTTCAATTTCTAAATGCTCCCTATCGCCCCACCTGCACAGTCTGATCAGATTTTGATCACCTTTTTCCCCTCGCATCTGACTGGCAGTGTCAGAGAGGAATTCATTTTGCAACATACCTCTTATCGGAGGTTGTAGTTTTAAATACGATATAACTTGTCATAGTTAGACCCTCACCTAAACAAAATATGAGAAAAACATCTCAATTCGCTGAAGTGGTGTCTTCTGTCATTACAAAATAACAAACCTGCAGATGTGCAGTCAATATGAATGAAAAGCGGTCGGCTTGATCGAAGGCCCGAGAGTGACTGTTGTGGTTCTGTCTAGATTGTCCGTTTGGACCGAACCATGGAGCAAATAGTTTTCCCAGTGCCCAACATCTGCGAGTTCCTGACTCAAGAGTCCAAGCTCCGCGTCTACTACACCACAGAGCGCGACGAGCAAGGCAGCAAGATCAATGACTTCTTCTTGCGCTCCGAGGACCTTTTTAATGAGATGAACTGGCAGAAGAAGCTGCGAGGTACTCAAGAGGCGACTGGTAACACAAACACCGTTCCCTGTGCGTCTTCCTCCTCTACAACTTTATTCCTTCTAGTTCTCGTTTGACATGCCTTCCTCTCACATCTCTCCAGAGCCATTTATACTCGCTGATCTGTGATTGAAGACTCTAAATTTCGTACCCTGATCCGTCCAGGGGATCGCCCGCCTGTTTGTCACCCTCAGTCATTTCGGGATAGGTGAGAGTTGAGATTCTTATGATGCTGTACGATGCTCCTCACCTGTTGTGACCTCGGAACTCGCATTTTCGAGGTTGTCGCCAAGCTTGCGACGCACTTATACAAGTGAGGAAGTGTCAAGAAAATGGATTCCAAATGTGTATTATCATATTTTGAGATGAGTATAAACACCTTCTCTGGAAAACCCCCCACCAGAAATTCAATTGAGGAAACCATGACAGTGACAGAGAAGCGAAGCGGGAGGAAGTGGAATTGTTTTGGAGAAATGAGAAATCGCTCCTCAACCAGTGTTAATTGACAGATGTTTTTTTTTTTTTTTTACAGCGCCTTTATTGATTTATATATCATGCAAATCTTGCCAAGGTGTTATGCAAGACTAGTCCAAAGGAGAAACGTTGCCAGATGTGCCTTCAGGCTGAGGCAGCAGCCTTGGCTACTTGATAATCAAACTATTCTTAGCATAGTCATCTGATTCACTGTGAGAAACCACAGAAAAAGTTGATTCCATTACCCTATCAAAATGAATGTAAAATACTCATTTTCAACCCTGGACTCAATTAGGTGAACATCGATGTGACATTGGCCTCATGGAGAGATCTAAGTGGACACAGCATGCAAAACTTGTAAAGCACAATGTTATCCGATTTCAGTAAGTGCCAGAATAGCTGCTTCCTTCATGTCTGAATTTTTGGCTCAAGCTCCTCAAGGGTGTGTTCAGCTTTGTGCGAGTGCATGTGCGTGTGATGCACGAGACAGAGTGATGCAATTGTGGTCTCACTGTTGATTGTCGCAAGATTACATTTTGTTTTTTCAGTTAGAGGTTGTCAGGTCTGTGAGGATTCAACCTGGAAGTGTCGTACTTTTATTCAATCTGGTATCAGGTGTTTTAATTTGGTTGGCGTAACGAGATGGGCGAGGCAAGGCAAAGAAGCTTTTGATATATCAAATGTAATTGTTGTCAGGAAAATGCTAAATTTGCAACCACAGTTGCTAAAGTTAACCCGTAATGAGGATTTATAATGCAGGTTAAATGTTAAATGTTTGGACTCTTAAAGGTGGGAGATCACTGCCTTTGATTAATATTTGTGTCAAGATGTTTTTTTCAAAATATAAACATTGGAACTGATATTTGGTCTAATCAATAAATAACCCCGGCCCGCACTGCAATGCTAAGTTTAAATTGCCAATATTTCATTTGTTCTGTTGACCCCCTGAGAGATGTCGTCAGTGAGCGAAGCGACCGCCCTTTGTTCCTCTTTAGCTCGATGAGCGTGTCGTGACTCGTCCCGTGACCAGACGCAAAACATGATGAGGATTTCTTTCTCATTGGAAAAATACGACTTCTCTTACTTCTCCTACCCAAATGAATAAGCACAAGTGGAGAGCAAATTCTTCCACTGATGCTCACAGCTTGTCATGAATGACGTCTTTTGCTAAAGTTCAGAAAGTCCCCCACCTCCAGTTCCTCTATTTATATCAATAGGCTGCCGAAAAGAAATACAAACAAACCCAAAACAACAATAACCAAAAAAAAAAAAAAAAGGGTTTGGCTATTGCACTGATCTCCTGACCGCAGTCTGAGTCTGAATTTGGGGTGCTTTTGTTTTTAACTCATCGAGTTTGCAGTCCCTGATTTACAACAACTTGAACTAATTTGCTAAATGTTGGCCTTCCAACAAACCGCTCACAGAGCAAGCCATTTGTTAAAGCCATTGTTGTAAGTTTTTCAAATGAAATGTGCGTGTTCATTTCAACACGTCATTTTCATTTGCCTTTTCTTTTTTATTGGGCATCGCATTGACGGGATGTGCAAATTCATACGATTTATTTGATGAGATTGCTGCTGCTTCTTCTGAACCACTTTTGAGGTTTTGTTTTGCCGTTGATGACCGAAGAACGCTTGTATTCCATTCGGTCTGAATTGGACCATGAATTATTGTTGCTAGCGTGTTGACGAGTTCCAATAATTCATCTTTCAGCCCAGCCCATCCTCTACTGGTGCTCCAGGAACATGTCTTTCTGGAGCAGCATCTCTTTCAACCTGGCTGTTCTCATGAACCTGCTGGTGGCCTTCTTCTACCCTCTTGAGGGCTTCCGTGGAGGTTAGCAAGCTCAAACTACTCCCCCCAACCCCCCTTGTGTCGTCTGCAAGAACTGTTTTTATTTTACACTGGTTTTATGTCTCCACTGAAATAAGAAGAAGAATCTATTTTTGATTAATTTAGGTCAGTAGTTGCGCAACAGTTTGAGTTCCGCTACAAATACTTGTTAGCCAAAAAAAAAAAAAAAGGTAGAGCGCTGATTGCGCACATCTTTCACTCTGATATCTTTCCTAGCGTGCCTGCATGTGTGTGATCTGGCTGGCTGTGTGTTATGCAACAAATGTATACTGTCCACATCAAAGTGTACAGTGACTTTCCTCTTGAGGGATTGTCATAAATGTCAGAATAATAATTGAGTCACCAGACTATATTCCATGTTCCCGCCATCCCTCTTATTTGGTTAGCATGAAAATTACACATGTGATTTTTTTGGTATTGAATGAAAAAAAAAGCCACGGCCGTGACTGTTTCCTTCCAAAAGTAAAATGCTCTCTTCAGAGAGCATTTTACTTTTGGAAATCCATTCTCACTTTCCCTTTTGCATCAGAGATGTGAAAAACATCACATGCTGTTTTTTGTCTTTTTTTTTTTTTTCTCCGAGGAGCAAATATATCCTGCTGCCGATTATCTCTGGCGGGGTGATGGGGTGCGCGTACTGGAATGCTCAGAAGGGCTCTTGCCATGTTTTGCTAAAACTGGGAAAGTCCCCTCACCGCTTTTTTTTTTTTTGCTCCTTTCAATACAATACATTGATATTCCTCTAGCGCTTTCACAACTGCTTTAGCTGGAACAAAGCGCTTTACAGAACATTTTAACATAAAATTACAATAGTACAATAGAACACGTCACATAAAAAAATTGACAATAAACGGGGCCGCGATTCAGATCTGCCTTGTTGTTTGAAGCTGTTCTGGATGGTTGCTGTCCCCGATTCCCTCACGGTCGGGTTAACCAATCAGATGGCTATTTTGAGGAGTGCCATCCACACTTAAGGTTTCATCAACTAAGTAATAATAATCCGAGTCATCATAGTGAGAATAACTCTTATTGATAGGCATTTTTCAGTGCAACAAAATTTAAAATCGGTACAAAATGCACAACTTTACAGAAGTGTACCCAACAGACTCATAAATACAAGCAAGAACAAGTCTAGAAGTAAAAACCAACAATTTTCTGATCTTAATTTCCTTGAAATTGCCATTTTCTTGATTAGTGATTAGCTTCTGTGTCCTATCTCGTGGTTTACTTCTATTTCACGGGCTGATTCACGAGCTCACAACCAGTCAGAGGAACCAGTTGTCAGTTGTCGACAGCCAACGCCATTTAGCGTACTTGGATCAACGGCTCGCTCGTTTAAATCACATCTAAAAACGACAATGACAAACATATATTTCTTAATTCGTCACCATTCTAAATGTTGCTCTTCACTTAGGTTTGTTCCTGCTTGCATTATAAGTCTGCCAGGCAAGATTGGTTGGTATGTGTGCATTTTATTTCATGAAACCATGACTGCGCATGACTGTGTTGCGAGTAAAATACATTTCCTAAGAGACTGACTTGGCCACACTCAAAATCTTCCTCTTCTTTTCCCTAATAAACGTTTTGGTCATGCTGCCTTTCATGCAGACCGTTCAGGTTTGATATCTCGCCAGTGCCCCAATACCCTTCCGCTGCTGAGCCCGGGAAGAAAATGTAAATAAATAGGAGGGATGTGTCAGGAATGGCATCTGGTGTTTAAAAAAAAAAAAAAAGCCCAAACTGCGCCAATCAAATCATGTGAGCTGTGCCCCAAAAGTCACAACTTACGGAATGGATGAAGGAGTTTGGTTGTATCTTTTTAAAAATTGCACAATGTTTTCTGTCTCTTTGCTGGAAAATCTGCCATCTTTAAGGTTGTGTATCAGATGTAAAGAAGAAAAGCGCAAATGTTGATCTCTCGATGAAACAATCCTTTCGGTCTACAACAAAAATAATGAAAGTGGCATTCCCGCCACTTTTGAAAGGCGGTGTAGACGTTCCAACATCAAGTTAATTTATACCCACAAGGCCACATGACTGTTTTTTGTTGTTTTTGTGGTCGTGGTTCTTCCCAAATTTTACGCTTCCTGCTACGGACAACATAGAGGCATCCAGTTGAAAATACTTTTGCATCGAACCCTGTATAGCAAGCCCTTGGTGGCTTCCCTAAAGCAGATATCCTGAAACAAAAGAATCTGTGCAAAAAAAAGTAGATCAAAAATATCTGGTTCTCCGTGAATAGAATCATCGTTGTGGGCATGTGCAAAACGACGGCCCGGCCGTGAAGGCTTCGATTGTTCCAGAGCAGAGAGAAGACTCGCATTGTGACGGTCATGAACTTTCAATTGTTCAGATCTGGGGTTGAACGGCGAGATCCCCTTTGTTGGAACTTCCTCTCAGGACTAAAGAGGTTGTCAGAGTAGCTTGAGAAGCGTCATGTGGTCATTAGTGTCAAAGGTCCCGAAAGCTTGAGGCTTCATCCCATGACTGAACAATTACTTTGTAATGCTGTCAAAAAGATGCTTGTTCCCAAAACGAGACAGGAACTATTTGGTGATCATCGCACTTTGCAGAATCTAACATCGACGATAGATAAGTTGAGAATTTGCCCCAGAAACAAACTGTGCACCGCTATTTTGGGTTGAGCTGCAGATTCTTTTAGCTGCGGCATAAGCAAGAAGAAGAAATGAACGGTCTCAGACAGGATGTGCGTGACGTCCAACCTTCTCTGTCTGCTTTTGTCGCCAAGTCCAAGCGCCAGGGTGGCAGGCTACAGTGCCGCAGCCCCCGGTCCCTCCCGATGAATTCAGCTTGAGCCAAGTATATTTTTAGCCAGCCGGGTTATGTAACAAGCGCGCCTTGCTTGGATCTGAGCGCAGAGGCGAGGAGGAGGCTTCCAGTGGCAAGCGGGCCAATTGGACTGGCCTGTCGTAGATCTGAATGTCTTCCTGCCATTTCACCTCGCGGTTATAATCGGAATGCGGCGCTAAAATGGGGCTTGAAATGAAAACCGAAAACAAAAAAAAAAACATTTGTACACTGAACGTCACTCGGGGGATTCTCAAAATACTCCCAAACAGATTCCTACCTTCTCTCAATACAGGCATACCCAATGTTCACCAGGACCCTTTTAGAATAGTGTAGCGGTTTCCTTTCTGAACTCTTGATTGTAAATTTCCCCATTGTGGGACAAATAAAGGCTTATCTTCTTCTTCTTCTTCAGTACATTGTGGTTCCCCCCCCCCCCAAAAAAAATTTCCTAATCGCAGGGCTATGATCTAAAAATGGAAACAAAGTAAAACAAAAAAAAAGGTAAATACTTACTCTAACATGATCTTAGTCTCCTTAGTGTATGTAAAAAGCGTTGTTTTTGTGAGGGTCCATGTGACGTGGCAACTCATTTCCCATTTTGTCCGCCTTATGAATGACGGCTGGCTTTCCTCGTCCTCAGGAACGCTGGAACCTCATCTCTCTACCCTGCTGTGGCTGGCCATGCTGGTTTCTCTCGCTATTGTCATCGTTCTGCCTCAGCCGCACGGCATCCGGGCGCTCATTGCCTCCACTATCTTGCGGCTCATCTTCTCCGTCGGCCTGGAGCCCACATTGCTTCTCCTGGGCGGCTTTAATGTAAGCGGGAGTCTCCGCCGAGACCTGTCCGGTATTTCCACTTTTAAATCACCGCCGTTGCGATCGGTCTCACGTCACGTGTCGTGTTGTCAGTTATGCAACAAAGTCGTCTTCCTGACGAGCTTCGTTGGCAACCGTGGAACATTCACGCGGGGCTACGGAGCCATGATCACCGATGTGGAGTTCCTCTACCACCTGCTCTACCTGATTATCTGCACCCTGGGGGTCTTTGTCCACGTCTTCTTCTACAGCCTGCTCGTGGGTGAACGCACACGGGCGCGAACGTGGTGCAAGGCCCCGCTGCGCACTTTGAAAACAATTCCCGTGTTCTCTTTCCAGCTCTTCGATCTGATTTACAGGGAAGAGACCTTGCTGAATGTGATCAAGAGCGTGACTCGCAACGGCCGCTCCATCGTGCTCACGGCGGTGCTGGCGCTGATCCTTGTCTACCTCTTCTCCATTGTGGGCTACATCTTCTTCAAAGATGATTTCATTTTAGCTGTCGACAGGATACCCAACAAATCCCTGGGTAGGCCTCGGCACAGGATGACCGCTTTTTTGGTTTGCCTTGATGGTGTACTGTCGACGTTGTATTCTTGTTGTCGCCTCAGCTACGTCGTACGGTACTGAGCGGCCGGGACAGATATGTGTCCGCCATTTTCCCGCATCACCATGTGTTGCCTTTGTTTCTGTTTCGATAGTTATCATCTAATTGTTCTCCAACATCATGACCGGTACCCTTCTGTGGTGGAAGGTCACACAAAAAGAAAAAAAGGAGTTGAGCTTAAGTCTCGCGGGATTTGCTAAGGTCACGCATGACAATTTCGAGTCTCCGATTTTTGGGTGACCTTTTCGCACATTGTTGAATGCCAACTTTTACAAGCTGAGGGGCATTTACGGTCACTTAAGAGGTTCCATTTAGCATTAAAAAAAATAATAAATAAAAATGCACGAGGTTGCCTGCGCTCTTGTAAATATACGATACTTGACACCGAAAATTTGAAGATCATATTTTGCACATACTTTGCCTTGATTCCTTTCAGAACTTGGAGCCACTATTATGGGACAGTTCTTCTCAGGTGCAGCGTGCCAAAAAGAAAATGGAGAAAACTGTTCGTCGGAATCTCGTAAGTAGGACAAAATAATAACTTTTAAAAAATCACAGCACATTGGTTGGGTGAACAAGGCAGATTTTTTTTTCGTACGTGCAATTGTGCACGCTCTTATGTGTAATCTAATGGCCTTTAGTCACTCGCAGACTGACCTGATTCAGACAAAGATGATTTCATCCTGTTTGTCAGTAAATCTGGTCAGACGGGTCGTCAGATTTCAACTGGCCGTATCGGTTGAGGGCTTTTGAGGTTGCCGGGTGAAATGGCAAGGCTCGTTGTTGTCTCGGGAGAATAAGGTTCAAAGATTAAACAGGGGCATGGTCTTTGCGGTTCAGGGGCTGATGACCTTTAGGCACAAGCACTCTGTGATGGCGTGGAGCGCCTCTGGCCTCAAAGAACAGGTGCTAACAAACTGACCTTGGTGGGAAAAGCTTCCACTGGGTGAGGAACGTACGTGCGACCTTCAAAGTCACCTAATTCCCCGACTGCCGGTGGCACAATTCTTTCTCGTATTCGCTTCACATCACGGCCGTCCGTGCTAATTACGGGTGTTGGTGACTTGTTGTGTGTACTTTTGGTGAACTCCCAGAAGCGCCGTGACATCAAAGACCCCGATGTCATTAAAAGCTAATCATGTCAGCTGTCAAAAGTAGTCCTTTTTATTGGTGTGCATTTTTCTGTTTACTTGCCGTCCGTAGCTTCTTCCCTTGCTGTCCAGCCATCCGCAGTGGTGATCGAGGACAAAGAAAGAACATGCGATTCCTTACTCATGTGCATTGTGACGGTATTGAGCCACGGCCTTCGGAGTGGAGGAGGTGTTGGGGACGTACTGCGCAAGCCCTCCAAAGAGGTACGAAAGGGAACAAAATCAATCCGATTGTCTTTTGTTGACGGTGTGCTTCCAGACATCCTCTCTATACTCCATAGCGAGATAAAGAAATTGGTCCGTAACTATCCAATGAAAATCATGTGCTCTATTTTAAAGAAGGCTAAAAGTGGAAGCGATGACTTAAAGACGATCTCCTCGTAGACGTAGCCGGACTGGAACACATTTGACGTACAAATTGATGTTCTTTAAAATCAAGGCATTATCCAAGCGTTCCTTCATTCGCTATTTACAACTACAGCATGGTTCCAGAACCAGGCCACTCATCACAAGGACTTTAAAAAAGAGCATAATTATCATCGGCTAGTCTCTTTGCTGTTTTCAACTCGGGCTAAAACGGTTTGATTTCTATTAAGCGTGACTCTGTATACAGCCGGATTCAAATGTTCCGTACAAAAGAACGACAATCCGTTCGATGTGTGCAAGTAGAGTGAAGATGAAACGTGTGAAACGTTTGGGAATAGCGTCTCTGACCGCAGCCACGATTGCTTCTTGTCTTGGGTTTGCCAGGAGCCGCTCTTTGCAGCCCGCGTCATTTATGACCTGTTGTTCTTCTTCATGGTGATCATCATCGTTCTTAACCTCATCTTTGGCGTGATCATCGACACGTTTGCCGACCTGAGGAGTGAGAAGCAAAAGAAAGAGGAAATCCTGAAGACGACATGTTTTATTTGTGGTGAGAATCAACCCCAACCACCTTCTTGATGAGATGCGTTGGTTGTCGCTTTGTCTAATCCTTTCTATATGCACAGTGGATATAAAAAGTCTACACACCCCTGTTTAAGTTTTTTATGTATAAAACTGACACCAAGATAATGGACAGTTTTCGAAAAGAGAGCTAAAAAAAAAATCTACCTTGGTTTCATCAGTCCATTTTTCCACTCGGGGATGACTGTCTTCGCTGTTTTCCGTGGGGCCGTACAGTAGGTTCAATGCCTAGCAAGTTATTTTGTACCCTTCTCCTGACTGATGCTATGAAAGCTCTTGGCAGATGTTGGCTTGTGCTGCAACATGGAACTCCAAATATGTCAGGAAAAGTCGACTAGAACATCCCACTTTTATTGAGGGTTAATAAAATACACTTGAGGCGCCACGGTGGATGACCGGTTTGCACATCCGCCTCACTCTGCAGAGGTACAGGTTCGGATTCCGGCTCTGGCCGTCCCATGTAGTATTTGTATGTTCTCCCCGTCCGTGCCTGTGTGGGTTTTCCCCGGGTACTCCGGTTTCCTCCCACATTCCAAAAACATGCATGGCAGGCTGATTGAACACTCTCAAATTGTCCATAGGTGTGAGCGTGAGTGCAAATGGTTGTTGATGGGCTGTCAACCCGTTGAGGGTGACCCCGCCTACTGCTCGAAGGCAGCTGGGACAGGCTACGGCACGCCCCGTGACCCTTGTTGAGGATACACAGATCCGAAAATTGATGGATGGAAAATGTTAAAATGTGTGTGTGTGTGTGTGTGTGTGTGTGTGTGTGTGTGTGTGTGTGTGTGTGTGTGTGTGTGTGTGTGTGTGTGTGTGTTGGGGGGTTCCACAAAATTTTACTCAAAACCACGTTCTCTGTTGTAAGAGGGTGCACAACCACATTCTCAACCACAGGGGATTGCTCACATTAACAGTGGCAAAAGTGTTGATCTCTTCGTTTTATTTAACATCCCAAAACCTGGCATTTGAATTGTCGACTTTTAATATCCACTAAATGTGGCCAGCAAAATATGTGCCCACCACTTGTGATTTTGAGAATGCTGCTTCCGCTCCTTGCAAATTTACTGTCGTGTTCTTAGAAGTGGAAGTAGCTTTAGCTCTGTATTGGAACATTTGTGTGCTGCACCAGAGCGCCGAGGTGATGCAGCATAACGACCGTTTAGAAATGGTCTGGGTTTCTGGGTAATGTAAACAATGTGACGCCTCCGCCTTCCCAGAATGACTGCTTAGTCACGTCAGGTGCCGGCGGGGGGGAGGCGCAGTATAGAAGACAAAAGTCTTTTTCTTTTTTGTTTTCTTCCCCAACTATTGCTCTATTGACCTGTTGTTTCATCCGGTGGTGCTCTTGCATCACAAAAGTCTTAATTGTTGGCTTTATAAGCGCAACCTCTTGATATTTGATGTGGCTAATAAACACTTACAGTGCGACACATTCGCCGTAACCTCGTGCCACAAACGGTGCACATTATTTATTGCTTTTTTTTTTTTTTTTTTTTTTTTAGCAAATGACTGCTCTGAGTCTTTGTCTCTCCAGCCCTCGTGATCATACTTCCTCCTATTTTTGTGCCCTTTTTTTGCTGAGGTCACGAGCACAATTGCGTCATGTCGCCGCAAGTTAGCGTAAAGGAAATAATAGTGAAAGAGGTTTTCAAGAGAGCACGTCGTGAATGTGACACTGACGCGTGTCATTTGTCCTTTCTCGTTTCAGGTCTGGAGAGAGATAAATTTGACAATAAGACGGTGACGTTCGAGGAGCACATCAAAGTTGAACACAACATGTGGCACTACCTCTTCTTCATCGTGCTGGTCAAGGTCAAGGATTCTACCGAGTACACTGGCCCGGAGAGCTACGTGGCCGAAATGATCAGGGTGAGGTGACTGCAATGCACTTCAAATGCTCTGAGCCGAGTCAACTGTGTTCCAAATTCCAGCTGTGCCTCGCAGCATTTTAAGCAACGGAAAGGGAGTCGTCGGCAGCAGTTTTGGTTTGACCGCACAAGTATCGCAATGGCCCAAATCAGCAATGATGTAATCCCGTCCCCTCGAATTCTTCCGAAGTCTTATTGCATGACTCGGCTTTGTGAAGAGAGATTTAACATCCAGACTGTTTGCCTCGGTCATACATCGCTTAATCCCCCTGGTAGCTGGCCAACATGCACGCAGGCACACCCGCACATCCGCACATCACGAAAAATTTGACTGATCAATTTCAAAGCCAAACGACAAGTTTTTGCACTCCGGAGTCTAACCCACTTTGCCAGCTTTCTGTGCCCCTGGATGGATTCTTCCGCAATGCTATGCAGCGTCCGTCAATGGGGCCATGATGATGTCGACCACGCCTTCAAAACGGGTCTCCTTGACGACCCTTTGAGCAAGAGAAGGGGGTGGGGTGGGGGGGGGATCACACAGAGGTGTCAGACGCTCAAGGCATTGTGAGCAGGCGCATTGTTGCGATGAAGCAGTTGCGTACACAACGCTTGACCTCTTCTCGCGCACTGAACAAACGCCGCAGGACCTCTTTGGAGATGTGCCAGTTGATCGTCTGACCTACACTGAAGGGAAAAGCTCGTCGTTTGCAGTCTGTGTTTGAAATATCTCGTTGGTTCCGCCCGTCCTGGATTTTTCTGACACACTTTGAAGACCTATTTTCCAGGATACGTGGCCAAAAACAAACACAAAATATATGGGCGACTCCTCCCAGTTTTAAATCTGAAAAGATGAATTTGGATGTTTCGCCGAAAATCACGGAAAGACTCCATGGTTAACCCGAGAACGCAATCGTCGACATGACACATTCGAATTTAAATATGAAATCCTCTCATGGCTGAAATACTGGTGATACGGTCTTGAAAAACTTTGAATAGAAATCCGCCAAAAATGGATGTACTGAATGGATGTTATAATGCTCAATTATCAGTATTTTTGGCATTACGAAAATCACGCAAGGTTTCACCTTGCATACGAAGAAATATTCATCGAGTTCACATTTTTGGGTCACGATTGTTTGATGAAGCTGACACCAAAGCAATCCAGGCGGAAAATGACTTGAAAGTTGTTGCTCACCTCATCGGACCCCATCTTGCTCGTTTCCTTGTCTTTTGTCTGACGTGTTTCTCTCAGTCTTGTGAGCAACCACCTGATTTGGGATTAACCGCCATCCTGGCCCCTATTAACCTCACACCCTGCTGAACCAAAATGGGGGCATTATTAACAACAACTTTAACAAGTGTGGAGAGCTGGCACATCTTGTTTAATATGTTGTTGTTGTTGTTGTTGTTTTTTTAAGAGTAGCTGGTTTGATTCCTTTGTATTTGCAAACTGTTGCAAACCAACTGGTTAAAGGAATAACTTAACAGCTCTGTCCATGTTATAAATATGGTCATGTTTTCCTTTTGGAACCAAGTTTCCAGGAGGCATATGCTGGATTTTTTTTTTCTTCATCCACTGACAATCTAAACTGCTCAGAGCCTTCAGAAACTGTCACGTTGGCCACTGTAACTTTCACCATCTTAGCAATGGGAATGTTTCTTTACCCAGTGAGATTTCAAATGGCCCTTTTCCACCACGCTTGTGCTAGCGCTAGCGCTAGTTCCGGGCCAGTGCCCAGATGAGCACCAGGTCTTTCTTTTTCCACCACCAAAAATTGGCTCTCATATGAGCTCTCGTGCTTACGACACCCCCCCAATGATTTGTTGTGCCAGATTTTGGCACCAACCATGTCGGGGTCGGGTGGGGCCGGAGGGGTTATCATGATGATCGCAGATCTAGCGGAAGGACTCCCTGGACGCACTGAAGTCTTGCACAGACTGTTGAGCGATGAACTCCGGCACAATTGCGTCCCGCCAGAAGAGCGATGGCGGATGTGCCCGGATAGCACGCCATCTCCGACTAGCGGCCAGCCTAGAAAAGGGGTCAAATTTGACAATTTTGAAAAATGAACCCTGCCATGTAACCATTGGCGGCATGCCATTTTTGTGTTTTTTTTTTTGTTTTTTTAGCAATGAAACGAATCAACATAAATATTTACACATCACTAATGTGTGCTTATGGAGTACAAAAGTAGAAAAACACAATGGCCGCATATAACTCCGAGAAAGTAAAGTGCCTGTAAACCTCAATCATATTTACGTTCTCTTGGAAATTGTAATCAAAACAGAAAATTTGCACAACTCTGACAATGACTTCATTTGACGTCAGCCGTGGAGGAGTCAGGGTGAAGTGTCACGTACGCAACATCAAATGATGACTTGTCATCACTCAGTGCCCCCGTTTTTATTGCAGATGTGAAAGCCAGCATCGACTCTCAGTCGTGTATGTCGAAAAATTCAAACCCGGTGGGGTTCCCCTTGTCTGCTGCAATATCATCTGTCTTGATAGAGTGGTCGGATGAGGTTTTTGGGCATACTTTTCGACAAATCGAGCTACAACCTTGGGATGCTAGTTGAAGCACAGAACAACTTGGTGACTTCAGTGATGAGGACGGTAGTTGGGTCGTGACTCGTGAATCATTATTCGAGTCTGAAATCATGGCTGCACGATTCAATTCTAAAAGCCTTTGCTCTACTTCTGCCAGTTACAAATGTGGCTAACGTAGCCTACGGGGGCTCTTGGCTGCTTTTCAGAATCCGGAATGTTTGTCAAGTCCTTATTTTCATTTCAATATGTGCCGAAATGAAGCGTCATGCAATACGGGGGGGGGGGGTGATAATAGCATTGACAGCGGTACAATCAAAACCCTTTTCCTTTTCGGTAGCTTGGGGAAAGCTCTCAGCTGCTGCCGAGTGGCAACACTTTTGCTTCTCTGACGTCCTGGAAGCGGGGCCTGCGCATGCCATTTCTCTCGTCCTTTCACAATGACTGTGTGCTCTTCGTTATCTTAGTTTTGTGTTATTCCCCTCCACCACCTCTTTGCGGTGTGGATACACACACACACACACACACACACACACACACACACACACACACACACACACACACACATGTTCAAAATTATAGCAGTCCAATGCCACGAACGACATCAGTCACAGTTTTTGGTTACGTTTATATTTCAACATGTCAAATGATTTAGCTGTTCCCTCGTTGGCGTCGTGATGTTGAATGTCAGTCGCGACAGGAAAAAAACAAGTGGCCTTTCACCTTTTCTCAGTGGCAGCATCCTTCTGTGCATTAGCCGTTGTGGTCTTCGAGCAAGGCTTGGTGGGAAAATGTGCTGAAGGGTTAAACACCGACCCCTTTATATGACTCATGTGGCTAATTTGGAGGTCGGCTCAGACGGCCGTCGTTTAAAACGGCACGTGGTGGTCAAGTCGCTCGTAGAGGTTGAAGAGAAGCTCGAAGGAATTCGCCCAAGTTGCCCTTTTGACCGTGCTGGGTTAAATCGTCTCGTACAAGGGTCACCAACCTTTTTGAAACTCAAAGCTACTTCTTGGCAACGGATTAATGCGAAGGGCTACTCGTTTGATACGCACTTCTGAAATAACACATTTGCTAAAAGGGATCTTTCAACGTGTTGTTATTAAAATTCATTCTATTTAAGTAATGGACGACATTGATCATGTTCAAGAGTTTTCCATTTATTATCGACACGGAATCTGATGAATATTAAGATGCCTTATAATTTGGACACTATAATTTTGAAGTTATGACGTGACATACGCCGTTCGTGCCATTGCTATTTGCATCATCATTAGTAACAGATACATGGTTTGAGGCCCCCCCCAAAAATGCATAAAATATTGAACAAGTGGGAGGACAGAATACTCTAATCCTGGGGTGTCGAACCCACTTTTGTCGCAGCCCACACCGTAGTTAGCGTTTCCCTCGGAGGGCCGTTATGACTGAAACCATATAAAGGAGTCAAGAATAGCGGTTTATTCAACTGTTGTTGAAGTGACTGTAATGATGGGTTTGGGAAGAAGGAAATACTTACAACATCGCTCAAATTTATTACATATGAGAATTTAAAATTGTGGTACAGATTTTAGAAAGCAACATGGAAGCTGACGTGTTGGATTTGATTTCTCTGGCCACATAAAATGGTGTGGCGGGCCAGATCTGGCCCCCAGGCCTTCAGTATGACACCAGTGCTCAAATGAGCTGGTTTTGCTATGACATGAGCGAGTGCCGCTGTGGCGGCCTCACCGCGAGTGGCTGAACCGCTCATGCTACGCAGCATTCGTCACACGTTCGTACGCCGAAGACATTTTCCCTTTTGCATCTTCACCAAGACTGCGGAAGAAAATCACGCAACATGAGTCCCACGCATGCGCGCCATGCGTGACCGCCCGAACCTGTCCGATTTCTGTATGCTAGGAGCACAACCTCGACTGGTTTCCCCGGATGAGGGCCATGTCGTTGGTCAGCAGCGACGCAGATGGGGAGCAGAATGAAATTCGAAGCCTCCAGGAAAAGCTGGAGTCCACCATGAAACTCGTGTCCAACCTCTCCGGCCAGCTGACTGAGCTCAAGGAACAGGTTGGTTGAACTAACACAACACATTTCCGAAACCTGCCTGCAAAAAGCGGGAAATTTTCCTAATTGCCGCCCCACCGAAAAAGGTTTGCTTATGCCACAAAGAAAACAAGCACTCCTAAGTCACAGGAGTCAGTTTTGTTTGTTTTTCACCTCGGTGTTGCTTATTTGTTGCTCTGCGCACTTGAAATTCAAACTGAATTTTCTCAGCCAGTCAGCTGCTCAGCGCAGGTAAGACAAGGTTATTGCGTGCGCTAGCGTTGCACAATTCGTCAATTTGGGGTTTTTCTAGTCAACGGAATTGTACAATACGGCTTTACCCTTGAAATGAGAACCGCATGTGAGGAAGTGAATGTCACTAAGACCTTTTGACCCAGACAGGAGGAAACGATGGTGTTGCTAAACGCGTGTGATGTAGGGGTTGCTTTTAATTTAATTATTTTTTTTATTTTTTATTTTATTTTTTTTTATGTATACGAGTGCTGTGGCTTTTGTCTAAATTAGGGGCGTCAAATTAATTTTTGTCGCAAGCCACGTTACGGTTTTGGGTTCTTTCAGAGGGGCCATAATGACTGTGAACCCAATTGAATGTATGATTGCCTCAACAAATTGATGAAAAACAATTTTTAAAAATGTATTTTAAATGGCGGATTGGTCACGAAAAATGCTCGCAATATCGCAGACAATTTGGGTATTGTGGCAAACGTCATCAAGTCACTGCCCATATACTTTTGCGAGCCACATAAAAGGATGTGGCAGGCCGGATTTGGCCCCCGGGCCTTTAGTTTGACACCGGTGGTCAAACTTGTCTCATACTTGCCACTCTTCCACTTAAAAAGTACCAAACAAAATAGGTCTCTTCCCATCGGCTTCTCCTCATGACCACAACTTGGGGCTGATGTCAATCACCAACACGAAAGCCAAAGGAACACAGTTAGGGGAACGCAACACTTAAATCACTGCCGAAATGTTCAGCCGTGACGGTAACCTTTTGGTGCAAATATCCAACGACAAAGTTGACTTAACACAAAGCGTTTTTTTTTTTGTTTTTGTTTATTTTTGTTTTGTTGTTTTTTTTTTGCTCGGACTCGCAATCATTCTATATGAGTGGTTTTCAGGATCCGCTTTGCGTATTGCGCAGCTTCCGTCTGATGGCAGAAGTACCTTGCACGATAGTTGCGTACAGAAAAGCGGTGTGTGTGTGTGTGTGTGTGTGTGTGTATAGAGAGAGAGAGAGAGATTTTTTTTTTTCACCTCCCCATGGGTCCATTTTGTCCGCTTTTAGATGACCGAACAAAGGAAGCAAAAGCAGCGAATTGGCCTTCTGGGACACCCACAGCACATGAACGTAAACCCCCAGCAGCCCGCTTAGGCCCGAGAATCGGCGCCTGAAGCACCTTGGCAGCATCCGCCTTATGCCTGGACGGAGCCGTCCTGACTCCAAGGTTGCATGGTGTGACCTTTGTGAGTACACGAAGTTGCAAGTTTGATGGAAAGGCTGTAGTTGTAGTCACAATAAGCTCTCTCTCGCTCGACTGCGTATAGATCTGACTCAGATCACTGACACTCACCTGTGCTTTTCTAATTGCCGCTGTATAGAAAGGTGTTTGTGCCAAAAGTTTTCAATGTCATATTGCACCAGTCGTATTTAATTTGTCCACTTTCATGACCTTCCATTTGAAGTCACGTTTGTATTTTAGGCCGAGCAAGCAGTATTATTTGTGTTTGTATTTTCTGCAAGATGTACATTTAAATACGCAGCCCAACGTGGATGTGAGTTCCGTCAAACATCTGATGTCACACTGTTGACCTGTATTTTGTATTTAAGTCTTATCGGATAAAGTAGGGACTTGATTTGGACTTTTACTTACACACCTGTTGAGATGATACTCTGTTTAAAAAGAGGCCCGCCTCATTTGTTGATCTTTTTGCGCATAAGAATGCGTTGCAAATGTGTGCCGTCTTTTCCTTCACGTGTAAAGCCAAATGTGATTCTTATGAATAACCATTTACCGTATTATTATTTCTCTCCGTTTAGACTGAACAAAATGATCAGTCAAATATAGCCAACCGAATTTGGCAAATTTATTAAGCGTCATGATCCCCGTTGTGGTTTGCGGAACATTCTTACCTGAGCAGACCTCAGTCAGCTTTTCCTCTCGGTCGCAGCAAACGCGCTTGCTTTGTGACTCCTCTTGTTCTCGCTTTATTTGCGCTTGCACTTTTATTTTCGTTGCCCAGCTCACCCGTGACCGCTGTAAGGATGAGCAGCATCGAAAATGGATGGGATGGGATGGTTTTTCTTCAGACCATTGTTACAGTTTTTGACTGTATGTACGTGTAAAATGGATTGCTTGCATTTGTATAGACAAACCGATTGGTTGAGAAGAATTGTTAATTTATAGGATTGTTAGAAATAATGACAAATCAAGACCATGCCATTTTTTATTTATATAGTAGAAATATTTATTAAAATGAATGTCCTTATCCTTCACCTTTCATTCTGTTGTCTTATTTTTATGGATAACACGTGTAGCAAGTTACAAGATGTCTTGTTTAATACACATGATCATACATGATTAGCCTCTCCACGATGACTCATTTTGATCTGAAAGATGTGGTTTAGCTGCAGGGCGGCACAGTGGAGCAACTGGTTAGCAAGTGCGCCTGGCAGTGCTTGAGGTCAGGGGGTTCAATTCCAAGGCCCGGGCCTCCCTGTGTGGAGTTCGTGTGGGTTTTCTCCGGTTACTCCGGTTTCCTCACGCATTCCAAAAACACGCCCTAAATTGCCTCCGGAGGTGATTGTGAGCGCGAATGGTCGTTTGTCTTTGCCCCGCATCTGGCTGGCAACCAATTCAGGGTGTCTCCTGCCCGAAGACAGCCGGAATAGGCTCCGGCACGCCCATGACCCTAATTTCCTGCAAAATAGTGGTACCCCTAATAATTTTGTGGCACGTTCCTAATAAAGGTGCACCAGGTCCGAATTTAGATAATTGAGTTCTTGATGCTAAATAAAGATACTGCGACATATTTGTCCAATGGTCATCGCTGGCTCAACATCACAACCCGGGGGTGTGGAAGGCCAAAGTTGTTTTTCTCGCTTGCAGTTCGGAGGCAACGTGACATGGAACAAGCGGATCCAGTTTAGCGTTATCATATTCATGACAGCAAGCATAAAACACCAAGCAAAACCTCAAGCACGCTGCCAAAGCATCACGCAACCACTTGGGAGCTCGCCAAATTTGTCAAAATAACACGTGTTTACCCTCTGGCGTTCTTCATCTCACAGAATGTGTGAACGTTCAAATCAAATCCGTTATTTCCAACATTAAATTGCATTACCGTACACTTAACGGAAAATGAAAACCACGGTTGTTTAGATGACTGTCAATCTACTCCTTGTAGCCAATTTGAAATTGTTGAAATCAGAACTCTGCACCCACCCGTCCATTAGCCAAGCTGCTTATCCTCACGAGGGTCCCAGACACTTTTCGAGCAGTCGGCAACCGAACGAAGAAAACTCGGCAAAGGAAGATAAAATAATCCATATTGATCTCCGGGGGGAGAAATTCAAGTGATACAGCAGATAAAAAAGGTATGTGCAACAGTTGAAATTTTGTATGTGGTGGCATTTAATTCCAGCAGTAATTGTCGTGTCCTGTAATCACCAATCAGTAGTTGAAACAAAATCAGGAAATAAAATAATGGCATATGGCATTGTTTTGTCGGCTAATACAAATGTCTAGATACTATTATTATGATGATCATAATCATTATTATTACATCAAGACATTGGGTCACACAGCACGAGTCAGTGTACCTATTATCCCACGTAACCTGTTGTTATTATTAATGTCATTATTCTTTATTATTTTACTTGTTTCTTTGTTGAAAGTGAAGCGTTTGGATTTTGCCCGCTGTGTGAGTGACTTAAGCCACAATAAAAGACGTTTTCTATGTCTGCCGCTGCTCTACTTTCTGCCTTTGATAACAAAAGGAGGGAGGGAGGGAGAGATTGGAGGACAAAAGCTTGCACACTGTCCAGGGAGTCGGAGCATGGTGGCGCACGGGACTCCCGTGGGTGGCGACGGGCCTACTACGGGAATAGGCTGTACTTAGCCGGCGTGCGCGCCCGTGCCTGCGCGCGTGCACGGAGGCAGGAAGCTGCGGCGCGGGGAAGGGAGGGAGGGAGGGGAGGGAGGGAGGCAGCCAGCGGGGGAGTCCTTGAAAGCGGCGTCCAACACGTGAGCCTCATGTGATGCACTTCGCAGTTGCTCGGTGTGTTTGGAGACGAGGGACGTGCCCGGAGTCACAGGACTTGCTCGGCACGTAGGCATCGAGCCACACGCCCATTCCTCGCGCACACTCAGTCTGACCGACTACTCGAGTCCGTCAGAATCAGTGCGCGCACCTCACAGCGGGACAAACGCGCGCGGTGCCCACGGCTCCCCACGGGACAGAAAGAGAAGAACGCACGAGATACGGAATACCGAAATCGTCTGGGGGATTTTCCCCCCCACATCCCCCGCTTCGGATCGCTTCTATTTGTTGTATGTTTGGAGTCATTTGACTTGTTTTATTTGAGCAACATGGAGGGGATTACGAGGGCGCAACCGCCACCGTGTGTGCCCAAACACGCGTCGCTGGATATCGCCGACATGACGGGGTAAGGATTACATAACAAATACCGCTTAGTCTACTCCGTGGAAACTTTGGCTGATCAAAGTCGTTCACTTTTCTGCAAAGGGTGGATTTTCCCCTGTACGTGTACAAGTCCAGAAGGGGTGCGAAACGAGGCGATGAGAGCAGGGTAATTTCAAGTTCCGATCTGTCATCGAATGCATTTTGTTCCCCCCTTGAATGTAAAATCACAAGAATTCGATGTCAACGTGAGATTTCACCCTGCAGGAGACCTACAAGTTGCCGCATCGACTCATCGAAAAGAAAAGACGAGACAGAATCAACGAATGTATTGCCCAGCTCAAAGATTTGCTGCCGGAGCACCTCAAGCTTACCGTGAGTCTTTTGTTTATTTTGCTTTGTTGAGTGTTTACGAAGCAAACACACACACACCTACCTCGTGGTTTGTTTGAGGTCGAGAAAAAGAAACCGCGTTTAAATGGAAAGCGCAGTTTAAAAATGCCTCCAAATTACAAAAAAAAAAAAAAAATATGAATTGCATAGTTAATCAAGATATTTTTTTGTACTTCTAACCTCATCATGTTGACTGAATTCTATCCGGCGTCATGTCGAAGCGGATTGCATTTGCACCACTTCCCGGGTGTTTGAGGCTTAGCCTCTTTTTGGCTGCAGAATGGTGTTACATAAGAAAGATCAACATTCTTATCGAAGGTCTTCCTGTTTTTAGACGCTGGGTCATTTGGAGAAAGCGGTGGTGCTGGAACTCACTCTGAAGCACGTGAACGCCTTGAACACCCTGCTCGAGCAGCAGCAGCGGAAGATCGTGGAGCTCCAAAAGGACTTGCAAATAAGTACGTTTGACCTCACCGAACGTGTGTGCGTGCGCGTGCATATATAGTGAACCCCCGTTGATTGCAGCCGATACATTCCAGACCGAGTCAGAGTGAAAATCCCCAATGGGGAGAAAACTTTAACTGTATTTGGTGGTTTTACCCCTCTCACTAACACATTTTTAATGTCGACTTTTTAAAAACACACTTACAAAAAAAAACACACAATTTAAAGTTTTCCTTGCCCAGTTATACAAATTACAAACCACACGTGCTCGCTTCAAGCTGTTTTTCACTCCTAGTAATTCCCCCCCCACCAAAAAAAAATTAAACAGCCCATATTTAACCAGCAACCCAAACACGGGTTTCATTCAACAAAAGCCTGCTGTTAAGCTATCCTGTAAACTGCTATTGTTGGCTGGGCTGACACAAATGATCACAAAAAAACTTCAACCGCCTGCTACTTAAATCCGCATGTAGCAGCAAGGCATACAACAGCACGTACAGCAATCCTCCTTGGGGGGGAAGGGGGGTGTTATCTCTGCTACAACCAACACTAAAATGGCAAAACGTGCTTGCGCATTACCCTGCAGAGACATCCGCTTCTTGCTATCACGCTGCTGGTCTAGCAGCTCGATGCGGCACAACATAGTGTCGCAAAACTCTAAATTTGGATTTGCATGGATGTTGTCAAAAGCCCGAACAAAACTTACGAAAAAGGATTTCACTCATCGATGATGTAGCGAGGTCATGAACGATTGGTGCAATGCAAACCGATCGTGTCGAGAGATGGACACACCACATATTTGGACGCAATTTAAATTTTCGTTTCGTATGCGTCGCATGATAGTGTAACGTTCCTTCTTCCATTGCGGCAGGCGACCACGGCGGCGACGACCCAGAGGTCAGCGAGCAGATGTTCCGTTCGGGTTTCCACCTGTGCGCAAAAGAGGTCCTCCACTATCTGGCTCGCCGAGACGGCAGTCAGGACCTGATGCCGTCCCACGTCATCGGCCACATCCGCAAGGTGGCTTCGGAGGTGCTGCAACATCAAAGCGACCCGCACGTCGGCGAGTCCGTCTTTCAGAGTTCGGAGAAACCGAAGAAAGCCGCGGCGCAGCCCTCCAGAGCCGCCGAGGGCCCGTCCAAGAACTGCGTTCCCGTCATTCAAAGGACTTGCCCCGGCGGTCTGGGCGAGCAGAGCGGCAGCGACACAGACACTGACAGCGGCTACGGGGGCGAACCTGACAAACGTGACCCCAAATCCCGCTGGTCGGACAGCCACAGAAAGGAGGTGGAGCTCAAGCGCACGGCGGCCGACGGCGTCAAGCAGGAGGGGGGCGAGCCTCGGACCAAGAAGTCACGGACCGGCTCCTCTGAGGACGAAAGCCTCCCCGGTCCTCCAGCCGGAGGCCCCGGCAGCTACGTGGCTTTCTCCCCCAACCAGCAGCCGCTCTGCCTCCCCTTCTATCTCTTCCCCCCTGCGGCTGCTGCGGCGGCATACCTGCCCGTGCTGGAGAAGTGCTGGTATCCCGGCGGCATGCCAGTCATCTATCCTGGCGCGAGCGCCTCTGCTGCCAGCTTGCCCCCAGAGACCCTCTCCCCACCTCTGGTGATGTCCCAGAGGGCGGGGTCTCCACTGGTCCGCCAGAGCACCATGGACTCCCCTCGACTTCACAAAGCTTCACAACGGGGCTCGCCGGGAAACTTGGAAACCAAAGAGTAAAGCGACTTTGGCGTGTTAGCAGTAGAGGAGCGAAACAAAGCGAAAGATGTCCGCCACCTTTTTATCATCTGCCCCCCCCGAAGCGGCTTCCCGCGGGTTGTTGCACGACTCTGAAACACTGTGAACCTGCGACAAGGAGAGTGCAAGAGTGTCGCGGAGACCCTCTTCGCTGCGCTCTGTGCTGAATGTCACAAGTTAATCCAGAATGTACACACACACACACACACACACACACACTCTACGATGAATGTAAGGATTAAACAAAAGCCCCTTGTACGATACAGTAGATGCTGCTCGGACTCATTCGATCTGCTGTAGATCCAAAAACAAGAGATCTACTGATAATGTGTTTTGTTTGTTTGTTTGTTTTTTTGTCTCAGAACTGCAACTGTACATGATTTTTTTTTTTTTTTTTTTTTTTTTTTCCAAATTTCACTTTTAAATATTTTTTTTTTTTTTTTTTTTTTTACCAAATTACTCTTCGCGTTGACCACAATATATCACTCATCCTCCGGCAGTCTCGGTAGCTAAACAAATGAGTGTTTGTCAAGAATTCAGGGCGTTGTCCCTTTTCGGAGGTGTGTCACTCGATCCGTTGGAGTGTGCACACACGCTTTTATGATTTCCTTGTAAACACATGGCGTGCATGTGTGTGCGACAGAATCGATCGATCTGTGACGTTGTGTCCTTTTTTGTTCATCATGCTACTCTCTACATCTTTATTTTTGATACGTGACCTAATGAGTGTATTTGCGTCGCCACCCGAAGAGGGTTTCATGGTAGTCGTATGCCAAGCGTGTACATAGCTTTCATTTTCAACCCGACTTGTCTTGTGTCTCAAATTCCAGATCAAGCCAAGCCTGATCTCCATTGATGGCGTTGCCTTTGAGTCATTGAGTGCAGACACACAGACAATATATTTTCTGCTTTACTACCATGTTGTGTCTGTGGTGAGTGAATGTAAAGTTGGAAGACAAAAACTAGTGATAGTTTTCTCTAGAAAGAGGTACCCTGGATTTTTATGTTGAAATATGACAGGCTTGCTGGTCTGAATTTTGCAAAGTACTATTGATATAGCCTATATTAAAGTATTAATAAACAGTTTTTTTGGGGGGCGGTGGTTGTTATTCTAACCCTGTGGAATCCACTGCCTGTTGGCGTACGTGTTGTAGCCAGCCATGCTGACAGCTCTCCAACACATGCTTACATAACACTTACATAACCCATCAAGTAGGCAAGTGGCTGTAAATCAGTAGCTTGTCTTAGATTACAAGCTGTAAACATATCAAATTCTGAAAGATATCAAACGAACTATGTGTCCAGGTCTTGGCAGTAATGCATAAGGAAAGCTTACACCCATGGTTCGGTCTGGGGTTTTTTTTTTCACCGTAAGGATTAATATTAGATGACATTAAATGGAAAAAAAGTGACACTGCAATCGATGCAATTGGTTAAAAACGCAAGATAAGTTTGTTTTAAGGAAACGTCAATCTCATTATATTTGAAAATCGCATTCATTTACTCACTGAACAGCATTTTTAAAGTGACACTTGTCCATCGATCGGTTGCACGCCATTAAATGACTATTCGTGAATCTGAAAGATTTTGACCAAAAAAGAAAGGCTATAGCCCGAGTGCTGTTTTTGTCTTTGTAGCTTTTTCTTAGCCTTCTTTTTACTATAATTATTCTGTTGCCGCAGTTGTTTCGGCAATTCTGTAACATAATTTGAAGGTTTCCACCTATTATCCGTAAAATTGTGTCTAGCTTTGTATTTTAGAAGACGTAAAAATTGAACAAATTGAACGTTCGTCACCATTTACACGCCGTTACTTATACGGACAAGTTATGGAAAACGAGCACCACCTAGTGGTATTTTTTGTACGTCAGCCTATCGGCCTTCATTTACATACAACTCGATTTACGACGGTACCGACATACGACATTTTAAATTTGCCAACAGCGAACTAGTTTGCGCAGCAACGTAAGAATACATCGCTAGCCTCTAGTGTATTCGTAATTATATTACTTTAGGGTTGAGTTGAGTTCAACTATTTCAACCTATCAAGTAATTCCAACAATTAGTTTGCCGTCATTGTGAAGGAAAACGTGTGCGTCAGCGTTTGCCACAGTTTTTTCAAGATTTGCCGTAGATCTCCAAACATAGTTTAAAAGTAGACAAATCTGTAGCTGGATCCTTCTGAAGAGGGGGGTGTTGCTGGGGAAGTCCAGGATAAAAAAGTTGCTTAAATGCGGTTACAAAATGGCTTTTGCGTCAATGCGGTCAAACCGCCTCGCGCCTTCCGGTCGCCCCCAAAGTCACTTGACGAATCCATTGTTTCACGACAACAGCATTAACCACAGGTTATTAACCGGTAACATTCAATGGACACACAGCACAGCAAACACTGCTTCGAAATAAGCCAGCGCGGTGGCGGTTGGGTTGAGCAAGTTCCATTTTCAGACTCGGGTCTCAACCGAAGCTTTAGTTGTGCAAAACTTGGAGCGGAAGTAGTGAATCCCTGCCACTCGCTGAGGACAAACACGTTTGAGAGCGCTCGCTTTCCTTCCAGGTAAGGGCGACGTGCGCTGACAGGTTCGCCTCAGTCAAGATGCTGCTGCAGGTACGTGCTGCGGCGCTGCTGGTCGGACTGGCTGCGTGGTGCGGTTCGGATGTCTCCCCTCCCACGATCGACGTGAACCTGGACGATGATCCCCAAGTGAGATGGGCGCCCCTTTTCCAAGTATTTGACACCGACTTCCTCAAGAGAACCGCTCAAGAGATGATCGAGTAAGGGAAATGGATTTTTATTGTTTCACCGCTTGCTTTCATGGAAAGAAAAGATCACACATAAGCTTTGTTTTCATATATCCATTGCAGTATTGACAATATCTTTCAAAATGAGTCCGCAAATGACCACGAATTGCGTAATTGAGACTACGAGACTAAGTTTTATTTTCCAAAAAAGTCGTATCATCTCCCATTTAAAAAAAAACATACGTCTTCGAGTTAAAGGCGTTGATTAGATTTATGATATCAAGAGAAAGCAGTTGTATATTTTCGAAAAAAGCCAATATTTGCGATTAAAGTCGTTGTACTGCGAGAATAAAGTCACATCGTTTCATGAAAAAGTCGCATATTGTAGAAAAAGCGGTCTATTTTCAGGAAAACAAGTTGTGTATTTTCGAGCTTTAAGTCCTGGCATTCAAAATATATTCTTGTAGTGTTGTCTTTTTTTCTGTGAGGAAGGGCTAAATATTCTGCTGTGGTGAAACAACAACATCAACAATTCTTAGTAGTAGTAAGGTTGTTGTATTAAGTGCCATCAACTGGAACAATGAAAAATTTTCCTTGATGTATTGGTTGTGTTAACGTGTTTTTTGTTTTTTTTTGCTTGTCAGTGCGGCGATTCCAAAATGGATTCATGAAGCGCTCATATCTGTGATGAATGTCTCGGAGCCGTTCATCCTTCCCGAGCCTTACGGCGAAGAGCTCCGTGGCATGTCCTCGCACTTTGGAAGCAACTTATCTGATATCGTCATGCTCAACTTTGCCTATGAAGCCAATGCGTATGTATTTTTTGTACCGTACATTTTTGTATGATGTGCAATAGAATGTTAGTATACTTGTTTGTAACCACATAACAGCTAAGTCAAGATGTTGCACTTGTAGATTCTGCACGAGCATTGTGGCTCAGGACAAACATGGAAACGTGTACCACGGCAGAAATCTCGACTACCGGTACCCTGCTCTGAGGAAAGTCACACTCAATGTTAACTTCTGGAAGAACGGAAAGGTACAGGATATCTGACCTTGGATTTATTTTACAGGATGGCATTCAAAATCCTTGCACCCCTATACCTATACCAATCCTTTCAAAACCATCAATTGCGAAATGTGCCTCATAAAAACGTGTGCAAACAGTGAATGAAAAATGTGGCCTGAGAGGGTGCCAGGATGCAAGTCGCCTTAAGCATTCGTGTACTGAGCAGCCAGGACAGATATTGTAACTGTAGCTGTGCTAAGGTCTATTTTCTGCTCGATAGTTGTCCACATATTTTTTTTTTCATTTTCGCATCAAAGTTATCCTTCCCAAAAATTCGGCCAAAGCAAGTCACTCGATGTTGCACAAAAGCCAAAAGTTATCGCGCAACCTTTGACCATTGCAGATCGCGTACACTGGAACCACCTTTGCTGGCTATGTTGGTCTGTGGACAGGACAAAGTCCGTACAAGTTCACTGTCTCCGGTGACCAGCGAGGCAAGAACACACTTCCTCCGCCGCGTGGCCTAAAATGCTCCAAACATGTTGACACAAGACTGTTTGTTGCTTTGTGTGCGTGACCAGGCAAACATCACTGGTGGGACCTCTGGAAGACTATCGTGTCAGCTTTTCTGATGAAGAGAACCCCAGTCAGCTGGCTGGCAAGAGAGGTGAGATGAGGAACGAGCAGGGAAGGCGTCACTGGAAAACCTGCTCCGTTCCACCCACCGAAGTACAGCGTCATTCATACCCCATCAATATATTTTTAAAAAATCCGAACTTTTTGCATACGCGAGCGGCACACATTTCCAACACATATGGGACCAAACAGAAGCCGCCAACCGAGCTGTGTGTGTGTGTGTGTGTTGGGGGTCGTAAACCCAAGTGAAAAAAAACATCCAAACCCAGGAGCTAAAATATTTCCGGTACCTCAACCCACGATTCATGTACACCAAGCCCTCGCGCGGGAGTTTGAATGAACTTCACGTATTGTTCACTCGTCTTAAACGGTAGTATTTGGTCTTCTGCGCAGACCCTAGAAAAGGCAGAAGACTTTCAAGATGCCGTCCTGCGCCTCTCCAAAGTTCCCATCATCGCTGATGTGTATTACATTGTGGGCGGGGCACGGCCAGGCGAAGGGGCTGTCATCACCCGAAACCGAGCGGGCCCCGCAGACATCTGGCCGCTGGAACCGCTGAGTGGAGGGTGGGTGTCGTGCAAGTTGGCCACGCTCTCCATCTTCTGTTTGTTCATTGGCGTGATTACTCAACTCTATGATGTTTTGCTTTGTTTTAGATGGTTCAGAGTCGAGACCAACTTTGACCACTGGGTTCCGAACACAGGCAAAGATAAACGAAGGTGAGACAAATACTGCTGGAACGTGGCAAAATAATAATCATTAAATAATAACAATAATAATAACAATAATAATAACAACAACCCTTTACTTTTGGGGATGAAATCGAGTGAACTTGTTTTTTTAATTTTACAAAATTTAGCTGTTCTTGAACGTTACTCCGAATTTCTCGAAGGGCTATTTTTAATCAGTAATATCAAATTTATGAACTAGAATTTTTCACAAGAGTTT